ATTTTTTCTGATTTGCCTAGCGATTCATAAAGGTCTTCCACATTTCCTTTCAATGATATACCAAAAATGATTTGAATTTTGCCTTCACCTGTTTTATCTGAGTTTGTTTTGAAAGTTGCATCCTTTCCTTGCATATTGCAACATGAAGTCCTATCATGATAAGTAAGAGAAGTAAGATAATCTAACTAAAACCTTATATTTTCTTCCGCTTGTCTATTTTGTTTCTCAGTAGTAAAACCTCTGTTGTCAAAATAAAGACTGTCATTGGCAGGAGTAGGCCGTGCAAATGGAACCGTGGCTTAATTTTGCATGTGTATCTGTGCTAGTATGTTTTATAGCCACTTTTCCCTGGCCAAATATTCTTTTACAAATGAAAAATGACAATCGAGCACATTAAACAGGAAGCAAAAATAAAAACTTTTTCTCCATATCGAAAGATTCACCATTTTTCAAAATCCTATGATCTTAGTTAAATACTTACACTTTATGATCTAGAAAGCTCCACGTAACTAAACTAAATTCTTAGCTTCTGTTTGCTTAAGCTCAGTTTTAAGTGCTTCATAAGCTGTGAGTATGTGTAAGCTGTAACTCTTTCTCAACCCAAAAAGAAAGGTCAAATAACTCAATAGCCTGGTCTGAAAGCACTTAGAAATTCCTTATCAAAGTTTTAAGCTATGAACTTAAGTTAGATCATTTTTAAGTAGTTTGTTTTTCCGTCTTATTGCTTACAATAATAACAATGGGCAGTGCCAGGAAGAAGATAAAATGCATACCTGCCTTCGAATATGTTTTCTTAAAAAAATAAACCAAACTGTGAACTTTATTAAACATACCCTTTTTGGAATCATTTACTTACACAACAAATAAAAATGTAAAGTTTGCAATTTCAACCGATCTGTACAGTCCTCAAGCCATCCCACTCTTATAAACTTATTCAGTAAGATTCTTTCTTCTAAAGACGTAAGAATGTCTAGTTATGTATTTGCTATGAAAGTAAGAGTCAACTATGTATTTCTTAAGCAACACGAAAGTCAAGAGAAGAAAGTTGTAGTAAACTGTTAACTAAATGGTTTATATCCATTTGTGACTGAGAATATTGATATATCATTTACTTAGATCTAGCCTTACTGTAACTACATTACGAATTTTGTAGGATAAGCTGCTCCAAACAATTGAAATGCAGAGGCAAGGCTTCCTATTCAATCCAACACAAGGAGCTTCCCCCCGGTCAAAACAATCAGCAAGGCAGCATGAAGCGAGTAGCGGTGAATTTGGACCGATCGGCGGTGCTCCAAGGTTCCAGAAGCTTTCTACTCGTACAAAAGATCCAGAACCTTTACTTTTGGCACAGGAAACAAAGAGTCGGCATCATGAGGATCAAGAGCACAGAGAACCAAGGACGGCAGAAAGGCTTACGACCCTACATTCACAATTATATCAACAAACTGAGAAGCTGAGACAGTGGAAAATCAATACAGAGATACAAATCAGCGACAAAGACAGGAAAATTACAGAAGCATCCAAAACAATAGATTCCCTTAGAAAGTCTATTCTTGAACTGCAGCTCTTAAACGAAAGTGTAAGTTCAAAGCTACAGAATGAGAAAGCCCTCCAAGAGGAGACAAGTCAAAAGATCTCGACAACACGTAACATGTGCAATGCTTTAAAAGAGCACTTGGTAAGACTAGAGAATGGTGTGTTGACTGGTGAACAAATGCTTGGTGTTCAGAGAGATGATGCAAAGCAAAGAGCTACAGATTTTCAAGACCTTGCGCTACGATTTGAAGAGCTTCAGATAAAGGTGACTGGCAAAGAACATGAGATGGAGCAAGCCATGATCCGAAACAAAATTGAGCACAAAGAGGTAATCGAGCGCCTAGGAAATGAGCTCAGTGATATCGAAGAACGCTACAAAGACCTTGCTAAAAAGAACACAAACAGCGAAAATGAACTGAAACAGAAAAACGAAGAAATTGAACAAGCCAGAGAGGAAATCAATAGAATAAGGGCAGAGTGTTCATTTTGTCAGAGTCAAGTAGAGGACACAAGTAATGCCTTGAAAGAAGTCGAGATGTTGCTGAAAAATGAAAAGAAGGAACAAGAGAGAGCAATGCAGGAGTATCAACAACTGGAGGGGCAGTATAAGGCTGAGATACTTGCTTTAAAAAACTCTTGTTCAGAAAAAGATAATGAGCTGAGGCTACAAACAAGTAATTTGCTTGGCAAAGAAGAAGAACTCAAAGAGTCAAATTCAACCGTCAGTAGTCTTAATGAAGCACTCCTGAGGAAAAATCTGGAGATAGAAGATTTGCTGGGACAATTAAAAGAAGCTAGCGAGAAAAATTCTGAAATGAAGTATGAAGTGAGCAGTCTAGCTGAAAAGTTGCAAAATTTACAGCAAATTCTAAACGATGTAGAGTCTTCATTAAAGATAACTAAAGAAGAAGAGGAAAAGATGAGGATATCATTAGAAAACGAGAAAACAAGAAATTTACAGCTCAAAGAGGAGGCAGAAATTTTACAAAACGAACTCAACAAGGCTAAAGAGTTAGAATCTGAAGTAAACAAAATGAAAGAAAAGATAGAAGAGCTCGAAGGCAACAAGGAAGAATTAGAGTTTCAAGCTAATTTTGCCATGTCACAAGTTGAAGAAATTACGTCGCAATTCCAGGTAATTACCAGCAAAAATCAAACACTAGAGGACGAAGCAGCAAAAATAAAGAAAGATTCTTGTCAAGTAGAAATCAAGCACGAAGAAGCTTTGAAAGAGCTGCGAGCTAAAGAAACCAAAGTCGCAGAAATGATTTCAGAGTTAAATAAGTCAAGAGAAGAATTCAGCCTTCTTCAAGCAAAATATGAAAAAATGTGCCTTGAAAAATGCAACAATGAAGGTACACTGCAGGAACTAATGATGTCAAGAGACAAGTCGGTCAATATGGCAGAAAATAAAGTAAAGAGTTTGCAAGAAAGAGTTTCTGCAAAGGTAAAACAAATCAGTAAATTACAATCTGAAATTAAATCTCTGAAATCACAGCTAAAGTCTCAAGAAAAACTGACACAAAAGATGGAAAGTGACCTTTCAGCTGCTAATGAAAACTGTAAAGCTTTAGAACAAAGTAACACAGAGATTACCGATGCTATCAAACAGAAGGAAAAATCAATAGAAGAAAGTTATGAACAATTAAGAGTGACATCTGACAAGAAAGAAAAGGAAAGAGAACATCTTGAAAAAAAGATGGATGAACTAAAGAAAACAGCAGAGATCTCAAATGAACAATGTCTATTTGCTCAAAAGGAACTAGCTAGTGCAAAGCAAGCATATGAGGCAGACATATCCGAAATGTGCAGGACACTTGAAACGTACAAGATGGAGAACGAAAAGTTGATGAATGTCAAAGAAAAGGAGTTAGACCAGAAGACGAAAGATATATTGGAATCGAAAGACAAGTTGGAGTCTTTGGTAAGAGAGAGAGACCAAGAATTACAGATGTTTCAAAAACAAATCGCAGAAAAAAATGAAAAGATTGAAGAGCTCATTCAGAAATTGATATCTGCAAACAAAGTTCCCAGGGAAGAAAAGCAGCCGAAAGCTCCTTTCGATATGGACGTTGAGATGGTTTCTGTGAAAGCTAAAGGCCGGGAAGAGATTGAATCTTCAAGAAAATCTCCAAATGGAACCATGGATCAGGCTCATACGCAGAGAACAGAAAGTCCACATGTACGAAAGTTGTTCCCAAAGTCGCCACTTGCTACACCTTCAACAACTCCAAGAGGTATGTTACAATTACCTTCATCACATACTTTACCAGTAATGTTCTTAATATGCTCAATGAAAATTGGCATTTTCAAACTACTGAATAGAAACAGTACCAATTGCAAGGGAGGTGGGTGTACTGATTCTATTGAATAAAGCCCCCAAAGTATTTTCAGATAGTTTCTTAAAGCAAAACAAAAGCAATCTTGTTTTGGCCTTTTTCATGTTTAGTCACCTCACCGATCCGTAATTTGCTCCGTGATCGCAGTACTAGATGTTATCCACTTATTAATAGCTAAGATATTGATAAATGCTGAGGTAAAGCTGTGAATAGAATCGCTATATGCTTCTTTACATTTTTGTTGATCAAGCAATTAATGAGCAAGTAGGATGCTATAAAGCATGTTATGATTTCGTTAAAAATTATTTTCACTAAGATGGACAATTGCTTTCACATTTTTTAAATTTCACATTCTTCCTATTGAATATCATAATTAAAACTTGATTTCTTCAGCTTCTTTGCAAACTCCACAAAGCATCCTTCGATATGGAGACGACAGACCTGGTAAATCAAAGAGAGTTGCATTCAATTTTAATGATGATGAATCTTCAGACGAAGAGGATCCATTGAACAAAAGGCAAAGAGTACCAAACACCTCAGCAACATCTAAACTGCCAAGCAAAATAATATCCGTTAAACCCACTGTCCGAGAATCTCCCAAACTGGTAGTGCCACCGACACCAAAAGGCACCAGGACAGAGAAAGTCTATAATCGAGGACATTCTGATAAAAAATCACCTGGCTTAGACAAGGCAAAGAAAGTAAGAAATTCGGAAGAGATAGACCAGTTTAATAAACTCTTCCCTAAGCAAACAGGAGTCGAAGAAAAGGGAAGAAAAAGTGAAGAGAAGTCAAAGAAACCAGCTTTCAAGAGCAAAATCAAGAAGGTGGTGCCACGAACAAAGAAATCTTCAACAGAGAAAATGGATCTTTCATGGTTTGATGCGGACTCAGCTTTTGGTTTTGGATCTGAGGAATAATTTGTAAGAACTTCACACTGTTTATGAAGTTAAACATGGTTTGGGTTCGCAGTGAAAAAAACGTTGCAAATCAATGAGTTACTGGATTACAAGTTTGACATCTTCTTCCCTTAGAAGTCTTAATAAGGATCTAAGTTGTAAAAGGTATTTGGATTTTTAGACTTCAATTTCGCTTGTAATAGCTTAAACATACTTGAAATTCCGTCATTCAAAAATTATGCATTCGCTAGTAATTAAGAACATTTATACTGATGGCCTTTAGAATACAGTTCCTTTGATTTCAATAACAGTACTATGATCGTTGAATAGGTCTTGCTGACATTCCAGAGACTTTGAAGACTGTTGCAATGGCAACTATAGCATGTGCTCATTGCTAACCATAACATTATGGCTTTAAAAGCGTTTGTGCTCATTGCTAACCATAACATTATGGCTTTAAAAGCGTTTGTTTACATGTATTTGAGTTTTTTGAATTTTTCACCGACTATGCTGATAAAAATACAATGAGTTGTTGTATTCAAGAGGGGTTTTATCACGAATTATTGGGCTTATTTGTATTGATGACTTCTTAAGCAAGAGATTTGCAAGCGGTTCTGAAACATTGCACTTCAATTGCCATCAGCATAGTTAGTAATAGTTTTACCAAAAGGGCTAGGTTTCGATATCTTTAAGCATCAATGGAAAAGTGTGAATCATACGTTTGAACTTTTGCGAATAATTTAAGGTATTTTCTTTGATTGGGAACTTCACGCATACATTTCTGAAACTCAACCAAAATTACCAAATATTCGAAGCAAGGAACTTTTACAAGTCTAGGAACATGTAACAGAAAAACATGAATTGTAAATGACATTTTGTAGTGCGTTAAGTGAAATTGTGCAGACTGCTATCCACCATAATTGAAAAGAAAAACTTTGACAATATCTTCCTGAGTAATGAATACCATTAAGGTTCCACGTGTTTTCTTTATTTTCAATGTTGTTGTTGTTAGTTGCTATGAATTCATAATTTTTTAAAAAAAGCATACTGTTGAGTAATTGTAATGTCGACAATATTAAAAATAAATAGGCTATTTTGCATTTAACCATAATACGTTGACTATTCGACAATGCCGATTTCACTGTTCAACTTATAGTATGATCATATAATTTATATTGTTATGAAACAATTGTAAAATAAAGGAATGAAAAGGACAAGATTTATCTTTGTATCCTAATGCTATTCAAATTAAACACAACTGCGTATATAGAGAATTACTATCTCTTGCAGTTACAATCAGTTTGTACGAAACAAGAAAATCTTGAAACCTTTTTTCAAAAGGACTTTCTAGCAGAGATTTGGGATCAACAAGTATTGTGTTACTCTAAAGTTACAGTTCTGGAAATTTTTTATACCTTGTATCTTTATTTTTAGATATTTTAAAGCAAAAATTCCTAAAAGAGCTCCTTTTGTTGCACATGAAAGATAAAAGAAGAACTTCTAAGGACTCTTCTTTAATTTTTAATGCAATATCAATAATATAGAGAGATAGTTACCTTTAAGTCTCAAATAACTGCTGCATCTTTGTGACCCTTCAATAAGCTGCATCTTACTGTTTCTAGTGGCTTTAAAACACTGATTATTTTATCTTCGAATCGGAAAGGGATTTTTGGAAAAAGACGCAGGGCCAAAGAAGCACGTGAAACAATGCATGTTTATGGTGTTTTGTCCATTAACACTGTCCGGTAACTTGCGGAGGTGGGCCAACAAAGCGTAACGTTATTGGCCTATGAGCATCACGTGACTTTATTTTGCGACCAAAGGTCCTGACAACTCATTTCGCTTCCTTTCCCAACAACTTAGAAGGCGTTCTACACGTGCAAACATCATTGCAGACCAGAGATACCCAAAGTAAAATGGCCTACCTTAGCTGTGAGCAGAAAAAGGAGCTAAAGCGGGTTGCTGAGGCAATTGTTGCTCCAGGCAAAGGCATTTTAGCTGCGGATGAGAGCACAGGAACGATGGGCAAAAGACTTGCAAACATTGGCCTGGAGAACACCGACGAGAATCGCAGAAGGTATCGAGAGCTGCTGTTTACTGCCGACAAATCTATTGCCCAGTATCTTGGCGGTGTTATTCTGTTTCACGATACTCTGTATCAGAAGTCAAAGGATGGCGTGCCATTTGTCCAACTTATAAAGGAGAGGGGAATCATTCCAGGAATCAAGGTTGACAAAGGCCTAGTCAATTTACCAGGAACTATCGACGAGACAACAACCCAAGGCCTAGATGGCATGGCTGAACGTGTTCAGCAGTACGTGAAAGATGGTGCTCAGTTCGCCAAATTCCGTTGTGTTATCAAAATCAACGTGGCAAATAACGTACCCACCGATGTTGCGATTCAAGAAAATGCCCAAGTCCTCTCGAGGTATGCAGTGATTTGCCAAGCCAATGGCCTCGTCCCAATTGTGGAACCAGAAATTCTTATAGATGGAACACACGAGCTTAACGTTGCACAACGAGTGACAGAAAGGGTTCTTGCATGTGTATACAAATCCCTAATAGACCACCATGTTTACCTGGAAGGAACGCTTCTCAAGCCCAATATGGTAACCCAAGGTAAGGCAACATTGCACTGACTTTTCTTTTTTTCAGTCATAAGGTACTTGTTGTTTGATATGAAACAACTATGATAAATAACAGAGAAAATAAAAGGGGGCGTTGTTGGAACGGTTGAAAAACATTTCTGATTAACTTTTATCAATCTATCTTATTTAGACCTGTTGTTTGAAAAACCTCAAGATTATGGAATAAACTCTTCAACATTATTTACCAGTTTTTACTCTTAAAAATTTAAGAATTGTAGTTACCTGAACTTAGAAAAATTCAAGCTAAAACTAAAGACCATCTGAGTATAAAACTGAATTTTCTATAGCCATATCAGCCTAAACTCTGCTGCATCATAAATAAAGCTTAACAAGATACAATGTATCTTTGAATATTTGATCATCAATTTCACATCTTCATTTGTTTATATTAATTTTAATTGGTCTTGAACAGGACAATCTTGCTCAACAAAGTACACTCCACAACAAGTCGCAGAAGCAACCGTCACCACTCTTCAAAGAACCACCCCTGCTGCAGTACCAGGCATCACATTCTTGTCTGGTGGCCAATCAGAGGTTGATGCAACTCTTCACCTTGATGCCATTAACAAACACCAAGGTATTAAAATCTTTTACCAGTATTTAACAATTAATGTGTTTGTGTTGCTATTATTTAGTAGAAAACAAGGTTATTCACTTTCTTAGCAAAGACCAAGGCCAGGAGAAGTTTTCTGAGGAAGGGACTAAAGCCAGAATCTGCAACATGAAATATGCATCCAACAATAGTATTTTTCTCCATCTTCGGGGTAGCTTAGCCTGATAATCGTACAGTTGACTGATTATTGCATTGAGCCTGAAACTTGGAGTAGCAACATAGAATTGACCTGTTCTATACACAAAATAGTGTACAATTCTGCCTATATGGTATCAAACACTTTGTGACAGAATGGTTGCACCTTTTTTATCTGAATGTCTTTGATTTGTAACCATGAAAACGTTTTTGTCAAAAGGCTGGTCACACAAATTTCTTTTTTTCCAAAGTCAGACCCTTGATAAAACCTCCACTTGAGTCTTTGTCTTCAGAGAATAATTTCTTATATTTTCAGTGAGTTTGATTAAATTTTTGTGTTTCTATTTTAAAAACAGGTAAAAAGCCATGGGCATTGACCTTCTCCTATGGCCGTGCCCTGCAAGCTTCAGTATTGAAAGCTTGGGGAGGAAAGGAGGAAAACGTTGCAGCTGCACAGAAAGAATTGTTGAAAAGATCGTACTTGAACAGTTTGGCAGCACTTGGGAAATACGAAGGAGAAGAGCTGTCAGAAGGAGCTCAGCAATCACTCTTTATAAAAAACCATTCATACTAAAATATATGCAGACTGAACACAAACTGATAGCATGCTGAAATTATTTACAAGTGAGATATTTAATGTGACTGGGATTTTTCAATTAACAGTGTAATTCTTATAGAAAGATAATGTTGTGGTCCATGTTTCGAAGTTGGCGATAACATCTTTATTTTATCTTAATGCATTCTTACAATTGCTGAATAGAATAACATTTAACACCTGCAATGACAGTTTCTTTATTTGCTATTAATGGTTCCTTTTCCTGAAATTATTTTACAAATAGAAGAAGAGTAAGTTGTGCTTTTGATTTGGGAAGTTTTGAAATATCTGGCTATGATTAATTAATTGATCATATCATATATATTTGATTAACCATATGGTAGAGTTGGAGAGAAAAATAAGTACACAAATGCTTAATGGATCTTATGTGTGGATATTTTGGTTGGAACTTGTGCACTTACGGGTAACTGGGTAAGTCAATACCATTAAGTTAATGCATTCTGTATGTAGTTACAATCTGTAGTTAGAACGCAATCAAACAATCAAAGTGATACAATCTGTAGTTAGAACGCAATCAAACATTGAAGAATCAAGATAAAATTCTACCTTATTGGGAAATTCAAACTTTAAGTATAGGATTACTGTTCTCTGCTGAGAAATTTGACATCATTTATCAGTTCCAGCAGTGCCTCTTGCAGCTAAAAAATGATGCAAAGATGAAAAATCAGACAAGATTTGAAAATAGACAGATAATTATTTTCTGATATTTGATGCAATCAGAATGGCATTCGGAAACACCCTTTCACAATGAAACACACAAAGATCCCAAATGTCTTAATAGAATTTCAGATTCTTTTCTAAGTTTCAGTTTTTTCATGAAACTTATATGAAATTTGTTTATGGAGATAAGAAAAACTTAATGAGCTAGAAGCTTGTTGCTATTCTTTTAAAAATATGACTGTGTTAAAACTATGTAAATTTAAAACTTTCTGTGAAATGTAAATTGTTGGTCTATCTGGTACTCACCTCCCCAGCTGCATCAACTGCTATAGCCCTCATATTTTCAATTGAGAACTGTTTTTCAAGAAAAAAGATCAAAGGCACTTAGGTAAGAAAGTTTGGTTAATCAGTGTCACTTATATTGTTGATCAACATCAAAACAGGTTGTCTTTTCCATTTTTTCCAGCCCATATTCCACCAGCATTCAAGGGTTATGACCGTAATACACACAGGTTCAGCAGTCTCAATATACTGAACCCCTCAAAGTATGGTAACCTTTCAAAATAACACCATGGTTTGCATTTGTCAACTAATTGCCAGTCAACTAAATGCCTCTGCTTAACCCAATTAAGGTGCCTTTCATTGATGATTCATTCTGCCGCACTGTCCCTTACTCATAGAGTTTTGGCTGTGAAATGTAGGCACAATTTTTGCACATATGCATACACATATTTGACTAAGATGAAGGCTGCAATGTGCAGAAGCTCTAATTGCTAAAAATGCATAAGAATAGGCATCACTAGAAATGGGTTAATTGTAAAAGCAAATTTAGCATTGATAAATTCGCCCTGAAACAATAGCAATCAACAAAGATTAGGAAATACAAAAGGACTTATGGGCATTTATTGCCCAAAATCAAACATGCTCAACTTTTAAAATGGAAACTCTGGAATGTTGATAATGTTAAAACGTATGGCAATAATAAGGCAACCTCTGTGAATACACTAGGCATCTTAATTTACATCTTTTTTTTCTTTGAATTTCTAGTCTTAAAACATATCTAGTGGAATTTTAATTACAGAAAATTTCTGTCGGCATCGCTCACATGTAGAATTGTAAGAAATCTGACTAACCATGCTTAGGACCACATGAGCTAGGCTTGCATTTTCAGATTCCAACATTAGTGACTGTATCAACCTACAAGGGAAGGGTTTCTGCCAATAAAAATATGATACTTAGGAAGGTAGTATGGTTTAGTATGAAGGGTTTTTGGCTTTGATAATGAAAGTGAGCTGACAAAAAGTATAAAGATTGAAACCATATTTTACTTGCCTTACACTTAGAAGCCGATTTTCCATGGTGGCATCAGCTGATTGAAAATGAATAAAAATAATTATATTAGAGTTATTCAAAGGTTAATGTCCAAGGAAACCAGGCCTTGTGAGGAGCAAAAAGCAGGTGCTTCACAAACAGAGTACCTTTAACCTTCTAGGCGCTCAATTTAGCACCACCATATATCATCAATAACAAAATTTGGTTGTCAATTTTAAGACATCAAAGCATGCTAGGTGCTTGATCAATCAAGCTCCAGTGCTTTCCAGGTGCATGTGGAGGTGCTTGATCGAGCTCTAGTGCCTCTTCTTGCAAGGCCTGAAGGAAACTAACTTGTAATTTGGAGTTGGAAAAAGTAGACACCCTTACTTACCCTTAATTATGGACACAAGTGTTTGTAGCAAAGACTTTTTCTTCGCCAAGTATTTTATTCCTTTTTGGTTGATGCTGCAAGGGAAATAGAGATGTTCATTTCTTTTGTAGTTTCTTCAGATTTATCACAAACATGTATATTACAGATTGGCACCAATGATTTCATTCAGCCACTCAAGTAGACCTCTAAAGTTAATTTCAGGTTTAATAAAAGAAATGTCAATAGTTAACCTGGTATTGTACAAAAACTTCATGCAAAGGTTTCTCATCTTTATCTCCTGTTTCCTTTCTGGCAAAATTTTGCAGAATGTGAAAATAATGGAATCAACCAGCTTCTCTCCATTTTCATTGCTCATCAGAAATTCTCTCCCATAAGATGAAGCTGCAATATTGGTTGCCACACCGCACAAAGCCAGAACAAATTTGACCTCTCTTGAGTTTTCATCATAGGATTCATTTTCAGACAATGTCAGTGAAAAGCTTTCTATTGTGTGGCATACCAGTTGAATGAATTCATCAGTGTGGGTCTAATTTTAACACAGGGAAAGGGAAAAAGAAACACTGGGTCAGAAAAAATATCTCTTAATACTGCAAAACAGTGTTGTCAAAATCTATTTTTGTTAAAGAAAAGAATGTTGAATTATATTTTTGTTAAATGGTGAATAATAACAAGTTCAAGATGAACTAACAAAATTCAAGAAGTGACAGGAAGGAAAGAAAATTGAGGGCCTTCAGAGGTCAATGAGAGAGTGTAATGTTTGTTACCCCTGCAAGTATGGTTTCTGTGCAGTCTTCCCTTTGTGAAAGCCGCCAAAGTAGAGTGCATGTAGCTGCACCCATGCGAGAACAGTAGTCTGATTGCTGCGAATTTATTTCATTTAGCTCTTCTATGGCTTGCTGCAAAAGCAAAAGAGCTATTTATCTCATCATGTAAATCATTGTTGCTTGCATACAAATTCCTATTATTTTTTCTGATTCAATGAAACACAATTAAATGAAACTTTAAAATACATACTTTCATCTCAGCTTTTTCCTGAAAAGTAAAAGGATCAAAAATTTAGTGCCATCAGTACTGTTTTATTAGAAGCAACTAATGAAACATTATCAGCATCATGAAAGTAATCATCATCAGCAATCAATCATCGACAACAGCAAGCAATCATTATCATCTGTCATTATATCCATCATCATTCATCAGTATACTAATGCACATGATACAGATTCTATGCTTCAAAAAATTGCTATAACTGTAACATTGCTACAGACTAGGTATTCAAGACTTTTCAAAGTAAAAAACCAGAGAAGGATAGCCTGTAGCATTATATGCTAAAAAAAATTTTTCACATTTATTTTCAATAATTGGTTTTACTTGTCTTTCTCCTTCAAGCTCGGCCAAGTTATTCTGGTGTTTCTTTGTTGCCCTGTCAAGCTCACTTGCCACTCTTTGCTTTTCCGCCTTTGTTTGTAACAAAGCTGTGACAGGAATTTTTAGTCATTACAAAAGTTTACTTGTTTGATTACCTTTAAAGTGTTATGCTTGGGCTAATGCCAATTGAGGTCAATTTGAAAGCTTTCATAAGTTTATTTTCATTTAAACTGAAGTCCATGGTAAAAATTATGAGGCATAGCAAATAGGAAAATCTTATCAAAGAAATATATGGCACACCCATCCTTTTATATTGAAAACAGAAAGATTTTGCATGTTGATGCAAAACACCTTCCAAATAGTCCATGCTTAATACAGCTCTACTCAATATTAGATAAGGTTTAATTTAGATAAATTGATTCATATTACATATTCCAAGACACATTTATTAACAGTAAAGTAACATACCTGCTTCTGTCTTATCTAGTTTAGTGTATGCCAAATAAAAATCTTTTCTTAGAATCTGCAATTGAACAATTTATTCTGATTGTGTTGTGGATGTTTGTTTTAATTTGGAAATCAGTTAGAATGAGAGAAGGGGAATCAGATTGTTTCATGTTTGAAATATTATTAAACTGTCCAGAAAAGAAAAAATAATTAAAATATTATTTTGTTTTTTTCATAATAGAGTAACATCTGAGGATGGTCAAGCTTAAAGCATTATCGCAATTTGAGATAGTACATACCTTAGGAAGATACTCTTTGATCTGCATTGCTTCTGTTGTTAACCTTTCAATATCTTTTCTACTAACCAGGAAGTATTCTTCAGACTCTAATTGCTTTTGCTAATGAAAACATGAACAGAGCTCTTGCAAAAAAATCATTGGGGGATCTTTGTGTCGTAACCCACAATGTTCATCAGGGGTGCAGTGAATTGTTTTGCAGAAAAGGTAGTTTGAGGGATATTTTAAATATATACATATATAATTCACCTAAAATTCCTGGAAAAGTACCAAAATTATCAGAAGGTGCCCCTTGTTTCCAGTCCAATTTTGCTCATCAAATAACTGTTACAATATTTTTAACTCTTATTGCTCATCATTAGATTTGTTGTTCCCTACTAATAAATGTGCCCAACAAAGCAGGTAATGGTCAAATTTTTTTACAATTTCAAAGGCATTGTATAGTATAAGTATAAGTTCTTAGCTTACCAATTTATTCCAATTTTCAGCTGCAAGTTTCAGTTTTTCTACATGTTTCACTTGATTCCTTAGCTCAGTGTAAACTTGATTTGCTTCCACCCGTATTTCTTTTGTTGCACATAGCTGCAATAATGTTGAAATGTAAATTAAAGTCCATTTTTAAGACATACACCATATCTAAATTAAAGAAGTTGTCATATTTGATGGTAGGTACATGTGTGGAAGAAATTTGGAGACAACTGGGTAAGTTTTCTTTCCCCATTCACTAACTCCAATAGTATTTGAAACCCCTTCTTCAAAATATTGAAAAAAGTAAATACCCCAATAGTTTTCTTCTTGTGTCATACATCCAATTCTTTTTTATCTGCCAGACTGGTTAAAATCATTAACCATCTATTGAAGCAGGCTCTTTGATACATAACATTTGACTGCAGCAAACTTTTGTTCTCAGTTATGCTATTAAGGCACGGTGATTATCCATATATTTCTAATCTACACTAATTAATGCTTTCGTGCACCTAGCCAATCTTTTTTTTAAGTTTGTGATTTAATGCTATTTGATTATGTAAAGAAAAATTGTGTTGTTATTTTAGTTGCACAACAACAATCATTGTTTTATGCAAGATTTGTCAGATATTTTTTCTCGCTGGAGACGTCCTTAAAAAAGTTTGAAGCGCATCAGGAATCATTGAACAAAATTTGATCACCTAATAAAACAAGGCTTAGAAATTTCATATCTTTCCAAAAAAGCTTCCACACCCTGGTAAGGATGAATAAAAATGATAACTCCATAAACAAAAAAAATGGAAACAGATGTCTGCCAAAAAGGAATACAAGCTCACTAGAACTACTTACAGCTCTTTCAAGGTCAGTTTTGTCAACAATTGCCAACTCTCGTTTCGTTGAATCCATATTCGAAATTTTTTTCTTATGTTGACATTTTGTTGAAAATGACGCAATATCTTTCCCGCCAATTTTTCAATTTACTCGATCCAGACCTTTTTCAGACGATGGCCTAACCTAACTAGCAATGCCCGTGCCAGATAGAAGCATGTCTCAAGAATCAGAGGAATCTGACGAAGGTGACAAGTATGTCTTTGTTGCCAGAATGGATAACGCCAGGAATCTTACAAATGTTTTAAAGGCGATTAACTTCAAAGATGTAAGTTTTTAGATATATGCATTTTCATTTTATTATCAACAATTTAAAAAAAATAAATAGTAGATCGTATTCTATTAATATATTTACTATATTACACCAGTTCACTACACTCCCCTCCAATAGTATTATAAAGATATAATCCAGTTTTGATATGCTCATAAGTAAAAATTGAACCAAAAAATGCTGTAAGGCCAATGCTCGTTGGCAATGGAGCAAGGAGATAAACAGTAAACATGCATAAAAATAATGATAATAATAATAATAATAATAATAATAATAATAATAATAATAATAATATCAGATTTATACAGGTTAACTTTGGTCAGCAACAACGTGCTGTTATCAGTAAAGGACCTGTCTAAAATATACATGGATTATCGAAATTAAAATTATATACATGATGAAAATGAAATCTTAAAAGTCAAAGGTAAAATTTTGACAAAAAGTCCTAAATCTTCAAATTGAAGTTTTACACTTCATTTTGTTATTAAAAGTCTTTGCTCTTCGAAAGTAAAAGGCCTTTTTGCCTGCTTCCCATTGTGCTTTGGGCAAAACAATATTTTTTGCATTGGCACGAGTACACTGTCTGTGTTTTACTCTAGTGAAGTAGTTTTGAAAGGCGTGTGGCGATGTGCCATTCAAACTTTTGAAAACTTCAAGATGCATGCAGCCATCACATTTATCAATAATATACAAATATTTTGTTACATTTCATCTGTTAGTTAGTCATGAAATAACAACTGTTTTTGACTCTATAAGATGAACAGTAATAAAAGCCTATCAAAACCCAGCTTATCCTTCCCATGTAGTTTAGCTATTAAAATAGAAGCAAGGTTAGCTAAAACATTTACCAATTATTAAGCCACATAAATAAAATTGCACCCCTTTTAAAAATGGACCAATCAAATGGCCAGTCTCTTTATTTCCTCGAAAATTGGTATATTATAATATTATTTGCTAAGTAGAAGCCTGTTTTATACTTTTTCAGGTAGCAAATGTCTTTTTGTCAGAGGATGGTCTAAAGATAACAGTGGAAGATAGCAAATATATACAAGCCAGTGCTTTTGTCCAGTCATCTATATTTCAGGAATATTCATTCAAGGATGAAAATGCTGTTTTCACATTAAATCTTAATGTTATGCTAGTAAGTGATTTAAGGTCTCTTTAGAAACACAGATCACTGAATGACTGCAGAATTTGTGCACAAATCTTTTTCTTTTTAGATTATGATGGAGCCTCCTTCGTTTGTTCTCATCAAAGCTAGTTCTTTAGGTAATCCACAAAGTATTTAGAATCTCATTACTGTGTTAACCTTTCCAGCCTCAATGAAAATTTGTTCATATCATTCATAACATTTGGAGTCAAGCTGGAATTCTTTAGCTCATTTGTATGTTATGGCATTATTTAGTTAAATTATTTCAATTGTGAAATATGAGATGAATTCCATTACTTATAAATATGCATTATCTTTAATTAAGGAGTGCTTGAATATATTTGGAAGCAGTAAAGATTCTTGTTCCTTCACTGCTTTGAAGATGTGCTATGGGGGCCATGGGTCACCACTTAAGCTTATGTAAGTATGAGTGTTAAAGCAGCTTGGAGTTTTATTATTGGTATTCCAGTAATAATAATTTTTTTCTATAAAAGACCACTGGAATCATCATAAGAATCTGCTTGTTTGAAGGTGGTTTTATGTCGCTATGTGACTAAATTTTTAAGGCTACATCTTGTTTTATATACATGGCATCATTATCATTATTGAGTTTTTTTTGTAATGCAAAATACAGTATAGACTTATTTTGCATTTATCCTTTAAACACTATATGACAACAATTTAGTTATCACATCATAACATATTTAATGTAAAGGTAGAAAAATAACTTAGCATGTTGTTAACTTCTCTACGGATAAAGAAGATGGTTTACCAGTTATATTATCTTGGTTTATTTTACTAATTCTATCACATCACAGGCTAGTTGAAGATGCTGGCATATTGACTGACTGTAGTATAAAGACACAAGAACCTGATGATCTTCTTGAGTTTGATTTTTCTGGTGAAGATGTTGAAAACAAAATTATTATGAAGGTATTTTATTCGAATTTTTGTTTCTTAGTCAAGGCATATAATATTGCTAAAATATGTGTTTTGTCAACCTGACAAACAACAGCCAATTCAAGAGGCAGAAAGTCATTGTTCATAGGGGGGGGGGCAAAAGCACTAAAGATATGTTTTAAATTGCAATTTAGTGGAAGCTGGAGGGCTCTCCTGGTCATTTCTGCACATGTTTTTTAAAAAAAAATTCTCAACAATCTGGCTCCAATTCTTTTACTGTTTTTTTCATTCTGCTATATCTTGCATTTATTTGCTGTATTTACTTCATAAAGAAATCATTGAATTTTGCATTTTCCCACTGAATCATAGGAAATGAATTGTTTGATACTAAGATTTTTTTATCAGGTGTTATCTCAAATGATGTTATTTGCATGTAATATTTTCCCACAGTCTGATGCCCTTAAAGATGCATTTGCAGAGCTGGATATGACAAGTGATTTCATTGAAATTCTAATGTCTCCTGATGCACCATATTTCAGAATATCAACTTATGGATATGCTGGCAGTAGTCATGTAAGTTACATTATTTACATTTATTTGTTATTTGATAATTATTGTATTTTTTATCCATTGACTGTTTGGCCATAAGCAGTCTACCAACAAGTTTCTCAACCTTTTTGAGATTGTTAATTGGCTAAAAAAGGAAACAAATAAAGGGTATAACTGCCTCAAAAATGAATTCAGCTGAGGTTGAATGCTATGACATATCACTCTTTTAGCATTAGATTCACCATAAAAACCCTGCTGGGTAGCACTTAAAGCCATATTTAAGCCAAATTTGTTGTTTTGTGTGCTTGATTCTTAATTGAAAGTTGAATGCATTGCTAAATGTAACACTGATGTTTGCTGTTAGAAATGTACAAAGTTTGTACGTATCTAATCATTGAACTCTTTTTCAGGCTGACTATCCCAAAGATTCAGACCTTGTTGAGGTCTTTGAATGTAACAAAACACAAACTAACAGGTAAAAATGTTGATCGATTGCCTAAACAAAAGGCTTGATTTTGTATAAAAGTTGTTCTTAGTGCCACCTATGTTTTTCTGCAGAAATATCCTTGATGTAGCATTGTGATAAACTTAAAATAGTGACAAAAAGCAATTATTTTGAACAGGGACGAAAACAAGTGGCCAATTTTGGGGGGTTGTGGAATGAAAAAAATTCCAACTTTACAAAAGATGAAGCACTCCTCTTTGATCAAATACTTTTGCTGCAGCTTCTGCAATGTTTTCTGGCTTCTCAGCAGATTTATCATAGCAATTTATGATAAAGAGTTAAGGGCCTTCACAAACAACTAGCATAAGCTTAGCATACACTCGTTTTTATAATAAGTGTCGATAATTTCTATTACTGAAAGGTTCTTAATTTTATATTGAATTAACTACTCGTAATATCTTAAAAAATTCCCACTTAGATTTTTTCTGATCAATACAGGGTATTATTTTTTCAAATCTGTAGGCTCAATTCTTTTTTTAAAGTTTCCGGTTTTTTTTCTGGAAATTCACCTTCCCTGTTCAAAATAATTCAATTCAACTCCTGTCAAAAAGAAAACAAACGGTGCAATGGTGCAATTTGAGATCCAGTGGAGAAGGGCTTCACAATAGAAAAATATTAGTGGATGGGTCTGCTCCACCCTGTGAATTTTAATAAGATTTAAAATGTTTACATTTAAAATCCCAAATTCCTAAAATATAAAATTCACAAGTTTTGTCTTAAGAAAATAAGTCCAAGTAAACAGTAATGGGTTTTCCAAACTTTAAGGGGGCATCGCGCCCCTACGCCTCCTGTTATTTAGGTGCCTGATTATGAATAATGAATACGTTTACCAATGAATACGAAATTAAAAGCTAAAAAATCAATGACAACATGGCAAGTTTCTTTATTTTTGTCACAGAAATTATTTCATTTTTTTAACTGCAATTGTTTTAGATTTTAGAAGTGTCTTGTGCTAAGAAATTATGATTTAATTATTGATTCAGTCATTTAATTACTGTCGAGTTTGTAGGGTATTGTTCAATGGCTGTTGTGATTCATTTTCTTCAGATACAAAACAACGCTGTTGAAACCATCGACAAAGGCACTTAGCTTGTCAACTAAAATTTCTATTCGGATGGATAAACGTGGTTTTTTGTCCATGCAGTACATGATCGTGACTGATGACAGGCAGATCTGTTTTGTCGAATTTTTGGTATGTTGTATATTCTTATTAAAAAATGGTTTTCCTTTAAGGGTAGTTCCAAAGAATTTCTTGTTGTATTTTATAATTATATAGCCAAAGGATTGTAAAAACATTGTTTGGCTTTGCTGACAACAAATGTGGAACAAAATACTGAAAATACTTTAAGACAGACCTCGATAAATATGAAATAGTCATTAGTGTTTACTATATGTTTCGTATTATTAAGGGAAATGAGAGTTTGTCTTTTTTCATCAATAGTGTTGTCCAGATGAAGATGTCGGCGAAGAAGTTGCTGATGAATGAGGTCATATTTTCCTCTCTGTTAAATGAAGCGAAGTCTTTTACAAACACGAAGAGAATGCAGGTTGATTTCATTTGGTCATTGAAAATACTAAGAAGTGAATGGACTTCATTGTAATTTGAAAGATGCCAGCAACTTCATTGTTTGTCCTCCCAGTCCTGAAAATGAAAAGGAACTCAAATGCTGTTCCAAACGCATTCAAAACTGCTTATATGGTTTTGATCGCTTTTTTCTTCGTTGCAGAAGTGCATCCACTTTTTACGAACTCATGCACCCGCGTTCTGAGGGTTATTTTGTCGTTTTAAACCAGATTTGGACCCTCAAAGAATCTCTTTTTGTTAATTAGTTTTAAAAACGTTCGTTTATTGGAAGTTTTTCATTACAGCGTCTATTCAATGCAGGTACTTTTCGTATACTTTCTATAGCTGATTAACAAAGAATCCTGGCGAACCCTTGCTAATCAGCTATATAGGCTTCACTCTATTGAGAGGATCAAACAAGATCTCTAGCACAAAGGAGATCGATAAACTTTCATTTAGATTTTCTCGAGATTTAAAATTGTAAATAAAACACTGCGTTATTTCTTTTGTAAATATTACTTGATGTGCATTTCTAATTGATCGTTTAAAATTTGGAGTCAAATAGATTTATATTTACCAGAACATGTGTATAATCATTATAGATCAGTTTGCTCAAGAACAGGTCGCTAAAAAACGGACCCATTTTTCGTTCAGCTATCTCGTGTACTGAGGATTTAGAATCTCCTGAACAGCGACGAAGTGCAGGGGGGGGGGGGTATTTAGGCAGATATTTGCCTACCATTAATGCGATTAACATTTTATCATATTTAGACAGGATTTTTTCTTTTGAAGCTTGAAATATTATAAATGGTTAATCTAGAGAGTTAATCATCCGAAAGTTCTAAATTGACGCAACCAGACCCAGTTTGTTTCCAAAAACGGTTTGCAAACTTTTCACAGTTTGCAAGCTAATGGATGAGACACCAATCTCTATGGTTGGTGCTTGATTGTAACCAAGTTGGTATGCTCAGCCACGCTTCAGCTGGAATTTGATAAATCTGCCCTCCTTTTAGAACGCTAGAAATTTTAGATGTTAGAAAGACTAATGTTAGGAATCCCACCAAAATTGACAGCCTAATATGTTACTTAAACTTTGTCACGGAAAACTATGAAGGAAGATAGTTTAGGTCAGCAATTTTTCTTCATATTACATTTGAGTGCTGTCGTCGTTTTGCGGTTTTCATACCTATCAACTAGCAATCTACTATAGGACAGCAATATCCGCATAATTTTCCCGCAAAATGAAAACGAGGTTTTGTGGCCTAGCAAAGGAAAAGGGACGCTCTTGTAAGCCAGTATTGGTTAATTGCCAACTTTGATATGTGCATAGTATTCCTGCAATTCTTGAAGAGCCCTAACCTGCAAATATCAAAATATTGGCTCATTCTTGCAGCAAACCGAGATGAATTTTTTCATCGTCCGTCTAAACCTGCAGATTTCTGGGAAAACCAAGAACACGTGATTGGAGGTGAGACGTTGTTGTGGCCCAGCTAGCAGATAATTTAAATTTACCCGGCAAAAATGTACCTGTATGTTTTTTGCTTAATGATTTGAAAATCAAAGATTCCGTATAGGGGACTTCTAGTCCTGTTGTTCGTGACTGATGGATGACGATTCTTCTCCATCACTAGGACAGGATCTTACGAAAGGGAGAGAGGGTGGCACATGGCTTGGAATGTCAAGGAATGGCAAAGTTGGTATGTTAACGAATTATCGGAGCAAGGCAGATCATTTGCAGAAAAATGCCAGCGGAGTACTAAAACCAAGAGGACAAATTGTGGTCAATTATCTCACAGAGAATCGGCACCCACAATCATATGTGCATGAATTAATGGCTTCTGAGAAAGAATACTCCCCCTACAACATTTTACTAGGGAACTTTACAAAGAATTCTGGATTCAATTTCTATTATGGATCAAATGCAGTTAAGATGACCGAGAAGGATTTTGAACTGGAGCCAGGTATCTAACTCCATTTGTGGATATTAAATTATCAACAGAACTTGTTTTAGGGTTTTGTAGATTTTGGGAGGTTGTAGACAGTTCTTGTTCAGGACCATGCCCTCCTTTGTTTTTCCCAAAACAGCTTTCCACAAAAGCTTTTGTTTTGAATCTAAATATCAAAGCTTTTCATTAAATATCCAATTATTTTAAAATTATTATGATAATTCCTGAAAATAATTTTTTGGCTTTTCTGTTTTTAGTATGAGCATGATTGCAAAATTGTTTCAAGAGAGATAGTAGAGAGGAGAAAAACTACAACATTGAAGCACACTTTTCTAGTTGTTGTAAAGTGACACTTCCAATTAAGAAAAAAAGTGACATTTTCAGGGTCACTTTTAAGGACATTTCCAGATAAGTGCATTTCATTTTCAGCAAATAATTCTATAATTTTCATAGGTGTTCATGGATTAAGTAATGCAGAACTGAATTGTTCTTGGACGAAAGTTCAGAAGGGCAAAAAGAAATTTGAAGAAATTGTTAGCAATGATTTTGAAAAAGAGGAGCTTATACAAAAACTGCTTGAGTTGATGGAAAATGGTGAAATGTAAGTTGTTTACAAAGAAACTGCAGCAAACTTCAAGGCCAGTGAAATAAATCAAGTAGAATGGATTTTTAAGAAAGTAATTATATCCTGATCTGGAATACAGATAATCATTGAAGGCAGTATGTCATGCCAGTCATTAGTTTTTTGAAACAGTGAGTTTTCATTTCGTAACAAAAGATGTCTTTTACTTGCTATTGATCAGTTATATAACTTGTCACGCTTCTCTAGTTTTGAGGACCCTTGAAATTCAACAATCAATTGCTAATGAACAGCGCGACACACTGCCTTTAAAAGCACCAAGTTATGATGATATATGTACCCAATACTTGTCACAATATTTGTGCTTTTGGTGGGCCTAAGATTTTTCAAATGTAATTACCTTGTGGTAAATTTTGTCAAGGGGAAGTTGTAAACAGTTTTGGCCAAAACCACATGAAACTATAGTGATCACACCAAATGTGAAGGACCCCCTACAGGGGATGCCTATTTAGCATGACAGACTGCCTGGTGACTTAGGCAATGACAGATATTTGCCAGATCGAAATTTGGAAGACTACACTGGCTTTAAATGCAGTTTTTCTGGAAAAGAAATATTTTGCTCCCAGTAATTTGAAATGTTTTCTAGTCAATCAAGACAATACAAAAGGTAATTGTAAATAGTTGTAGGGCTTTCCCAAAAAATACCTCCCATCAGTGGATCTTTTATTTTTTCATGTTTAGAAATTACCCAAATCATGGTGGATCAGACCTGCATTTGGATGAAGAAATAGCAGTGCCACTCAGTGCTATATTTGTTTCTGTACCCAAGACTATGTATGGCACAAGGTAAAGGCTTTAGAATTTATCAAATTGCATTTAATTTGGTACTTGTACCATCATCATTCCTAATTCAATTTACAATTGATTTTCTCCCTATGTACCAGGGCTAACCTCACACCCTCATGTTAACTCTAATTCTACCAAAGACTATCAGCAGTCTTTTTTCTTAATCTCATTCTGTCCACATCTGCTTTCACTCAGTATATCTCACTGCATTTTCCTAGGTCTCACAGCTTGCCTTTTTGTCTTCTCCAAGATTCTCAAGTGCTTGATCACCTTCCAGGAATCTTTTTTATCTACCCAAACCACCTAAACACTTATATTTTATGTTTCAGAACAATAACAATCATTTTGGTTGATAATGAGAATCAAGTTACATTTCTTGAAAAAACAATGATGGATGCAATGGACATCTCCAATCCTAAATGGCAAACAAAGAGTTATGAATTTACTTTAAGTTAAGTTTATTCTTATTAGTGGCTTTTATCTCAATGTAATTTTTTCATTTGATAAAGAATAAAACAAACAATAACGTTTTGAGGCAGGCTGAATAAAAGATTTCAACAGAAAGTAAATCTGGTTAATACAATTGAATATTTTATCCTTTTAATATTGAATAACTATATGTTTTTAAAATGCTAAAATCAATTTTTTGATTCCATCTGTATCTGATCTGGATTAGAGCCTGCATATTGAAACTCTAGATTAAAATTTCCAAACTTAGCTACACCATAATTGCTGGATAAGCCCTAGTGCAAGTGCAAGATAAAACAGTTTATAAAATTGCACAATCTCAGGTTCCTCTATGAGTTCATGTTGTCTTTGAAAATCAATTACTTTGGACCAGATTTTAGTTGTAATTCCAGAATGAGAAAGAGGCTTTTATATAACCATTGTTTTTGCATAACTTCAATTATGGACCCTATTTCAAAGAAAAGCTATTATTTGAAGAACCATTTGGAGCAACTAGTTTTGTTGTTCCACAACAACATTCAGAAATAAAGGGTTGCAAAACAGAGGTTTCCCCAAAGGGGCATTTGAAGTGTAGGTACAGGATACTTGTACCCTATTAACTCAAAGGAAAGCATTAGATTGAAAATGCTTCTGGTGTTGATGGTTATTCCTCATGTTTTAAGCCTACAAAACATCACAATTTCAAATTTTGGGGGGCAAGCCTATTGTTTTTATAAGATGATGTCACAATTTCCTATTGCTTTGAAACAAAAGATCATAGCCCTCCAAAGTATTGGGGGTTGGGGGTGAGTGACTGCCCCCTCACCCCTCATATTTCTGCCAATGATAGCTAAGCTGTTGTAAAGTTCAGAAGTAGGAGTTCAATTTGATTTCCCACCCATTATTCAATGTTTTATCTACCTCTATTATTCTGAAAAGCTTCTTTCTGTACCAGCCAAGTTAAATGCTACATTTTGTCCTACAACAAGTTTTACTTTCTCACCACAGCCACAGATCTACATTCAATCATTCCATACACTGTTACCCTCAATATAATAATAACATATTTTGAATTCATAACAGAGATACAGAGATGAAATTCAAGGACATAATAATTATTATAAGGAATTCTCCATAGTTTGGAATGACAGAACCACCAAGTTACTCTTTATATAATTCTTTGATAATTAGAGGATTCCTAGTGCATGTTTTTTGATAAAACATGTTATTTGCATGCAGTACCAAGTGCTGTTAGTATTTGGCAGCAAATTTGAAAAGCCTTCTATATATAAGGGCTATCAAATGTTTAAGCTTTATACAAAAGGCCACGAAGTTTGTTTGTAAAAGATACCTTTACAAAGAAGAGTCATGTATAGATGACATTGAAAAGTTAAAATGGTATGAATTTGAATTAAATAAGGAGCCAAATGCTTCTAAGAAACATTGGGATTAATTATTTATCTTTCATTTCGTGAAATGTCCATGATATCAATTTTAGTTTCCTTAGAAAAAGCAAAAAAGTCAGCTAGATAACAAATGGTATGCAAATTTTTGTATTTTACTGTCCTGTTTTTTTCTTGGCAAACCACTCATCACTTTTGTCTTTCTCGATGGCCTGTTGATTGATACAAAAAATATAAAAATATTGATTGAGAATTATTTTCTATTGGTTAATAACGGCATATGACAAGATTATTAACACTGTAACCAGGCCTGGCCTTTTGAGGCGAGCGATAGCTTGCGCTCGTCTTCACGCTCCCCTTGCAACTTGAGGTGAGCTGTGCATTGCTCTCCTAAACAGAACATGAAGGAAAAAAGCTCCCCTAATATTTTCATTCATTTGCCCTTTTCTTATTCAGAGAACCTTTAAAAACTTACAAAGGGTAATTTTTTTCTAACAGCAATTTATCCCATCATTGGATATTTTGCAATTAATTGTTTGCCTATCAGGTGGTTTTTGTTGTGGTGGTCAAAAACTTCAGTTTATTTGGCAAATTATAGTGGAGCAAAAGGTACGTTTGTAGAGCTTAGAACCTTTCAATCTTATTAAAACAGACATATTCTTGGTAGCAAAGTCGAAGAAATTGCTGAGAATTGTGGATTGGGGAATAGAATAAAACGGCAGGTCCCTTCCAGCATTAGAAACAAAACTCTACCTCAAATAGAACAGCCTACTCGGTCTTGCAGATAAAAAACTACGACTAAAACTTGCAATTCCATTATTGAGCAGCATTTACTGGAAAACCCAGATTGTGGGAAAAACTATAACAGCGACATTTTTACGACTGGCAAAGCCTGATCATTGTTGCATCTAGAAGTTTATGAATGTTTCTACTAAATAAATATGACAAAATGCTTTTGTGTAGACAACAGAATGAGTTCGTTTTCATCTTAGGACTCCATTGGTAACATTTTCAATAGGAAAGCGGCATTGATTGGGCAACCCCAACAGTCATGTGCTTGCATTTTCTAATTGGCTTATTTCGATCCACAACTAGGTCTTTTCCTAGCGTAGAGTTTTCTGTTTAATACTCTGAAGAGTGCTAGACAAATAACTTAAGTTTGTTTCAAAATTTGCTTTTCCAAGCCATTTTTGAATTCTGTACAACAAAAAGATTGTTATGCAAGAGAATTGTTATTTGTGTTGTGTAAGCTTTAAATCAAGTCCATTTTTTAAATCATTCAAGTAAAAGAGCACCTGAGCCACAGTTAAAGCAAATATAAATTGAAAGAAGTAATACAGCATACTCCTTGATTTAAAGGCTATGTAAAGGTAATTGATAGATACTAAAGGGGCTTAAGCCATCTGTCGATTGCATTCTATGCGTTACTGATTTAGCTTGCCTCAGCAAATGAGAGGAGCGATTCACAGCTCACCTACAAAAATACACAAGGCCAGGCTGTAATTCTTGCAAATTTGATTCAAATTACTCCACTCATTTACCAGCGAAAAGCAACCAAAATAAAGCAACTAAACAATAACGTAAATGTAACAATATTGAATACACACCTCATTGATTAAATGATCTCCTGCTGGGTCTGGCTGAGACAGCTCTCTGAATGCTTCATCTCCAACAAAGCAGATTTCATGTCCATCCTATGATGCAAGTATGTCTTTTAGTGTCTTTAAGTATGTCTTTAACAACGTGAAGTGCAACAAACAACTTGTCTCCCCTCAAGAATTAATATTTCTTGGTTGCCCACTTCATGGTTTTTTGTTACTATAAACTATCAAGAAAACAATTTTGATTTCTTTCAGCTGTTGTGTGCCTGCACCTAACTCGCTCAGCAAAATTTTGATAATGAAAGTCCACTTTCCCATAAATATGTTTTTCCAACTCTCATCTCATTTGACAATTTTTTCCTTTAAGTATGGTCTATATTCCTACACATAAAAACTTTCTCAGACATTAATACATTTGTAACTATGTTTCCTATGACATTAGAAAGATTTTAAAGAATTCCCAGCCAATATAGCAGAGTGCTATTGTGACCTTTTCTTTATTCACACAATATAAACTAATGCCTTTTCTAAAATATTCATGCATTCAATTGTTCGGTATTGTTGAAAAGTGAATAAAAAGCCACCATTTTGAACCAGGTGGTGAAATACTTTTGATAGGGTAGTGTTAATTGGAGCCCAATACTCTCATTTAATATGCCTAAAAGCATACCATGTTTCAGAAGTATGTAAGCATAAAATTCTTAGTTTATCCTTTTGTACAGCATCACACGCAATTTTTCAGGGTATTATACTCAACAAGTATATATCCTTAGGCACAAAAATCCAAGCTTACTGGATCAGCCAAAATGACAACTTGTACTGTTGCTTTCCCTGGAGTATCCAAACTCACAAGGGGTGTTAATATGGTGTTTCCACTATCTTTTGCTTTTTGCTCAATTGCTGGAAGGTCTTTGCTGACACAAGAAAAGGCAATTCTGCCAAAGGCTGTAGCATGATCCACTGGTCCTTCAAGTTGAATAAGTTCAAGACTACACTGAAATAAAAATTTCATATCAATAAATCTAATAGAATTCCAAATTGACTGAAGCATATTACATAATCGTTTTCTCAACTGTTAAAATCAAGTGTTTTAATAAATGGTACAAGAAATTGCTAAAAATTCAAACTTAGTGTCTCCTTGACAAAGACTTTCAATTTGCATATGTTCTGACAAGTAGCAAATTTACCATGCCCAAGCTTTGCATTAAATGTGACTCTGCTGATCACACATAGAGAAAGTTTCAAAGTAGAATTACTTGTGGTCAATTATAATTGCTATCACAACTAAGAGACTATCACAATCAAAAGATCATATGCAAATTGAAAACAGGCATTTTGTTTCTGAAAAGTATATGTTGCAACCTCTCCAAAAAGAATTAATTACATCATCTTTGTGCAATTTTTGCCATGTACAGGAACAACCTACCAATTTTATGGCATAATGACCAGTTAGACTGTAGAATAATGATTACCTGCTGGTCACTAAAATTTAATACAGCATTCTTGTCTGATTTGTTAATAATATTCATTCCCAGGATACCATTCCAGTAATCTAAAGGAACACAATTTAAACAATATTTCTATTATCCAGTGACAGTAACTGAAAACTATAATGCAAAATTCAAGTTGTTGTAACATATAATGCAGGAATTCAAGTTTCTACAAAAATTGTTATAACATCTGTATAAAGTACAATAAAAAGCACTGTAAAGCTTGCACAATATGTGAACAAATATAACTTGAGCACCTCTGAAATTCATTACAAATATTACATGCAATAATACAGAACTTCTGCTTACACTCTTGTTAACAATCTCAAAATGATTAGGGTAACTAGAGAAAGGGAGTTGTAGATTTTGTTTCTTGTTAAAGGATGTCTCTACCAGAAGTGATTGTATATATTTTCAAGGAAAAAGTGACTTAGAAATTTATAATGAAAAGTTATGCCGCTTAAAAATGAGAATGAGAAATGAAAAATGAGATTAAGTAAATTCATACCAATTGACTTTTGTAGGTTTGAAACACCTAAACTGATCATCTTTACTGGGTCTGTATGGATGAGAAAAAAATTCGACATGCTATCACTGAACAATTGAAAAATACCTAGTGTAGAGTGTTATTTTTTATTATGGCATTAGCTGTTTAAAGGTAAACAAAGACACCAATGAAGAAATGGGACATTAAATATGACAACATTATATCTATGAAATTACAATTTTGGTGTATAGAAGAGGATTCTTAGTTGCTACTTTGAGTTTCACACTTAATGCAATTATCAGGCAACTGTTGATCGCCAGCAATTTTCATACATACGAAATGAGACAACAAGATCAGATGGCTGAATCAACTGCTTCTTCTAACAACACTTTGCACCATTTAGTGCCCAAGAAAACATAAACTAATTTATCATTAAAGAAAATCACTGTTCAACTGGTCTGTCATGAAACGCTCAATGTTGTACATGTCATAATATTGCTCAAGGCAGAGCTGTACATGTTGTAAGTGTGTAGAGCTGTACGTGCTATGGTGGCTCCAATTGTTTTACATAATGCATGAAACCCTGTTGCAACCTAGAACCCCCCTGTGCTATGCATCATAGCATGATTTATTAACAACAAGGTAACATCAACAACATGGATTGAAATATTTCTTCTAGATAAGTTAAGACCAGAAAGATAATTTACTTTTAGAATTTTATCATAAAAATTTTATTTTAAGGAGGAATGATTACCTGATCCTTCTTTTTCTTTGTTATACACATAAAATTTATATCCATCAGGGGCTTGAAGTAAATACTTGTCATCACCCATTTCAGAAAATTGATATCCAACCTTTTTAGCATTTGGAATGATGTCTGTTGAATAAATACTTAATCCCTGTTGGACATAAAATAAACAATAACTTGTGATCAGGTATTGGTGATCTAGATACACATTCCCTACCAGCAAACTGATGCCTATACTTTGCAAGGACCCTAGCCTCGGTATCAAACAATTTTTTTGAAAATACCATCAATAGGGGTAGCTGAGGTAGAAACTTCAGGGTAACAGGTGTCAAAAGATTGTATCTCTAAAAATGATATACACTGTTTTTTATCAATTTATAAATTTACTCTAAGGCCAGAACTGGCTGTTGAGATTTGCTTTGTTACATTTTGAGTTGGTGGATGATGCTAAAAGCAATATACATTTTTTGTTACAAAGGCAAAGCATATCTTGGTTACTTGTAAAATCTAATCACATTATAAATCCAGGTTACATGGCAAAACTAAGCAGTAAGCAGGCCTGGCCATAAGACTTTTAGCAGGGGAGCATGAAACAGCTTGCCTAGTAACTTCCAGGTGAGCTACTTGTTGATTAATAAGAATGGAAACAAAGGAAAAACTGATTTTAAGGAGTGCTATTTTATTTTTAGATTAGTTTAGGAAAGCAATATGGAGCCTCTCTAGCATTGAAGGAGAGCCTGGAAGAGTGCAAGAGCTATGGCTTTCCTCAAATGACCAGGCCCGAATAAGCATAAAACCAAATAAAATATTATACAAAGTACAAAAACATGTAATAATTTGAAGCAAGATAAATTAAAAATGTGAAACCTGAAAATCATTTCCAACTTTATACTCCTTTATTCCATAGTTGTATGTCAACTCTACTACAAAGTGATCATCCTCAGGGCCATATCCAACCATAGATTTGCTCCATTTTCCATCATATGGCCTTAAACAAATGTTGAAAATACAAGTCAATAGTTTTCCTTTGTCAGATCTATACCAGGAAGATAAATAAAAGTGAATCATGGCTGTGACATTGTTTTGATTTTGGAGAATTGAAACACAAAGCCTGATTACCAGCCTTTATACTGAGAAGACAAAGCTCAACCTTATAGTTTCTATGTTATTACATATATACTTGTGCAATAATATGATTAAACAGCTTACCCATTGCAAGCTGCTTTGCAACCTTCTTCAAACTCCTCATGTCTCAGAATCTACAAACAGTTAGATCACTTTCATAATTTGAAGAAGCCTCAAGATGGTAGCTTTTAAAGAGAAGAGCTTGCTCAGCTGACTTGAGAGGGAGTTTGTTTAAATGGCATACAGAATAATTGAAAAACAACAAAATTTATACTCAAATAAACCAGATAAAAATGACCTGGCTACAAAGTTCTTGAATCAAATAACATGAAACTGTATACAGAAAAATTGAATTTTATCAAGAAGCATTGAAAAAGTTTGGGATCCATCAGCTGCTTCTTTCAAAATCTAACAGCATCACAGAGGCAAGGGTAGTTGAGGGCTTATTCAGATTATGGTAGTAAAAGAGGGTATATTAAGGTAGGGAGGTTAATCAAAAAAATACATATTTGAGAGGGGAATCATTTAAGAGGGAGATTGCTCAAAGGGAAAGCTTTATCAAATACTACTAAGTTTTTATCCTAAAATGCAAGATGCAAAAATGACTTGTACCAAGTTTTTAACTGTGTTTGTCAGTAATAATACTTCTTCCAAGTACAAGAAGTAAGCTGTTTATGTTTAAATGCATCAATACAGTGAGTTTATCTAAATCAAACATCAACAAAGAGCAAATGACTTGGTGTCTGATGTCATGTGACTGGCATAGAGTGTTGTACTCTATTAATAATATTTAGATGTAATGTAAAAATTACAATTGCAAAATCTTATAAGTAACGAAAAAGAACCTTTCTTTAATTTTAAAATCATAGCCATGTGTGTATAATCTCTGGTCGTTTTGCATACTATACCTCATTGGAATCATTGGTGAGAGGGCAAATTGTGGATCTCAAAATAAAAAATCAGAAACCTTCATTCCGAGGACATTCCTGTAGAAATCTGTAGTAGCTTTCCTGTTAGCAATTTTAAACACAAAATGAAGAGCTCTTTTTGTTGCCATTTTACTGTCAAGATCCCTGTTAATGCAATCAAACACAGGAAGATTTCCGTGCTCACGTGAACCTTCTAAAAAACTTCACCACAACAATTCGGGCCCAACAGCCTCATATTCCTTCCGTGTCTCTCTTTCGTGCTGGGTCATGTTTATCATTTTAGTTTCTTTGGTTTCGTGCCAACCGACGTGTTGCTGGAGATTTGCAAATTAGGGACAAAGAGAACTAAATTGATGAAAGCAATTGCTTGTCAACGTAAGAATCATTTTATTCTTTTTCATAGTTAAACACCATAGAAGTTGTTTCGGCTTATCAAACTCGACTGTATTTTGGTTAAAGATATTTGAACTTGCCAGCGGTAATTGCACAATCGATCAATTAAAAAGCTTCGACGTAGATTCGCTGTCCCTCCCACGTTGCCGATGGGGCTAGGATGTTATGGACTACATTTGTCAAAGAGAAACAGAACGTATTTTTAGAGGCTAGTCTGCACTTTGAAACTAGATTTTCTGCCAGGCATCTCAAGTCGACGTGGTTTCCAATGCCAGTCACCCAGTCTTACCACACTGTAAATGCTCAGCCAGATTTGTTGAATTCCATCTTTGGTTTCCATCGCTTCCTTTGCCAGCACGATCGTAGCTCCATTTAAACTAAACTTCAACCTTGTAAGTTGTTTTGTTTGTTGTTCCTTGAAGCTTTACTGCTATATTGTCAAGTGAAAGAGAGAAGCATAGAGACCTGAGTGCAAAAACTGATTAGAAAATAGGAAAGACAGGAGGAGGAGATAACGAAAAACAACGCAATTAAGTTTGATTGTGCTTGTTTTTTATCTTAAGGCCCAATAGTGTATAAATGGTAGGTAGGTAGAACTGAATTATAGAGCATAAGGTGACAAGGAAAGAATATTAAATAGATATATATAAATATATATATGAAGGTTACAGAGTCTGCAGAGTCTGACATTTTTGGCACTTTCAAACATTTACTCAAGGCTTGAGGACACAGCCCTTTAACTTTTATGAAAATTTTAGGTTTTCAGAGTTTCAAAGCAGCCCTTTAAAGGCTATTAATGTGGTCATTGCTTTATGAATCACTGTTGAATTGCTTTGCTGGGCTCAGGAGGGACCAATTAGAGGACATAATGGTCCATCTGATGTAATTCTCATCCATCTGACTGGCCATCCCCCACCCTTTCCTCATGGATCTTCCTTTCCAAAAGTCTTTAGAAGTCCTTTAACTATTCTTCTTGTTCTTGAAACTGTTTCAACGTTTGCTTTCTCATTGTAATGGTATTCTCTGTCAATATTGCCACCTAAATCAAAAGCTCCAGTCCATACCAGACTAAAAACTTTGTTGCGTGCCTGCAATATATTGCCCGCACACTCAAATTCTCAAATCCGTGCACTTTTGCATATTGGCCACGCAAATCCCTTTTTGAATACATTTCACATTATTAACAATACAAATTTCTTAAAAGTGTGTGATTTCAGGCTCGCAGAAACAAAGTTTCCAGTCTGGAGTCCATACCTGCAATCAGGCCTCTCCAAGAAAAAAACAACACAGGCTATAAAAGACCCTTGCGGGTTTGGCTACGTGGACTATTTAGCCCTTGCAGAACTGTTGTTAATTTTTTTACATTTGTGTATATACAAAGGTAAAAATGCATTACCTTGCCAATTCTTAAAACATTATTTACCTTAAAAAGACATTTAAGTGTGTATTACTACCATTAACTTTTGTATTACCACTCCTCAAAGCCTGGTTTTCACTAGAGTCATAAGGGTCGTAAGGATCGTAAGAGACGTAATTTTAAGATTTTATGACCCTTATGATCAAGTGAAAATACCAAGAATCATAATCGTAAAATAATTAGCACTTGATGTTATCTCTTAAAATTTTTGACATAAGGATCGAAAAGATCAACAAAATTTTCATTTTTACGATCCTTATGACCAGATGTTCCTTTGTTTTGAGAATTAGGTGACAAAATTGACGAAATCCAAAACCCTTCCTTTCCTCATATTTTATTAACTTGCATTTCTTTGATGCCTTCACTTTTGATTAGAATATACACTGCCAGGAACAAACGCAGATTCGTAGCAGCCATGCTGTATCCATGCAGACAAGTGGGGGGGGGGGGTAGGGGGGGAAGAGCGCCCTTTTCAAATCATAAGAAATCTCACTACTTTTACGATACTTATGATGCTTATGACATTGTGATAACAACAAAGGATTTTTTATTCTTACGACCCTAAAGACATTTTAATGATGGCATTTTCATTTGGATTATAAAAAACATAAGCGACACAGACTTAACAATTATGTTTTTAATGATTGATACAATCCTTATGACTCCAGTGAAAACCAGGCTTAAAAAGAAGAAAGAGGAAAACATAACTTTTTTGGAATATAGAAAAGTTTTGCTAGGTTTTGCTGGTCAAATGTGGCTCTTTTGGGAATGCCTAGTTTTTATTTTGTGACTTGAACAAAAATTGTTTCGTATTTGACAGCATGGTGTAACGTTATTCACGCTATATGTTATTTCTTTCATGTGAAAACATTTCCTATTCCATTACAAGTTTAAGCAGATAATACATTAGTTTGTTAACATGTGATAGGCACATAGACGTGTAAGATCTCTTTCTCTTTACTTACTGACACCCTGATATTTAGTGGTAAGTAGTACAAACATTGGGGAGCTAAACTGCATGGATTAAATGAGAACACTCTAATTGAAAAACTGTGAAGGCAGAGAAAAGCCCTCGCAAATTTATTTTGCTCAGGGTTTGCATGGGCTATAGCCTGCGTCTCTGGGAAAGGCCTTTCTCCAATGTTTCTAAGAAATTAGTTAGTCTATGATAAAAGCTGTGCTGATGCAAGGAAAACAGGTTGCTTTTGGCCCAGGACTAGATCATGTTATTTCTTTATGTTTGCTGAAAGTAGCTATTTCCCAGGTTTTGTTCTATGCAACTTTAATATTTTGAATGAAAATTTGTTAATGAAAGTTTGTTGAGTTCTATTGAAGTATGGCATATTTTCTTAGAATGAACTTGTCAACATCATTTCAGCTTAGATGTATTGCAGTACAAATTGAGATATGAAGTTTTATTGCATCATTGTTTCTTTTCCATCTTAGTGATTGCATAATTTTGTGATATCATACTTGTTGCATAATTTTGAAAGAACTTTTATGAGCAAAGGATAATGTTTTCCCAGGTTAAAAGACAATTTTTCGCATTTAGTACTTTTTTATATTACAAGAAACATTTACTTTCTAAGACATTTTGGGTCATGTTAACTGCACTGCAAAATGATTTGAAAATTGTTGATTTGAAAATGTTGTTTTGAAGTTATAATTTTTGCAGCTTTTCGGCAAGATGGATGTATGGCAGGTTATATGCCTAGCAGTTGTTGTCACTGTTGCAAAATGTGTAATTTATATATTTTTGTAATATACACAGTAATTCTAAACAGAAATATGCATTATTAATTATATTTTGTTTTCAATTAGATAACTTTACAAAGCCATTTGGATGTGGAAATATGTTTGATGCAGAAAAATATTTAGCAAGGAACAATGTCTGTCAATTTTGGAGACAGACAAGCCACAACATCAAAAGGTTAGTAGAGAAGATTTTTGCAAGCTCTATATACATATATAGGTTCTTGTTTTACTGTCAATCTTTTTTTAATTTAAACAATCAATTTTTGATCAATGCTTTATTTTCTGAAACCTTTTGCATATTTATTGGTTATAATTTTCTGTTTTTATAATATTAAATTTGCTCTAATTAACTCTTTTTAGCACATAAAAGGAAAACCAAACAATTAAATTTAGATTTAGTTTGATGCTAAACCTGAGTTTGATTTGAACTTAACCAATGATGGAGTACCTTTTGTTTTGGTTGTTATGTAAAAGCCCTAGGTTAATATCTTGGTTTGAGGCAAAAACCACTAATTTAACTTGGTTTTGCTTTTAACCTAGCAAAATTTTAAAAATATCCTGTTTCAACAAGAATAAATTCATATTCAAAACAAAAACAAAAGACTCACAGAGAAGACATTTCTGCAATTGTAACAAAGCCAAAGTTAACATAGCAACATACAAATTGCTCCTTAAAAAATGTCTAGGGCACTGTACAATATTCTCACTCCATTATAACCCTTGTCGGCAAGCTTAATTTTCTTTCAACAACTTATCAAGCTAGGTAGCCGATAAATCATTCCCCATTGATAAATTGATAAATGTTAACAACATGTGGACCCATATGTTGACAACATTATACCATTAGCCCTGATGATTTAATTTTCGAATTGGCTTTTTCTTTTGAATAGTGAGGATGAGTTTCTAAGAGTTGAAAATCCATTTTCAAGCTAGTGTTTGCTTTTTAAATGGTTGCTGCAAAATGTAAAGCCTTATCTCCCATTGAATGCTGAAAAATTGTAAAAAAGTATTTTAAGCTCCCAATGTGTTAGATTGATATACTGAGTTGAGCCAGATGCTTTTTCAATATGACTCATGGTAGATTGCTGCACTGGGGTGTTAGTGATTCCAGGCTGATTTCAGTGGTCCACACCTATCAGCAAAAATACAAATAACATATGCAAACATCAGTTATGACTTTGTTACAGTTGTAAATCTATAAAAAAAGGGCAGGCCACTTACCAGAATGACAGAATTTGCAAAGGCATATCATCATCCCTGAAATTTGTTCATTTATTTATTGGATTCTTAAGTGACCAGTTAATTTTCAAGCTAAATTATAATCTTGAAAAGTCATACAGATCAACAATTGAGGGGGAACAAGATACAAACAATTGTTGTAACGGTTTTTTTGCAGTAATATGCGAGTGAAAAAGTGTCGAGGCAACCTGTTTCTGCTTGTTGATTGTAGAAAGTGATTTCGTTTTTACGTTGGTATGCTATCCTTTGTGTAAATCATTGAACGATTCATTGATATTCTTTATCCTTCAAAATTGACAAAGATGTGTCGAATGCTTGAAAATGGCTGCCTACTTCCACCTGTTTTCGCGGCAGTAGTCTATTACTGGGCATTGAAAGTGGTTTTATTCGATATATCAAAGGCGTAAAACACCTGTTTAGTAAATTGCAATTGAAAGATTAATGGCACCTGTGCGAGTGAATTCTGAAAGGATGACAAACCGATCTAATTAGAGTACACGGGTAGCTTAATTGCGTTTGTCATATACAATGTTTTAGTCCATGTTGATTTAATCGATTCACAATTTTGCTGTACAAGGCCTGTTTAGATATTCTCGGTTAGATAAATCATTCATGAGGCAAACAATGCTTGGATACGCTGTGTTATCTGGAGTATCAGTAATTTGTACATGGTTTGTTGTTGTTTGCTAGACAACAGGGTCAGAGGTCTATCGGCTTAGTTATCAGTTTGTTTGGATTAGACTTCGTTAAGTATGGTTAACATAAAAACTGGATGATAAGCTTTATTCGAAGCCAGGATATATTGCAAAGAGGGATTTCAAGATGCAATTTGAAGTATGTCGTTTTAATCCTACAAAGATACTGGGTTACATTGGTTATTCCTGACCGATAAAGCTGCTCGGTTTATTGGTTTCAATAGACGGTCCAATGTTTCGTTAAAATGCGGTTTGTCACCCTTACTAGATTCAGTGTCACTTAACAGTAAGATTATGCGAGATCAAGAAACATTCGAAGACCTGTAATGGTACATGGAATTGGAGCTCTCGTTCATTACAGCGTTAAACCAAATCGTTTTTTAGCGTCAACTGGTATCCATAGACCATTACTGATGTTATGAATATGCCTGGAACATATTCGCTGCTCCAGTTTAGTATACATAACAGTTAAATTATGTTTGTGAAGGTTTTGAAGGAACACGTTGATTGATCTTGTTTGGCTGCGACTGAATCTTTGACGCAATTACAAACTTTGAGCCTAAACAAATCCTAATCAAATCAGGTAGACAAACTATTTCGTCCGCGGATTGCTCGTTTTGGCAATGCTCATGTCTTGAAATTAGTGTAGTTTTATAGCGACATATTTTCAGGCTTCAGGTCAATTTCTATATAGCCTTTTTCAGAATCGATCGTACATATTTACATACTTTGAAGATATATTCCATTGATTATATCGAAGATATGATTTTACTTCCGTTTGATCACTTTGAATGCAGTTATCGTCAACAACTATTATAAGCTGTTCAGTGGTCTGACTCTCGTTTTTTTCTAGGTAGACACTTTTAGGGGGTAACAGTGCTATTAGAAGATCGATGATTATCATTTATAAGGAAATGTCTGTCCAGAGGCATCTGTTTAGGGCTCTCAAAGTTTTCGAAGCTTTTTGTGTTTTGTTTTGTTTTGTTTTCGCTCATATTTCTCGATGGATAGTCCTGTCCTTGGATCTAGCATAATTCTCGGTAGGCCGGCTAAAGACCCCTGTTTGGGTCCTGGAAATGTTAGGTATTCCACGTGATCAATGAAGTGAAATGTAATCTGTCTCCGCTGCTGAAAGCGGTTTCCAAGAAACCTTTCACCTGCCCGTATTATCTGACATTTTAGTCGAGAGCATCTGGTCTGCTTAGATAACTTTGTCTACTTGCAGAAAATGTCCTTCAAACTCTTTGCATCCGCAATGAAGACACTACTTTTCAGACTGTGTGTATGCTCTGACGAATTTAACGCTGCTTTCTTAAATCACCTTTTTTAACTAGTAGCTTGAGAATTATATTTGCCTATTGCAGCATTAAAAGATTTTATCTTGATTTGAAGATCTACATAAAGACAGGATTCGCATACTTTTATTTGGCATATGCATGATGATGTTCGTTTTAGAGACTTTTCTGACAACCTTCTGACATTGCAGGTATCAAAGTTCTCATTGAGAGCAATTGTAATCCAAATCAAACGAAATCTGTAAAGGTGAGCAAACATTATTGTATTTTATTCAAAGTTTGTTTGTCGATATTCAATTAAATTGCAGTTTCGTTTGTATTGACGTATGTTGATTTTCTTTCCATTGCTAACATACCAGATAGATTTTATATGGTGTGTTTTGGGTAGTCAATTTGATTCGAGCTAAGGTAGCCAAGGCTCGAGCTCGGTTTAAGTATTTTTGAAAGCGTGGAGGGAAAGTCAGGACTGTATGCTTGCAAGTATCGTTATGGACTCACGGAAGTAGCAATGCTGGAACGCAGATTTACACAGGGTATTTAGACTATTGAAATCAGCTGTTTTCTACTGGTTCAGATAAATGATATTTCGAAAGATATGTTATCACGACTGTAGTGGCATTGACACGAACTTCACGGTTGCTAGTAAAGCGGTAAAAATAATTTCGGTTCAAAGCTAAAAGGTAAGTTCCTGGTTTGCTTATGCTATCTCTAAATAAATAAATAAAGGAATGAAATAGTGGATAAGTCAAAAAGACAAGATGTTTCAAGTTTAAATCCAAGTTAATATTGAGAATAAGACAATTTTCATTATTGTTTGATTCTGAGCAACATATTGCTAGAATATGAAGTGTGACATAAATTCGTCAATATTTTACATTAGTATTAATGCTTGTGTAAGTCAGCAAAAATTAAGAACAAATAAGACTGTTTTCACATACTAGAGCTGTACAGATGAATTTTTCCAACACAGAGTTTTAAAATCACATTGCTATGAAGCATGGCAAGAATTTCCCTTCGCTGAAATATTTCCAATTATTTTTTGAATCATTGATTGGAAAGCGTAGCTTTAATGTAAAGTATGGGGACCACGATGAAAATCATTTCGAAAAAGATAACCCAGTGTGGTTATCGACACCCCAATGAAATTAAGAGTTTGCTAAGTTATGTTTGATACGAGTAGATTTGACTAAGCCATGTTGATTATTCAATGACTAAGACATATGCTAGTTCAAATATTCCATATTTTTTATAGTAATTAGTCAGAACATTTCACGACGAGTTCGTTTCATCTTCAGCTAAATGAAGAATATAGGATTGCCGTAAACATTTCCTATGTTAATTTTTCGAGAAGTGATGCATGGTGAACGTTTTTAAAAACTATTCACTTACTCAAAGTAGAAATGTTCAATTGGTTAGATGCAAAATTATCTTGGTCTGCAAATGATATTAATTATAATCAAAATTGAGAATAAGCCAAAAGATACATTTGTAGGAGATGAAGATGTACTGAAATTTTGCATTTTTTCTCTCGAAACTTTCTGTTCATATACTATCTCATAAATTGCCGGAAATGCAAATTTAAATTCGTGTCTCTACTGCCATAGGATTCATTTAGATTTATACACCATATAGCTTTGTGTAAGATATTTTTGTAACAGATTCAGAACATCCAAAGTAATATAAAAAAATTGTTTTTTTTGCATTTTCTGGCCTAGGGCTAGTCTTGTTATTGCATTAGGTTTAGAAGGCCTCTTTCCTTTGTTCTAGCATTCTGATAAGGAGGGGAGACCTGCAGATGACAAAATTTTCGTAAACATAGAATTTCCATTCATGCCTTAAAATAGAGTCGCTGTTAAGCCATTTCACAGACAGCCTTAAATCTAGAGCTTGACCTGTTGTACGCACAAACATGAAAGATTCTTTTGCCGGTGCTATTGTCAACATCCTGAAATAACTGTTAAATTATGACTGATTGTACTTTCAGTAGGTCAGTTTCAGGGGGTAAAATAACTATCATCGCTGTCAGGTCAAATACCTTGTGTATTGTGGTGAAGTTTAACGTTGCTAATTAGTTTTGCAGGCATTTTATTATTGAGATTATTTTATAGAACTGTGCTTTATTGGAAAGAAGCGTGTCTTATTAGACATAAAGATTAACACACACTCTTTGTTTTTGCTGAAAACCGCTATTTTATGTCTTGTGAGCAATTCTTTGTTTTCTTTGTCTGCATAAATTTTTTGCCAGTGAATTTTAAAAACTTATACAGTCTTCTTACATTTCAAGTATTGCTTTTATTTATAATTGCATTTTGTTTTTCAGAGAAAGAAAAGTGGAAGCAGCATTGAAGCAACTGTATCGAAGTTTGCTAAATGCCTTAGAGGCAAAAGAAAGATGGGCTCTGGTGAGTGATTTCATTTGTTGATAGAAACCATCATAGATTTGAATTGTCTTTCAAGTATTAGAAAGCTAAAATACCTACTAGACGTCTTGGGACGATGGCGTCAGTTTGCAAGGTCAAATTCAGCCATTAGGTCACCCTCTCCCCCACGTAATGATGTTGGTTTACTATAAAACAGGTCAGGGAATAAGAAAGTATTTTCTTTTGCGTTTACCTTATGCCATTCTTTAAACTATTAAAATTGTTCCAGGGAAAGGGGCGGAATTAGTATTTTTTCGGAAAAAGTATGACATATAAAATGAAACGCAAATTGCTTGGTGTTCCAAGTACTTTTGGCTATGATTGTAGTTTTTTAAGACATAGATCCGGTAGCTTCACAATGAAATGCTAACCCGGATCGGAGTGTTTGCTGGCTGTAGTGCTCAATGACTGAGTCGGCCCGGAATGCTAGCAGAAAACCGGCCACTTTCAACTTTAAATTGGTACCTGGCTTGGATGCATTGAAAGATGAACAGTCAATTAGCAAAGTTTTCCAGGCCGCTTTCATCATCCGTACAAAATTTGGCAGTAAATCTTTCTGTGTATATTCATACAAAGAAACAGGGGCGGGCTTTTTTTTAATAAGATGACTTCATATTTCCCATTGTTTTAGAACACAAGACCATTGTCCTCTAAAGTATTGGGGGGCGGTGACCCCCCTCGCCCCCCAAGTGTCCGCCACTGGAACAAACCATCCTATAAAGGTTCTGATCCCTTTACTTTCCTCGCGTTTAACCCTTGGCAGATTAAGGGCCTTCTCATCTTGAATGGTGTTCTCTTCAAAATTTACCAATGGCTCCAGAATTATATAACTTTTCTTGAAGTGCAAGCGCAAGGATGGCATTGATGCAGGCAGAATTTGAAGACTTTACTGTTCTTGATACTTAAGTTTTGACCATGCATCAAGACTTATTTCACAAAGACTTTCCATCAGTTTGTGTCACCAATGTTGTTCTGTCAGTTTGTGTAACAAAGACTGTCGTTTTGTGAAATCTTTTACTCGAGAAAAAGGGTTTTAAGAATAGGGCTTATTACAAATGTATAGGTTAACTAGCTATCAGGGGTCTGGGACACAGGCTAAGGTTAACGAGATACGAATATTGTAAAATATGTCATTTTTTTCTTATAGACAGAATTCCTTTGTAAATTTATGTTTTAATCGGTAGGATGCACAAAGCATGCCGCCACGAATGTTGTTGCCCCTCTGGAGGAAGCCTCGACAATTTCAGTGGAAAGCACTGGGTAAGGAGGAGATTCCCACTATATTGATACCCTGTTAAGCTTTTTTTAGATAAAGTCACAGCTGTTTTGTTGTTTCAAGGAGCTCAGTGTGGAAGCTGGATGTTGTTTAGAGTTGTTTAGAGTTCTTAGAATATAAAGTTTAGATTTTTTGGTAAGCTTAAAATATTTTCGTATAGCATTATAAGTGATTATTTGGAAACAAAAGCTGAATCATAATTTGAAGTGAACAGAATTCAAAGATTACTAAAATGTAAGTGAAGTTTGGCAGCTATTACGTTATCTTGGCAGCAATGGCGAATGGCAAAGAACGTGAAAAGTAAAAAGCCTGACATGTCATTAATGAGAATGCAGTGCTAGATTATTTAATTTTGTTCAATGTGTTTTCCTTTTTAGACCCAAAGTGAAAAAGCTCACGCCAACTATAAAGAAACCAAGTAAAGAAATCCGACCTGCGTTATCGGAAACATACAGCATTGAATCTGTCGACCAAGTTCTTGGGAAAGAGAACTACGAGCAAGAAAGAACAGATCCTGAGCTGTTACAGACAATTACGAACAAAACTGGGGATGAGAACACCGAAGAAACTATTCGAAGTAATAGTAATAGGAGTTTGAAGTCTGTCAAGCAAAGCACATCTAGAGACAGTTTAAAGCATTACACAGGTCAAACGAACCTTTTAGACTGTAAGCAGGTGAGAAATAGAAGTGTGAGTGACGAAGTCTTTGATAATGGACAAGTAGAAGAGAGCCGTGAAAAAGCATCTAAAGAGAACATGCAGCTGCCACCAGTGCCAAAGCGTTTAAAACGGCAGCCCACTATAGAAAACACCTTGTGCTTTCAAGAGGTGAGAATTTTTGTATTCTTGAAAATTATTTTAGGCAAATCATTTTATACTTGGCTAGATTTTTACTGAAAATCTTTCTTGTTTGTTGGAATGAGATGTTGCATGTTGACACTATCTTTTTCCCCTCTTGCACTCAAAGAATTTTAACAAATTCGCTCGCAGTTACGTGTAGCAAAATTCAGAATCTTCTTTATTGCGTTGCCTTTACAAGACATAATTTTGTCAAGTCACAATAATGGGATAATGTACACAAAAATATACTTTCCCATGTTTGTCGAATCATAATCGAAGTTTTGGGCCTGAGTCTGCTCACGGCAAGTTATGTCTTATCAATTTTGAAAACAGGCTCCGTCAACGACCGGTTGTAAACAATTGTTGCCGAGATTGCACGAAACTCTATTTTTATCAGCGACAGTAGATGAAGAAAGGTTGAGACCCCCTACTCATCATGACTTTATAACTTCTAACCTCGAGATCTAGTTGCCCCATTGCCAATCTATATTTTTTTCTCATTTTTCGCAAACATTAGCGTGTCTTGCAGCGCTTCGTAGTATTAAGACCCAGGTTCCTACTTTGTTTGTGCACTATTTTGTATTTAATATTCTTTGTATCATCTTTTGATGATTTGTCCTCAGTAACTTGTGTTGAGGGACCAAGGCTCTTTTCAATAACAAAATTAGATGATATTTATTAAATCTGTTACTTTCGCCAAGCCATTCTCCGCTTCCATGATTTCAATTCTTGCTATATTCTTTATCGTCGATCAATTTTTGTTGAGGAGATTTTGCAGTTCACTTGCGCAGTGTTGGTAGAATTGCTCGTTCACCATACTCTAGCTTATATATGTCTATAGAAACATTTCCTATTGCCGCTGTAGTGGAGTTTCTTAGATGTATCCAGTGGCTTAAAAGTGTGAATGGTCAGGTTTTCATGTACTTTAAAAAGTTTCCTGTAGAGGATAATGCGACTTATACAAGCTGGAAAGGCTCTCGTTTTCTTCTTTTCACAGCTATAAACTGGGTACTGCAAGATAAATTATTTGATTTCCTGTGAGATTTGCTTTATTTTCTTCCTTGCATCGAAAAATGGTCAAATATGGCATATGAATTATCACAATTTCTTTTCCTTTATGCGTTTTTATCTGTCTCTGCCATTGACTCATCTTAAAATCCTTGAAGCAAAGTAAATGTTTAGACTAGATTATCAGATTTCCAATTGCTGGTACCTTTGGACTAATATTCTTCTATTCCTATTTCATAACACTTTGCTTAGGGGGATGTTTGGATAATTAGGCGGTATGAGGCAGTTTTTCTAACACTAAACTTAATCATCAACAAGGTCTACAAAATATTGCTTTAACGACAACAGAGAGTTCTGTACTAAAGAATGAGTCAACTTGCGATTGGGTAGCTGATAGAGAATTTAGTAAATAGGATGAGAGGATATCTGTGGTGTTTTTTGATTATTTGAAGTAGGCCTAATGGTTGCTCGCGTTTCGATTGCAATATCTTCTATCATTACTTAATTATGGTTAGCTTGATTATGCATCAGAAATTGATTGACTGATGGATATTCCTTGATTTCGGAGAGCTCCCGCTTGATAAAAACCCAGTTCCACAGTCATGAAACACTCCGCTTTTTGCCAAGTTAATCGAGAGGTTTCGAGCAGCAGTTTTGTTGTGAAATTTTTGAGCCGTCGTGAGAATGCTGTCTTTTGTACTGCAGGTGTTGTTTGGAGTACTATTTTTATTCGGGCATTAGTTTAGTATGGACTTGCCAAACCTGAATCTAAGTCATATTGACAAGTATTTGAGATGGATAGCAGCTCATCGATGTGCATCATGGTAAATATGTATTAACCTTGTAGTAGATTTTCACTAATATATCGCTGCTAAAATATATTTCGATCGTTAGGATATGCAGTATCTTTGCTTTTCACTTAACGTATTTACTGTCTGGCCACGTTATATAATAACGACCTCGATATTTGTATTGATATGTAGGCGTATTTGCGCTTTTTCCTTCTTTTCGAAATGCACATAGCATCTTCGTTGGCTTCGTTTTTGTAAACAGAATTCATATTAGATAAAAATGGTTTTGAAAAGAATGTTTCTGTAGTCAATATAGCTTCAGATTATAGTATTTTTTCTAGCTTGAATTTTGACAATCTAACATTTGCCTGATTTATGCCTGGTACTAGAAATTTTACCTTCTAGTGCTAGAGATGGAATTTTCATTTACGTTTATGGTGACGCCTGTCCCCGCCATTATTTTATAGAAGTGAAAGTTGATGGTTTCTTGACATTTTTCTAGTAGCAGCAGATTTCATGACAGCTTTTTTTGTTATATCGAATTTTAAGCCTGTAAAATTTCAAGGGGTTTCTATCTGAATCTTTTGTCGCATGATTCATCTGCATTTTTACATTCTTCTTTGTTCTTCGGTTGGTCTATGCTTTCATCTCTGGAACGTTTTATTTGTGATTTAGCGTGTTGATTTTGTGCAAGCCTGTCATAGGCCTTTTGAAGTGACCTCGCTGTCTTCTCGAATGCCTTTGTCTTTGAAAAGATTTGCAAAATGGTACTTTTTGGAATAGGACTTTTTACTTTGTTGCGAGTTTGCCGTATTTGGAAAGCCAGGCTCATTTTAGTTGTTCGGACCATTCACATTGCGCGCTGGGAGAATTTAGTAGCAACGATACTGTGGCCTGTATGTAAGGGTGTATGATAGTCTAGTAACTGTACTCTCATATAAGATGCCTCTTGTTGTTATTGGCATTTAGAAGTATTTTGTTTGATATTAAATTGGAGATACGTAACATCGTTGTGACGGCCTACCTGCAGTTTTTTGCGAGTAGCCATAACAGCCCATTGTCTGTGGGGATTTTTTGTCATGGCTCCTTATTTTTGTGTATGGTATGATTATGGGCTGGCACTGTTGCCATGACAGTACGAGTTTCGATTTTAGTTGTGTTAAATACTTCACACCACATTTGTCACATGCGCTTAAGATACTCGTTAGGCACTTACGTTTGTACTACAGGTGGACGTGTGTTAGTTGCTACAAACACTGGTAGATTCGCTGATTCACTTCTTGAAAGTGCATGTTCCTTAAACTAACGGTATTTCGAGGACTTTCTCTGTTTTCTGTTCCAAACATTTCTAAAAGTCCTTGTTGCTTCAATCAAAGGTATATTTTCTAGTATGCTGTGTTAATCTCAACACCTTACAGTAGCGTCAAGTTCCATTCCTCTGAATTTTCCTGTTCCAGCGGCTCTCAGGAGCAACTGCAATAGCTAATCCTAGTAACCTTCATAGAACAAGAGAACCAATCTGGTTGCTTTCGTCCCCATCGCCCCTCATAACGTTTGACCTTGGCCTAAGTAAGTGCGTTGACGTCTCAATTTCCCTGTTGAAGTTACTAGGTAATTGGTCACTGTATTGTGGAATGCAGTTTTTCCCGCTTATACCTTCAATAAGAAAAAAGCCGAAGAATTGAAATATTGGCGAATAAAAGGTTTTTCAATCGATTCGTTACCGATTGGAGACTCAAACTAAACTAAGGTTAATTACCGTTTAGTTTTTACTGCCTCAATCTTCACGCTGTTTATACGTCATATCAAGAGAAATCGGGTTTTAGAAGCACAATGTTATGTAAACAAAACTTCTTGTCGAATCTAGATGCATTCATAATCCTGTCACATTGTAAAATCTTTTGAGTCCGTATTTGTATGTAAACTTTACATTCTTATTGAATTCGTATTTCAACATCTTATTTCAGCAACAACATATTTTGTCAGTATTTTGCCTTTTGGTAGATATTTTGACGCCAAAGCTGCTATGGTGTTCATTAACGTGGCAGTGAATGTCGAAAATCCCCTTGCTTAAAAATAGAAATCTAGAATGGGTATTTTTGCTAGCAAGTATGGATGTTTTTAATTTGTGATTTAGAAAAACGCCATCAGACACAAAAAAGCAGTTGCTAGCTCTCTTCTTTGTGTCAAATCTGTTTAAAAGCCTTTTTATTTGACGTTTAATTTAGGCATCTAGCTCGATGAATGTCTTGATCCAGAAATAGTTTCAATCTCTCAAAGTCTTTTTTTGGGCTAGACTCTGATCAACTGATTTTTTGTCATGCAGGATGACCAGATAAATCATTATCAAATACAAGAGGAAATTGGTCGGGTAGGATTCTTGATTTGTTTTTTAAATGTAGATACTTTGCACTTTTATCTAATATGTTTATTAAGATAGTTTTTATAGACTTTATTATAGGCTATTATAGAAAATTTTACGTTTATAAAGCTTATCCTTTTTGCTAAACGAAAAATTATGTAAATTCCGCATTATAACCTATTTTTCTATGTTTAGTTCTAAACATGCAAGATTCCTTATCGTTTTTTGAGCTCTAGTATAAGCAATAGTCAACTGTCTCCGTGTGATGTCTTTTATTGATAAAAACGCATTCATTTGCGCGATCTCTATTTGCACATAACCTCTATTTGCTTCCCAGGGCTCCTTCGCAACCGTCTATAGATGTCGTTCGTTAAAGAACCAGGTTGAATACGTAAGTTGACGACCTAAATTTCTACATTTGAATTTTGCAGTGTAGGCTGGGTTTGTGTTTGAGGTATTGAGAGTATTAAGGAAGCTTTTAGGAGTTATTTTCACTGAAAGGAAGCAGAAATGAAGCTTATGCATGTTTAATACGTCACACCATTTATATGCCAAACTGTCACAGCTCGATCAACCAACAGACCGCTATTGCCGCTGCAGTCCTTTATACTTATAGCCCATTCTGCCTAAGTCAGTTCATCGAAAATATTTGTGTTGCTACATGAAGTTGTAGCTATTTAAATAGAAAAATTGTGTGACCATAGTCGTTATGCGGGTGATTCAAACCTTCTCGTTGCAAGGTTCAATAAAATAAGGAGGGAAACACTCTTGTGGGAGGGTTCTGCGGATTAATGGATGGTGGGAGCTTGCTTCATTCACGTTTGCTTGCTTGCTTGCTCGACTTTAAACCTAAAGGATTTAGGTTGAGTTGCAATTGAATCCCAGTATCCTTTGCCAGCAGGCCATTGCTGGTAATGCATTAGTAGGCTCCAATAAATGAATCAAAATCAGAAGAAAACAAGCAGCATTCTGTGAGCTGACCTACGTCACAAACCATATCGAATATCGACTTGTGTGCAACAAAGACACTTTCCTGTCCAAGTTGATATTCGATTAGGTTTGTGACACAGGCTACCTGTAGCAGGGCTGAAAAATTATCATTTCTAGATATGCAGATGTATAGCAGGGTCGGGTCTTTTTTATTTGCTGTCGTTAATATTTACATCAACTGACTGAGATTAAATTATTAACATAAAAAAATCCATGTACCGGATTGTTTTTTTATTTGACACGTTTGCTTAAAAAGCTTCGCTTCTCTTTGCTGTTTCCCTTTGTGCTCGATTTTTTTGTTGGCTAAAGAAAGTTTAAGGATCTTGTAAACCAAACCGCATAGCAATAATTGCCTCTATATTCGTTCGACCCGACTTACTCCATCCCTGTCCATATACAGCCTTCTTGCCAAATGGCGTTTGTTTGGATTATATTTTGATTTTCGCAGGCAATAAAAGTCATATCGAAGAAAAGACTGATCAGAAAGAATGGTCTGATGGGTAAGCATTTATTGCTCTTTAATACCAAAGATGTGTATGATATAAGTGCCAGTGTCCATTAGATCACCTACCATATGTCGACCTTCAGTTAATATTTGTTTGTTTAATGACTATCCCCAGAGGTGAGTAGTTTAAGGTTGGAAACCAAAATGTGGGTAGTTTAAAGTGGTAGGTCAAAAAGTGAGTAGTTTGAGGTGGTAAACCATTAGGTGAGTAGTTTAAGGTTGGAAACCAAAATATGGATAGTTTAAAGTGGTAGGTCAAAAAGTGAGTAGTTTGAGGTGGTAAACCATTAGGTGAGTAGTTTAAGGTGTAAAACCCGAAGGTGAGTAGTTTAAGGTGGTAAACAAGTAGGGGGGTGTCTATAGTGGTAAACCAAGAAACTGATCAATAAAGATTGGTAAATAATATTTTTTGTGTTACTTCGAGATAAATGTTAATTTTTTATCCTTTCTCGATAAACGTAAGCTTGTCTAACATCATAAACGTGATCATAAACGTAAGGAAAAATAGTCTAACATCTTGCTGCGTCATGCTCATTTCTATAACAGAGGAATCATTTGTTTAACTTTGATCATTAATTGATTTATTCATTTGGCCCATGGCTAGATTCAGAGGAAAATAACCACTTTCTACAAAGCAGCTAATTGGATCATTTCTACACAATGTTATCGCCAGTACTTAGTTATTAATGCCAAGTAAATCACAAATAACTGAGCCAAGTTTTAATTAAAGTTTTCTTCGATTTTCCAGGAACAGAAGTAATTAATCCACCACGTACTTTAATCTTGAGACCGATTGGAATTTTTGTTTCTTTTTCAGGTTCCAATCAAACAACCGCAATTATTTTAGCTAAATATACATAGAGTTTTTTTAATTATGAAAGAATGTAAAACCTATTTGATTTTGCTTTCCAGCTCGCCACCCACGCAAATCCAGAGCAAATCCTTTGGATGCTTTGCACAGGGAAATCGCAATTTTGAAGAAAGTTGATCACCCCAATGTTGTCAAGCTTGTCGAGGTCAGTTTTTTATCAAAGAGTTTTTGATAAAAACTACTTTTTGATGAAAATACTAAGGCTTTGGTATGTAGCATTTTTGAAAAGGATATACACTCCTTCTTAATAAGGAACGGACTAAGTCTTAAGATGACCAAATGGTAAAGAAATTTAACTTTAGCATCAATCGCTTTCAACTTTAAGAAAATGATCGAAAGTCTTCATTTGTAAAAAACGATGAGGCACCCATTTCCTGCTCAATTTTCGTAGACAATAAAAGGAGAACTCCTTGTGACTGATTAAGTGTTCTGTTTTATTTTATGAAATGTTATGCTTCGTGTTTATAATTGATAGTAGTTCCTCATAGCGTTGGGTACTGAGAAGCTTCAAAAAAACACAAAAAGTAAAAGCAAAAATTCAGAAACTTAGTATTAATTGTGAGCTTTGTTTCTTATAAAAATGCGTTTTGAGAAAGGGAAATGAATGTTAAAGAAAAACAAGAAAAAAGAGCAAAAATAATGAAAATGAAGGAGAAGAAAGAGAGAGAAAAGGATTGAAAGGAAATTGTGTGAGATATTAGCTATAATCTCAATATTTTCAGGAGTCCATTTGGAGCCATGAAGCTGCTTTTAAGTCTTTTCTTACAATACTTTGTCTGATGCTTTTTTCAAGTACTTTATTAGATTTATGTATTGAGAAGGAATGGGTATAATCGTGGATCATCGTTTCAAGATTCTTTTCTAGAATCTAAAAAGCTACCTTTAAAACACTGATTCAATATATTTTTAATAGTTGATCGTTTAGATGGTTTGCTCTGATAGACCATAGTCAAAACCTTTTGAATTGATAGCATGAACAGAATGAACAGAAACTGCGTGTGGCATTCCGCGCAATCATGACATTTTTGAATTTTTGAATTGAATTTTTTGGATCCTTTTATACTGATGATCGATTGGCATGATTAGCAAGGGGTCGTACTTGACCGCTAATTTTCTTACAAGGATTCTGCTTAATGAATTGATTGCTTTTAAGTTGCAAATGAGTTTAAAGAAGGAATTATGAACTATGAAAATGATTCAATCACGAGGGAATCTTGTTTGTGGTGACTGGTTTTTCCTTAAAGAAGTAAAGATTCCAAAATCCTTCAAGTTGGACCTGTTCAGCTTTCAATTTTGACGGATCATTTTCGAATAGTTACGATGCCCGCCAAAAGTAGTTAGAACACCGAGATTGTACTCGTAATAAATGTACATTTTTCAGTTTATTTCCCTGTTTAAAGCAGACGGAACCCTCTCCCCCCTTAAACAATGTTGTGAATGAAGATGAACATGTCCCTAAACATGGGTTACACAATTTGCGCTCCAACATACATTTGTTGTCATTTTCCAGTCCGAATCCAACATTGTATATGGGGGAGGGAGATGTTTAGTAGGAAAGATGATTGGACTGTTCCAACACTTTTGGCGGGCATTGTAGTATAACATTGGTCACTCATGAGTTGATTTTAGCATGCTATTGGTGACGAGGACATTGGTAAAACGTCACAGACCTTTTGTAAATGAATTCTCTATTATCTAGTATCCTATCAATATCTGTTTGAACCTTATGTACTTCATGTAGATCTTGTTCAAAATTTTTAATTGTCCCCTTCCTTCACACAGGTTATCGATGACCCGGAAATCGACAATGTTTATATGAGTAAGTGTTAATCTCAAAATATTGAAATAGTAAAAACATGTGAAATTTTGATTCATCACCAGGTATAAGTTACCTCAAAATATACTGTTTATTTTTTTAGTTCATTTAATCCTATGTTTAGTAAGACCCTAAATGACATTACCTATTTGATACGAGGCGAATTTTCGATGGCGGTGAATCAGAATATGATTCAGGCTGTACTAGCATCAGCCACAGTAGCAGCCTCCTCTCAAGAAATTGCAAAAATTGAAAACGGGGTTGTGGCCTGACCATTGGCGAGAAAGCCTGTTGGCATGGAAATTTGATAGAGAAAATTTCGATCGAATAATGCAGTTTAATTTCACTGAATGTGTTAATTTTCTTCAATGGACAAGCAAATTGGACTTCCTTTCCCAGGCCTGAACTTTGAATTACCTCTAGGGGACATATCAAGATTACCTCAGCAAGAAAGGTTTCTAATTATTTTATGATAGCATCAATGCCCTTGTCCAAAGCACTCAGTGTTCGAGTCCAAAAGTGGTCGTCCGCAGCCAACGCCCCCCCCTCCCCACCACTGTCTGCTGTATTTCCCTGGATGCTCCTAATTTTTAACTCAAGGGATGGTTCTTATTAAGATGAAGCCCATCCTAAAGTACTTTAATAAGAATTATCTATTCTCTATGACGTAAAGCTTTCAGCCATGTTGCCATTTCCCGAATTACTTTTGATCATATCTCTAGCCTAACTATATATCTAGCCTGCCCTTCCAACAAACAGCAAACACGCCTAAAATTTCACAGCACACCTCCACCACAGGACGTTTCCTACAAGCCATGTAAACCGTGTTTTTGCTCATTTCTTTCCCCATAGGTTTTTCGCTCATTTTCTAGACAGCCTGTTTCATACTGTATAGAAATCGCTTGATTTTATCTGAAAACGGTTTTCTATAGCTGCAATATGCAATTGTCAGTTATTTTGAAAGCAAAATCAGTTTTAAGTATAGTTTAGACTCGGCGTCTTCTACCTATCATTTCTACATTTTTCCATTAATTGTTGCTCATGGTTGACTATAGAGAATTTTCTGTCTCCTACCTCTTCAGAGTATTAATATGTTCCTCCAGGTGTTTTCCAGATAAAGCTAATTTTTATTCTCGTCTTTGATAATCATCCACCGCCATTATATATTCATCATCTACTATAATTAGACTACATATGGTTTGTTCTCCTCCGTTTACAGCGTAATCAACCGCGTGGACTTAATTGACAAAATCCTCAAAAATGATCATCAAAGAGCAGATAGTCTTTGAAAATCATTTTTTCCAATAATATTAGTCGCGTGTCAAGGTACTGTGTTTGGCTATCAAAAAAGGTGCATTTTCTGCACAGCATCTTGTCTGATTATCTCGATATTGCGCAAAGTTGGTTATTGAAAAAGGCAAAGCAGAGGGGATTGACTCGGCGGTGGATAGAATGACTTTGTGAGAGGGGGTTGGGTCCAAAACTAGCAGTGCATGATTTGAAGATGTTTGGAAAATCTTCTTGATCCTCTTTTGCTATTCAATTAATCATTCTATCATGAAGATGTAGCCTGAACGAAAGCATATTTTTAAATATTGCTTTAAAATCCTTCACGGAGTAGATTTTTCCTGCCCTGCCGTGCCTTCCTAAAATATTGGGTTTTGGCTGCTTGTAACAGAATTTGTCCGCAAAGATAAAAATCCAGTCTTACATTGCGGTGTTATTTATTTTTGGACCTTTCGTGTGGTGTCTTTGTTGTTCTCAACCCGTTAACTTTGCTGGTTGAAGTTGAATAATCTGGTCAATCCGCATTCTGTGAGCCTTTATGAAGAAATCGATGTTTCTTTTTCATGTGTTCTTTTAGGTGATAGATGATATAAAGATTTCTGTGCAAGTGATATATTCTATTCCATATCATAGTTCTATTTCTCATCATTTATTTTTACTTTTGTAGTTTTTGAGCTGATGGAGAGGGGGTACGTACGAATTTGCGAATATAATGCAGAATTAGAATTAGCAGAAATTTATTCTTAGCTCCTTGCTCAAATGTGTTTAGTTTCAATTTTTACTCCGTTTTTTGCTGGAAATGATTGTGTGTAGTGCCAAAATACTCTTTTTGTTTAAGACCTAGTTTTGTAGCCTCATTAACACGAGAGTGGATCCAAGCATGTTTTCATCCATTTGGATCCGATTGGATCATGTTTACATTCATTTTCTGCGTGGATTCAAATAAAAAAGGTTTCGTGTAAATGCAGACCGATTCGTATTGATTAGGTTTCGATCCCGTGAAAACGCGGTCTTAAACTTCAAATTTAATGAAACTTCGTTTTAAATTGCAAGTTTGAATAACACGCTCTCTCAATTTAGGCCTGCTCAAGAAATTCCAACCAAACACCCGATGAACGAAAGCAAGGCTCGTCGATATTTCATTGATATGGTGTTGGGTCTAGAATATCGTAAGCTTAGTTTTTCAGTTTTTAGTTGCTTATCGTTGTTTTTTTTAAATCAAGACAAAAGCAGAATGAAACTCTGTTGGCACCTTAGGGGTGTTATATTCTTGTTTTATCACAAATAGATCTTAGTCAGAGAGAAACAACTGTACACATCGGTCGAATAATAACAACTGACCAGAACAATGGTTAGGTATAACAACAACAACTTATTAAAATATCACAAGGATTACGACATAGGGTGTCCATGTTTAGACTATATTACAAGGGGCAACAGTGGTGTAGTGCTAACAAATTAACAAGAGGGGGAGGGGGCTCTTGCACAAAATGTTACGAAAAACAATAGCAAAAGTAGAAATTTGCCAATTTTGGCCATCAGCAATTGAACTCAACCACCCTGAGCCCCCCTAGCTCTACACCCCTGGGGCACCCTAGGTATCATGTGAAAATGATGTCGAGAGGGGCATGCCCTAGCGTGCTTTATTTGTCTTCGACCACCAAAGAAAGGTTCCTGTCTCCGGCTGATTTGTTTATTAGTACTGTAAAATGAAATGGGTAAGCAAATTAGATTGCCCAGAGGAAGATTTCTGCCTGTTTGGGATGTTTGGGATGTCATAAACCCCTTGAGAAAGTCATGCATCAGCCATCTTCTTTGACCTGATTTTTTATGGTGGACTTGGCTCTGCTGTTACTTATGTCAATTTTTGCAGTTTCTGGGAAAGGGTTTACATCGCCCGCATCGTGAAATGTTGATCCGTTCGACTATGTAAGGACAATTCAAATTTGCAAATAATCTTTTTGTGGTACAGCCTTAAACTTTCAAAAGACTCTTTTTCACATCTTCGGATGTGATCAAATATCACTTGTGCACTGCCATGATTCAACTTTCACCTTTTTGTTACCTTCTTAGTACATCACACGAAGATAATTCACAGGGATATAAAGCCAACTAATCTTTTGTTGGACGCTGAGGACCACATCAAGGTATTGCTTGTTACTAATCCTTATACTAACTGAAAAATCATGTATACGATCTGAGGCGATTCTGTTGATGTTCAATATAGATTCAACTGCTCTTAAGGTCATGGAATAGAGAAACCCAATTCTTGTCCAAAAAATTGGTTGTGCGGTAACCGAAAATCTGATCGTAAATTTTATTGGTCCATAACGCAAATCATTGTTTGTTAGCGGATGTTATTTTCAGAAAGCGAGTTAAACTTGATAAATTAAATTCTTAGGCAAATTTTCTTCTCTTTTTTATTGTCCACAGATGTATGAATTTCTTCCTTCACATTCTGTTTGCAACCTTAAGCAAAACTATTATAGAGAATTGCACCAAGCAAAATATTTCTCAAGGCCGTTAAAAGTGTCACCTTTCCACTAATTAATTGAAACTAATCACACAATAACATTATCTTCACAATTACGATAAGAAGTTATTGGCAAGTACTATTCTTAATTGCTACTCATTGGAATTTTGCATTGAATATTCCCTTCGTGGGTTGTTTTCTAGAAAATATCTTTCTTTGAATCTTTTTTATCATTAGCAATGATTGTTGATACCTTTTCTTTTTTTAGATTGCAGATTTTGGAGTTTCAGATATTTTCGAAGGAGAGGATGACATGCTTAATCGCTTTGCCGGGTCTCCTGCATTTCAATCACCCGAGGCAATTGCAGGTAATAAATGCCAACAAAAATCCCAGCCTCTGGGTCCTATACTACCCGTTGTTGAACCAGAAATGGTTACAGATCGGTGGTGGACACCTGGAGGGCGAAGGGGGGTGGTCGGCTCCGAAATATTTTTTAAGGCAATGGTCTTTTTTCGAAAACAATGGACATATTATCATTTAAAATGGAAATAAAAACATTTGAAAAACTTTACAAACTGTTACTTTAAGGCTTTATGCATTGTGATGACCCTAGTCAACTGGAAGATTATCAATACAATAGGCCTGCCCCCCCCCCAGTATTTGACCAAGTGTCCGCTATTGCTACAGGCTGATATAAAGGGCCTTGTTTACCCCTTCAATTTTGTGTTAGCATGTGATAATGTTTTGCAGACTTTTTGTTGCCTGTTTGCGATAAATGATATAAAATCTTCCACTTTCGTTCACAAGGTGGTCGTGTAAAATTCAGTGGCAAGGCTGCAGACATTTGGGCAATGGGTGTCACCTTATTCTCATTTGTGTATGGCAAGGTGAGTCAAGAATGCTTTATGAAATTAAGTGGTTGGATTTCTTTTTTCGTGTTTATTTGTGTTTTGAGCATGGTCGGTACTCTGTTAACCCCTTTTTTTCTATGTAAGGCTTGCAAACAGATTTTGTATCTGATTTTGTATATTTTGTAGCTTCGTGAAATTTATTGATAGAGAAACAAAATAGTGTGCTCTTTTACAGTATCTAAAAATATTTCATGCTTTGTATAATTTTGCCTTATTTACAATTTTGCCAGTTAAGGCCACAAAGAACATATGAATCTTCTTTTCTTTAAATAGTATTTGATATCAGTTTCCTAGGCATCAACATTTATATTTTACTTTTTATCATTCAATCGAAATGAATTATTACAAACTTCATTTTTGTGAAAATTCAGCCTTTTCATACATGCACCTTTTTTGTCTAATTCTGCTGATTTTAATGATAACGTCGAATCGAAATGCATGTTTGGAAAGCTGTTCTTTCCTTTCCAGTGTCCATTCTACAACACAGATATGCTAATGCTATACGACATGATAAATAACGATCCGTATGTATATATTTGTTTGTACCTTTTTGCCTTGTGAACTTTCTTGCGTGAAACCTGATATTATATTGTGGATATGATAGCAGATAAGGCATATAAACATCTGACCCTTCACCATGAAAGTAGACATGTTTACAACTTTCAGAAATAGCAGACTATCGAAATCTGAGCACCTCTGATCTGGGTGCATCCATCTTTGAAAACTTATTAACATCCTCCCAGCAATTCATCATATTTATTACTTTATGAAATAAATTTGTCAAAATCTAGCTCTTAGTCCAGTAGCACCCTTTTCTGCCAATCGAAGTCCAATCACCGCCACTGAATTAAGTTCGAAACTTAAGGATTGCTTCTGAAACTGTCTTTTGCTTAGGTGGTTGGACTGAAGGTTGTAAGTTTGAACCCAGTTCTGACCCAAGGGGCAAATCACTCATGGAAATCTTGTATTCCTTTGGCAGTAATCCTTTTTTTATCTGTAAAATCCAAATTGGCAGAACTTGAGGCTAAAAGCATTACAAAATTGAGTTGTCCATTCTACCTAATCATGATGTTGGCTCAGGACAAGAAAAGGGATGTGCTGAATTGTCTCTATTTTTGTAGTGACGCATACATAAGGTCGATGTATTTCTGTGTATCGTGAGTTGGTCTAGTCTTGCAGATCTGTTGCATTTGATTTTCTTAGGGAAATTATCTTGAAATCGTTTTCCATACGATGAATCGTAAATTGAATTATCTTTGCTTTATTTTAGGCTCATCTTTCCAGAAGAGTAAGTACACGTTTTTAGCTTTTTCTTTTGCAAAATTTCTTCCAACGTTCTGACAATTGTTACTCTAGTTGCCATTTGAATTCATTGCGTTCTGTCATTATCTGCATCTCATATTATAAATATGAAAACACTGGCCATTTACCAAGGTGTGGCTGATTTTATTGCAATGTAAGATCAATTTCCTGGCAGAGTCATTCAACGTACCGTCCACTCTTTTAGGCCTGTTGTTGATCCTCAGCTGCAAGATTTGATATCGAGGCTATTAGCGAAGGATCCCAAAAAGAGAATCAGAATGCAAGAAATAAAGGTAACTGAATTTGGTTTCATCCATCCTGTCAGTATTATGCTAGTTAATTTCTGATTCAAGGTAAAAATGTTTTGCTGTGTAAATGCAACATAGCGCGCATGCAAATTTAAAAGAAATCTGGCTCAACCTACTTTTTCTGGTAGGATTTTCACAGTTTAAAATTAAGTAGATTACAGTGATTCATTTGTAGCTAAACTGACCCCCTTTTATAGCTGTCGTTATTTCAAAAGACTTTCTTATGGTTTGGCAACCGTTTCATGAAAGATATTTCATAAAAGATATGATATTTTTTGATGTCCTTTTGTCTCAGAAGTAAAAGTTCTTTGAATCAAGCGATTTTTACACCAATGTGGATTGAGTTCATATATGAAAATTACATAGTTTACCCTGTAACGGAATTCAATAACACTGTTCCAGGTGAAAAGCTGGCTTTCTTTCTTTAAAATGGTACATAGCTGCCTGTTTGATTGGCAGTTATTTTTGAATCACTGGTAAAAGAACAAGCATCTCCCTTCCCTCTTCCCCATTCAAACATTTCACTATTTGTTTTGGTTTCTGAAACCTATACCTTTCTAAGTGTGCCTTCGTTTTGATGTGACCACACCTCGTGATTCCCATGCCTTGATTCCGACGCCTGCTACGCGATTATCTGGCAATTTTTCCTACTCTATGGAAGAGTTTGGTCATGGTAGGTACTCGAAGAGTCGTTTTCAAGGTTTTGCTGCTTACGTAACAAAACAATGAAGCACTTTTATTTTTTGTTTAAACAGGAGCATCCTTGGGTGACCAAAGGTGGACGCGAATCACTTCCAAAGACAAACGAAAACTGCGTTGTCATTGAGGTCACTGATGAAGATGTTAAGAACAGTATTACACTCATCTCGAGGCTGTCCTCGCTGGTACGCATAATATTTGCAAAATGAATATAATAATATAATATATAGAAAATATAAAAGATATAATATGATATTATCTTTGTTAGGTGATCGATTTAACAACATATTAACTAAAAGCTTTCTCGTCTGACACTCAATTTTAATAAATGTGTTGTAAGATGTTTGCTTTTTTCAAAGCCATTTTCAAGTTCCGTACCGCCAAAAAACTGTCTACAATTTTCAGTTATCTTTGTAAAGAGAATTCGCTTTTAGTGAAACGTATTCTACAGTGGAATTGACACGAATGCTGTTCTGGAGAATTTGTTTTTCTATGACATATTTGTCATTTTATCAGTTTGATGCAGAGCTTTTACAGCTATAATTGCATAAAAAATACCCCTTATTTTTTCAAGACTTTATATTTTGAACATATATAGGTTATATAACAGTTATAGAGGAATATATATTTCTATGTAAGTTGCAAAAACCAAGAGCTTGCATGGAGTTGTTAGTCATGTCTTCGTCAATTATTGAGTACACATTCTTAAATATTGATACCTTTCTTTATCAAAGGTGCTTGTAAAAACAATGCTGAAAAGAAGGACATTCTCCAGCTCGAAGCAATCAAGACGGTCGTCAACAAGGTCCAATTCAACACCTGATGTTAGTCAGTCGGATCCAAACTTTCCTCTGCTGCAGACTCGAGTCTCAAAATCGGCAACTTCCCTTATGGCAAGCAAACTAAAGGCATCTTCTGTTAGTCAATAGGGTTTTGAGGATGACTCATTATATTGGAGAAATTTTCCCCACTTAAAGATTTCTGTAGATACAGCGAATGCTTATACCTTTAAACAACGCCTCTTTCCTTTTTAAGAGAAGATTTTGATGGTAACTTTCTACTTGTCTAGAACGAAATAGTCAGAGGATTCTGAATGAAAATAGTGGTTTTTAAATAAGTCGGTAGAAGTTTAATATATTAGTTTTAATATTAATAAAGTTTCGTATGCTATGGTAGAATTTTGGTGATTGTTTAGCAATCTTTGCTATTGCAAAAAACGAGAATGCGGTTGTATTGTATTTATCTTTTGATTAAAGGAATTTCGAAGCAGTATCATCACATTCGACTTCAAGAATGGGTTGTTACGTAGGTTAAGGTTGGGCTTTTTGATTACCTTGCATCCGATTCAAAATATGATTTACCCTGGGAAGATCAGATACAGTTCCCTAAAAACTTGAAGCTGTTTTCGTCATTGCTACTTCTATTTAAAACAATGAACTTTTGAAATGTGTTCAGAATCCCAGAGAAAATCATTCCACTATCATGCTCATTTCCAATTGTTATGTAGCACCTTAACAAGAATCATTGGTTAACATCATCACATAAGTAAAATTATTAAATCACACAGTAAAATTCTAAAATTTTTAGAAAGGGGACATATTTCCATCAGTGTCCTTGCCTCTGTAGTCACCCTTGTCTAAGACATGTCCCAGAAAATAGGGCATGAAGCAAATATGGTGTCATCTTTGTCGGATATTGCTATCAAGTTTATTTTAGCATCCACCCAATTATTTAAATTCTGGATGCTTTTTCTGGGAGTTTCTGTAAAATATTCTCGGGAGTGTTAGCGTGTAGATAAGTAATAATGTATATTGATGCTTTGTGTATTTTTTTACGAAGGATATTGTCAGCTTTTGTTTAAAGATACAATTTTATATAAAAACAGTCGTCCATTTTTTAATCCTGCTTCCTTTACTGTTTTTTGTGATTAGGGTCAATTGTCATAGACCAGGCGAAGAAGGGGGGGGGGGGGGTATCGTCACCAATCGAGGGAATTTGCAAGACCAACTCTATTTGGTCAATTTCGATACGCTGATTACGAAGCTTACGAAAGCCTCTATTTCACTTTCAAACCTCGTTTTCGTCTAAATTTTAACGTTGAACGAAAGTTTGTAAATGAATCGATTTTTATCAATTTCGATGTGCTGATTTCAAAAAATTATTTTATAAATGTAAATTCAGTACCCGGAAGCCTCTATTTCATGTCCAAACCCCGTTTTCATCAAAATTTGAACGTTGAAAAAAAGTTTGTAAATTTTTTATTCTCATCAATTTCGATATACTGATTTCGAAGGTTGATCTCATACGGCGGAATTCTGAATGCACTGGTCCCTTTTTCATGCTGAAATCGTGTATTTATCGTTTTCAGTATTTCTAGAGTAAAATCTGCTGCACACATAGATTTGCTTTAAAAGCTTAAAAAAGATTATGTCAAAAGGCATTATAATACGGCTAATAAACATTTAAAGTTGTAAACAATCTTTTGGTGGTACAAAACTTGTAAATGGCTTTAAAAAAAGCAAAAATTTAGTAAACTAAAGCTTTTCGTCTGACACTCTTCATCGAAAACTCTACGCTAGGAAATATATATACCCAGTTGTGGATCGAAATAGGCCAATCAGAAACAGGAGCACATGACTGTATAGGTTGACCAATCAGTGCCGCTTGCCTATTGAGAATGTTACCAATCCTAAGTCCTAAGGTGAAAACGAACTCCTTTTGTCTACACAGAAGCACAAATGTTCATAAATTAAATGACAAACTATCATGCCCGTTTGGCGACGATTTTGCAGCATACTCTATGAAATCAACAAAGAAAAGTTAGCAGTTCAGCAAAGAGGGGATCCAGAAAAAAGTTTGACCGTTGCAAATTTGCAAAAGAAAAAAGGTGCTAAAGTTTTATAACATTGACAACTAAAAACAGAGATATCTTTTCTGAATAGCAGCATAAGCAAAATATCAAATCAAAATAATGGGTTTTCTACATCATGGATGCAGGGGTGACAATAGCCTGAAGTGAAAAACAGTGAAAAGTTGTGGATCACCTTGTAAGAGACATTAAGACAAATGCATGTGCTCTGTTCTGTGGGCGTTCTACTTTCGCCATAAGAATTTGAATTTGCATCAAAAAGCTATCTTTCCTGAACAGTGAGTAGCATTACAAACATAGATGCAAATAGACTGGAATGAAAAACAGTGAACAGTTGTTGAACACCTTGTAAAAGACATTAAGGCAAATGCATGTTTTCTGTGCTGTGGGCGGCTACTTTTGTCATAAGAATTTGAATATGCTTCAAAAAAGCTATCTTTCTTGAACAATAGCTGTAACAACATGGATGCAAATAGCCTGGAATGAAAAAAACAGTGAACAGTTGTTGAACACCTCGTGGAAGACATTAAGACAATGCATGTGCTCTGTCCTCTGCCCCTCGCAAGTAATATCGCTATTGGAAAATGAAACTGTCATTCTCGATTCCTGAAACTTTCAACGATAAAAAAAATTAAAATTTCCGGAAATATTGAACTAAATTGTCAACTTTAAAACAGTCGCAACTGTCTTCATCCGCCCGTGCAGCAATCAACGAGAAATGAAGGGAAAAAGAGAAATGACTGCTATCAGGCGTGGCGTGGTCAAATCAACTTAAGTGGCATTTGGGCAACAAAAACAGCAATGGTTGTTTAAGTGTTTAAGTGTTTTAGCGACAGTAAGTTATTTGTGTTTAATTTTCGAACGTGTTCATGAAAAGTTTGGAAAATTGTGAAAGGGACATTCTAAATATTGCATTTTTCAATATTATATGGGGATAAACGTGGACAAAGATTCTATTATTTATTTTAAGTAATTTTTGTAATTAATGTTGTACTTTGTGATTAATTTGATTTTTTTATTTATGTAATTAATTTTTTATTAAAGTGTGATTATTCTCGAAAACCTACGTGATTTTAAGCAGTGATTTGCGTGGCCGCGGGCGTGTCTGTATCAGAATTGAAGATGGCCTTTTTTACCACGTTGCCTGAATGTTACGATGAAAAACGAACACCAGATGTTTTGATAAGCACAATATTTTTATGAATAAGCTCGAAAACAATCTTCCTAAAGATATCAATATTCTATAAACCTTATCAACGCCAAGGGAAAAATATTTTAAAAATCTTAAAACCGTGTAGTACAAACAAAAATTATGGCTTAAAACCTTCTAAATGCACACAGTAAGCTGACAAAATTTAAGTTACCTTCCTAAATTAAATAGATTTTCAAAACTTTAGGTTTCGCATCTACAATCACTGCCAAAATTACTTGGAACCCCTAACAATTTGGGCTGTGCTTGTCTATTTTTCATTTGTTTTCTTGAATACTACCACTTCCGCCCCTCTTTCCCCCCAAAACAATGTTGAAAGTATAGAAAAATATCAAACAATCCACAAGAAAAAGCGTACTCCATAACCCCTTTCTTTTTTCTATAGTAAATCAACATTGTTCCTAGGGGGAGAGGGGGATGGCTGAATTTGCCTTTGAAAACCTACGTTAGTGTTCCAAGACTTCTGGCAGTGATTGTAGCGACTTCGTCGCTTATACAAATTACGTAATATTGAAACCGAGGCAAATTCAAAATGCTCGACCTTTACATGTGAGTTGTCATCTTTATGGCGGAGTTCTGTTCTTGGAAATCACTGAAGGATAGAAGTAATGGAAGAACGGACACAGACGTTGAAAAGATGTTTCAATGGAATTTCGACTTCTTCCTTGAATGAAAGAAAGCACTTGATATTAACTATTTTGGTGCCCTGTATTCAGCATGAAGGTAAATTGCAGACTCTCTTAAAGACTGGCCTTCCGGTTCAATGGGGCACCAGTGTTTAAGACCTTTCAATCCAAGTATCAAATATATTGTCTTTTGCATATAAATGCGATCATACATATATAAGGCTTTAGCAATACCATGCTATAGACAATTTTTCAAACCTCAAAGCCAAAGAGATTTATAAATCATACTTAAACGTTTAACATTCTTTATATAAGATTTAAAAAAAATTATGAAAACTTGTTCTACAGAAGCATATGCATAATGTTAATGAGTTTTGTGACCTAGCCTTATTTTGGTTTGGATATCCATAACTTTATCAATAACTCGTAAAACCAACGCTTCATTTCAGTGCCAAATGAAAAGCAAGCTACTCTAATATAATGTAATTTGGAGTAAATTATTTTGATAAAATCATAAAATCAATCCCTAATGGTTACTGAGTTTTTACTTTTATGTACGTGTATGAACTTGTTCATAAAAGAAGTAAGGAATCAAAGTCCTGAAATAATGCAGGAGTTTTTGTATGTTTGGAAAGGGAAACAGATTTTGATACTGAAATGAAATTACTGCTAAAAGCCAAGTTTATACCATAGGGGGAAACCATTATCTTTCAGCCTGAATAGTATAAAAGGGTAAATGCTACTTGTAAGGAAAGCAAGAATCTGAAGTTAAGTAGTGTTTTGTTGAATAGTGATTTGCAGAGATTAATCACTTATGATGAACACCATTCAGTTCAGCATAGTTCATTAGTAACAGCAGTGAAGTATTTTTGTGTTAATCAGTATTATTAAAGGGACAAAGCTTGGAGGGTCATGTTGTTTGAGCTAATAATAATAAAGGATGTATTTGTCTAGTAGAAAGAATCTGTGTCAAATAACAAAAGGCAGAGTAGACAGAAAATGATAGCTATGGATTTTTTGAAAGGAGATAGTAAGAAATCTGAGCAAAGAATAATTTTTCTTTCATGGAGAAATTACCGTTAATTTTCAATTTAGCCCCCCCCCCCAGATTTTCACTGATGCTGAAATAAATAAACTTGACAAAAAACAGAGATTTTCAATTTATTCATTGGTCGCTCAATGCTTCACATCAAATCAAAATTCACACCATGTCTCTTCCAGTCACGACAGATCAAAAGAAAAAGGTTTAATGTGCATTAAGCACAGGCCATGTGAGAACCTTTTACCAAATATACAGGCCGTTGGTACTCTGTGGGATGAAGTCGACCTTTTCGAATGCTCGATTTCAGAAAGTGACATGGCCCAAGGAGATATTTCAGAATTAAAAATTAATGACGATGACAATGACAATATTATTGATTATCAGTTTACCATTTATTATTAAAAATTAGTTTACCATTCTAAATGCTTTTTATTACAAAATATTTATTAAGCCCCTCTCTCAATTTAGCCCCCCTCTCTTATAAGCCTCCCTTTAAAGTGCTGTCAAACAATAAGGCCCCCCAGGGAGCTAAAAGAGAATTTACGGTAGTCTATCAACAAAGGCATCAAAGAATGAAGGCATTAAAACAAAACCTTACCTGTATTGTTGTTGATTTACATTGTCTCTCTACTTAATTTCAGATCTCTCAGAGGCTCAGTTGAAAGGTGTTGCAAAAATTTTGACAATAACAGTTTTTAGATACAGGTATGCTAGACATTTGAAAACATGTACAATGTTGATAACTGGACTTGGAACGTTTTTTAAATAAGCAGATATAAACATGTTTCCATCTTCAACAACTGTAGAATGTTTTCGTCAGGGTCTAAAACCTTCATTTTGGGGGTAAGGAACATTGAATCAAGCCAAAGTATGATGTGTTTTCTTTTATATAGCTCCATGAGTTGTCCCCTTGCTAGCATAAACAGTGTTTCCAAAGTGCAATTCTCTTATGCCTAGATGCATGAAAAAGAAATGTGGCATAATGTCTCTAGCCTTGTGTGATTACTTGAGTTGTAATGTGAATCATTAAAGAAAGATTTGTTGTACCTTACTAAACCAGATGCTAGTGTTTTTCCTATTTCTTGTAAATTTTATACAGCTGGTTATTGATATTCTAGTGACCACACATCAGAAAAGCTTGTGATACATGCTTTGAAAGTACTCATATCAACACATGGTAATTATTTACCTCCATTCTTTTTTGATGATAGAGTTGATATCACATTTTTACTCTCAAATGCTAAAGTGCCCTTTATAATATGTTGTTATGTCAAGGTGCTTGAAAAATTCCAAGTTGCTGGAAGAATTCAAAGTTCTTAAAGTTTTTTGTTCAATGTTCTTAATTGTTTTCCACTCAAGATCTAGCATCATAATTTGTTTACTTTTTTGCTATTGCAGGTGAAATCTAAAAGTCATTGATCAGTTTCAAAAATTATAATTTTCATTTGAAGGGTATTAGTGCTATAAAATGAGTATGATAAGCCTTACTTATTTAATTATTGTTTTATGCATGTATGAAATATTTTAGGATCAAGAGCTGCTAAACCAGTTATAAGTGAACTTGCAGGCCTGGCAGGACAGGTAAACAAAACTGGGTTCAGGTAAGAATGATTTGGAATATTTTTCTTTAAAATATTTTGTTCCTTTGTGCAAGTAAGACATTTTATACCTGTTAAAAATTAAACTTTTTACATGAAAATAAGTCAATGTCAAAGGCTGTATACCAAAGTAGGGAACATTGTGAAACATTGTATGACATTCCCTTTGGTAGAAGCTGTTGAAAATATTTTTGGGAATAGGAATAGTTGAAGGCTTGCTAGTCAATATAAAATAGCTATTATTGTTATATAGATTATTGATAAAACACCATAATGATGCCAAAATATATGGCAAAGTTGCACTATAAGACTTCTTACACTTTGATGAAATATTACCTGTCAAAGCCTGTTGGTAAATTACTTTTGCTGCTTCCAACCATTTGAGAGTCCTGAAGCATCTTACTGACCTGGATGAAAATATGATACTGTTGATGGTTACAAAATGGCACTGAAAATTACAAGTCATTAATCACAAAATCTTATCAGATTGATATTTATATAATTAGACTAATACTTGTCCTAAGAGACTAAATACAATTATGGTATGAAATAGAAAGTGAAAACAATTTTTTTGTGTGAGTGGTGAATGTTCGGCAAATATTAACTTCCCTGCTCTACCCATCATAAAAAACATTTTTATATCATACATTTTTATTTTTCAGCAAACCACTAGCAAAAGTTGCATTGCATTTACTTCACTGGTGCAGAATAATTTTTGAAATTCTCAACAAAAGCTTAGATCAGGATGATTTAACACCTTTAATTCAAGCAAAAATTTTGTTGACCAGTAGGCTGTTCTCATCAGAAAGCAAAACATTAGCTAAAAAGGGATTTAAAGTGCTATCAAAATTGTGGGGAAAATTTCCAGAAATTCTAGAGAAGTCATTGGAGAAAGCTGTTGTATTGAATCAGGTACTTTTAGCATGATTTTTGTATGTAATAGCTTTGAAAATAGAAATTCAGCTCATCTTTGTACATTGTGTTAATATATTCCAGATGGTAACATGATTGTCCGTGTCACTCTTTGTTGTTTGCTTTTGCCTGTGTTTGTATATTTTATGTATCAGAATACTCAGTATTGCAACCATGTCATTAGTGTATCTAATTTAGGATATTGGTAGATTGTTTTATAATCCACTCTGTTGAAAAGTTGACTGCACCACATGAAATCATGAGCTTTCAGTCTTCTTTTTTCAAATGCTGTGCTCTGCTGTGTAGTCTCTTCTATGATCTTCACAAAGACGTTATTCTCTAGTTATTTACATTTAGAGAAAATTGATTCATCTCTTCATTAAAGTATTACAGAGTTTTAGCCAAAAATTTATGTATTCTTTACAATCATGAATTTATTATTAATATGTTCTCCATGTGAGTATCAAAACTAGACTGTGCCTATAAAGTCTTCTTGTGCATACAACATAATAAACATATTATAAGTACTTAATTTGTGGTAAATTGCCTCTATTTATTTGTGTATTTTAAGATTCTAAACTCTTGTTAACTGTCCAGGGCTCAATATTTGCTGTGACAGTCTCTTTAAAGCAGTCATTCTAATTGTTTTTGCAGCCAGAATCATTGTGTTTTTCCGCTATCTGCTTTGAATATTTGTCTGAAAAGAAAGAACTGAACAAGATTGATGACAAGAAGGTAAAATATGCATTTTTATTTGAATTTTTTTATTATTTTAGTAATGTAAAACACTACTGTATTTCAGTTTGCCTGATATTTAGTAATGTAAAACATCCTCTGGTTTGGCTGATATTTGAATGAGAAAGTCATGTTTTGTATTTCTGTTTAGGAGATTGACTGTATTTGCGCAATCAAAGCTGATATGTTCATTAAATCTTTTAGAATGTAGTCTTTGATATCAGTTAAGGAGGTTGATTTTTGGTAATCATATTGTAATAATAATTTTTACAATATTTAGGGTTTGCTGTTAGATGCATATTTGGACCAGTTTATCATCTGCAAAGTTTCTCCCCAACTTGAGTTTATGGTAAGCATGTTATAAATGCTGTTCTATTTATAATTTTGATATTTATTATCACATTCATACTTTTTATTCTATTCATAATGATCTTAAGAGATGGTGCGGTCGAAATAGAAACCTTGTTAGGGAAATGCAAACTTTGGAGACACTTCGAGACAAGCTGATGCAAAGGCCTCCTGTACTTTTCAGTAAGATGTGTTTTTAATAATTTATAAACACACTTTTTCTACTCTATGGGCCTCTCTCTTTGAAAATCAAGGCATTGATGATCTTTGAAGATCCAGCATTGTATGTAAAAAAGACATTAGTTCGGAAAGCAATATCACTTTCTGAAATTTTTTCCAGATTTTTGTAAGCGCTTAATTTTTGTTCAGGACTGCCAATTCACTGAATATCTATAATGGATAATAATGTTTACAGTATGAGTATATATTATACTAGTCATTTTTAAACATTTTTTGTATATTTCAGCGTGGAATTAAATATCTACTAAAGCATGTTGGACATGATGAATTTAAAAAGTCAATTCTACCCTCGATTAAAAAGGCAATGCTTAGAAATCCCGAAACAGTCCTTGATTGTGAGTGGATTAATTGTCGTTGCAATTAGTGATATTTTTGTCTGTGATATGCTTGCTCATATATTACAAAAGAATACATTTTGGTTGGCTGATACCTGGCAATTTGTTCTCTATTGCACAAAGTTCAAAGCAGAATTGTTAGGATGAGGCTTTGAGTATAATTCACTTGCTCATAGAGATATTCGTTTCAAAGGCCAGTCATATAGTGACCGATGCCATACAGCAATAGCTGTACACGTTTTGATATAACACGCATAGGACGTTTCTTAGTCGTAACTGTTCTGAATTTTTGCATGAAACGTTGAACTCGAATTTGAAACTTAAATCTGTCCTTAAGTGTAATTCAGTCTTTCATTCAGTTTGATAAGCTTCTAACTAACAAGTAATACAAGCCACGCAGCATTTGTTGAGTATGGGCAGTCGTTTTTTTTTGGAACTTTATTATTCTTTGAAAAGGAGAATTTTTCTTTCAGAAGTTTAAAAGTTGTTTTTCATATTTTCCGTCTCGCTTTTAAAGTAAGAATTGATACTTATATTTAAAGCTTTTCTGTTTTCTTTTATATCAATAAAACGTTGCATTGTTAAAAGAGATATGTTTTTAGTGTTGTGATTGATAAACTTATTTCATGCTAGCAATCAGCTGCTTGCTTTCTCATCTGACCATCGACCTATCACAATATGCTGAAGATATTGGAAAATCCTTATCGGGTAAGTAGCTAAAGGTTTTTATTTTTATTTTATTTTTGTTCTGCTCAAAGTTGTGATTTGAGGGGAGGGGATGTCAAAGTTTTTGTCATAGACATCAACTGCAAAATATCCTAGTTCCTGCGATACAAGAGTTTAGCGTTCTCGACTGTTGCTGCCTTGAAATGACACAATAAGAGGTGGCGCAATTAAAATAATGTTGATGGCAATGCTTTTCAAGACAAGAAATTTCAGAATTTGATTTTGAAAGAAACAATTTTCTTCCTTAGCCCATTTGATTGGACAACAGGATGAACTAAGAGCCACTGCCGTAGCCGCATTTGGTAACGTTGCTAAGCAATGTAGTGATCCGGATGCGGTTTGCAAGCTGATAGATGTCCTCACTGGAGTGTTATACGGTATGCGTTTGTTTCATTCTTTGTATTGAATTATGTGGCAGATTTCAATTAAAGCAAAAGTTTCTGGTTTGCTCTTATATTCCATATTATCCTTTTCTTCTAATCTTGAGGTATGCTGGCAGCTCATAGAACACAGCCAAATTTCGATGACGTACGTTCAAGCTCTCCAAACAAAATGCTTTAGAAATTTGACTGCTGGTCCCTCAATTTTGTCAAACAGTATTGCTTAAAGTTGATTCCTTCATGAAATTCCTGTATTTATTCTTGCCTGTGAAGTACTCATTTTTGCGATAAAGTTTCAGTTTGGATAACCGTATTTATGGTATAAGTTCAACTGCTGGTCGCAAGATGAATTTTAACGTAACCTTACATTTAGTTCATATATAATATTGACTCTTTTCATTTTGCTGTTTTGCTTTTGATTTTTCGTGTATTTCCCATGGTTTGGACAGACAAAAATATTTCATGGGCAAGTTCTATGCCAATGATTGGGCAAATCTTATAGTTTTCGAATCTTGTTCTTAGGCTCCGAGGGAAAGCTTACTAAATTCGAACAAAGATGTGATGTTATTGCAGGTATTATTTAATTTTTTTCGATTTGATGTCATACTTTCTTTATTTACTGAAGGACGCTGATTGCTTTTTACCGAATCACAATTTCTCGCCATATTTGTTGGCCTACAATCTTTGACAGACCATGTTGAGATTGTTCCCTTGATTCGCTCTAATACACTTTGGGTTCGTGGAACCAGTATTATTCAAATTCATTCTTTTATTTTCCAAGTTTGCAAAATCATTTTCATCAAAGCAAACATTGTATCTTTATCCATCCATAGAATGTAGATGAGATAAAAATAACTTATAATAAATGACATCTTTTTGCATTATTGTTCACCCCTCACCCAGCTTAAGATTGATTTATCTGCTATTAAAGGGCGTACACCCCAACTTTGAATGGGGTAGAGGCTTGACAATGAGATACATGCTGCGGGGCATTTGTTTAGGCGTTTGTCCCAACAGCTCTGTCCAGGATTGTAGACTTCTGGGGCCTCTTATTTTCTACGACCATTTTTCAGCTCTTGTTGCAATCAATTGCAATGCTGTCAGTGGAAAATCTGCGAAACAACGATTAGCAACCCTTGTGTACGACAAAATGATGAAATTCATTGAACAAGAAGGTGAGAAAGGACTTTGCATGTATTTTTGTTTTGTTACACTCTTTTTTTGGCAATTTTCTTAGTGAATTATACTGTTTCTTATGAATTAGTATCGTATATTCTATTTCTCAATAAAATGCTATCAAGGTACACTGAAGCCTGAAACATCATCATTACCAGTGTATGCCTGAAGCAATTTGGATAAATGAAGCTTTCACAACATATGACATGCCTTATTTCATCTGTTCAGGACACGAAGGGACTTTATGCAGTGCCTTGAAAATGTTGCAACTCTGGGCCAATCAAATTTCTAGCGAAATTCCTGAAAATTTTCCCGAGATTCTCAAGGTACGTTGTTTGATTGTAACTTCTCACTTCCATAACGTCTCATGTAAATATATAGAGTTGCTCAAATGTTGCTGTAAACCTATCAGATTGCATTGAAAATGAATGTGATATTTTGCATCTTAAAGGAGCAATGTACGTTATGATTTTTCATGTTTTAAGTCAGGACTCCACCCTTTTATTAGGGGTAAAAAATTAGTCACTTTTTACTTTTCAAATTAGATTGATTCATATTAGATTGATCTTCGTTATTTTGTGCTGTTCCTGACCATTATTTTGGTCGGTTCCATGCACAGTCTCTTTCTTCTGAAATGTTTTGATAGCTGTGAAAAAGTTTTAAGAGTAACTTGAATTTTGTCACCAAGTCTATGTTAAAGTGAAGTCCGCCTTAGAAGTGTGTTAATATCTTTCACTTTCAAGTAGACAGCGTGCTAATATATTTTATTTTCTATATAGCGTGGCTTAACTGCAAAAAACTCCACAACTTTGGTTAGGACATTTTATTTGCAGTTTGCTTCCTGCATGTATAAAGGTACGTCGGACAAAACAAGGCCAGCGTTGCTCTATATGGTGGAAGTTTTTCTAGCTTCCAAATCCAGTTTTTCCTTAAAATCTTGCTTTTCCAAACTATTCTTTTTGCAAACTGCTGCATAATTAATCAATAACAAAATAATCCGACTGACTATTGGAAACTTGATACTTTAGGGAAAGCAGTAAGAATTGTGACTTTTAAGAAAATTGAGGTGCCATATTGAGAATTCACAAAAATGCTATATATCTTTATTTCGACGTGAGATTTTTAAAATCTTTTATCGTTGTCTTAGTCGAACACTGGCAATCACAAAATAGAGATAAATAATAACAGTTATTTCAATTTGAATGGTTCAATGAATGCTATCGTTCATGAAAAATGAACACGAAAACTATTATGATGAATTTGTGAATTTATGATGACAAATATGACGAATTTGATATACTGTATATAATGCAACACTAGTGTTTAATTTTTTATCATATCGTAGATAATGGTGTAGTTAATTTGCTGTTTTATTAATCTAAGTAGAAAAATGAACTTACAGCATTGTTGAGCAGAAATTAATGAAATAAGGAAATGCAATTACATTCGCCAGTAGAGAATCCCTTAAGCCCCACGTGAAAGCGAGGTTCATTTTCTAGAGTATGAGATGCTTAGATGTGACTTAACGTATTTGTAAAGAAATGAGCTTTTTATCAATATGTCTTATATTTCCAAAGGAAACACTCTTTCTGGAGCTATACCTTTGATGGACACATTTGTTCAGGTACATTTTACCAATGTTTTACCACTTTCGTGTAGCATAATGCTTTGGTACCGACGTTGTTATACTGAGACGTAATAACGGTACTCAGTTTACAGTAGATGTCATTGAACACGAAGACCCCCCATGCCTGTAAAATTCATATTTTTATAGATTCTTGTTCCTATTATTTTTCGTCCCTGTGGTGTAGTGGATAAAACTGTTACCTCTCGGTCTCTCGCCACGGTGGGCAGACACGTACCAGTTCGAATCCTTTGTTCGGACCTCAATATAAAGTGTAAGAAAATGGAAATCACTTTAGCGGCAAGGAAGGCCTACGTACCTGGAAACCAATATAATATATATTTATGTGATTGTTTATAAATTTTTAGAGAATTGGAACTGTCATTGATGACTTCGTGTGAGAAACTTTGCGTAGAACGTTATTTGCAGTCCAGACTTGATAATAGTGTCGCTATAATCTTGAAATCGACAACATGGACTTAAAAGTCTGCATTTTCAAGTTTGCATGACGAAATCTGAAATTGATTCTAAACGGGGCGGTTTTTGTAAACGAGTAAAAAGAGGCTGTTTTATGATGGCTGTTATTTATTCATCTCTATTACCATGTGTTCAGCTCTTCGTCATCCGTATCAATGTATGTGTTTCTCTTCAACATTCATAGTCGTATGCACTGTACTCTCTGTGTATTCTAGCACTTCGAAAAAGATGGTGGCCAATCAGCACTTGCGCCTGCAGTTACTGAAGCCCTGAGCGCCGCTGTGAACCTTGCAAATGTTGCAACATTAGATGATGTTTCCAAATGTAAGTACTGTTTCAAAGATTTATGGCAGCGATTCATTTACAGAGAACAGCTGGGACACGAAGACCTAACAGCGTTATACAATTTGAGCTCGGCAAATGAAAATTGCAGACACAAAACAGTGTCCTGAGCTTCAACGAATCTTTCAGGCTGCTGCTGCAAAGGGGTTTAGCGCAGTGAAAGGAACAAGGGGGCCTTGCGGAAAACTTCTTTCAAAGGCACCTGCAAAATGTTGGAAATGGTTACTTTTTGGCATTAACAAGGGGAATCAGCCCCCAGTCATCCAGCTCCCAGCTGTCCAGCCTCCCAGCTCTACACTTCCCTAGATACATATACTCGTTTGTGACTTGTTATGGTTTAGTAGACCAAGAAACTTCCAGCCATCTCTGTTTTTATAATGTTTTCCTAGGGATCTTTAGAGTAGCTGGGGAAATATCACTCTGGTTCTTTAAAAAGTCTTTCCACCATTAGACTACCATCATGTCGTAGGGAAAAGCTTTGTTTGTTTTCATGATTTAATATAAAGCCGCAGAAGTCGTATGTGAAGTTTTCAGTGTAATAACATTTTACTCTTTTGTTTGGGTAAAACTGTCCCTATTATCGATTAAATTGAAGGCATTTTTGTGCTTGAATACAAAAGCATTATCTACGTATAATTTCATTTCATTTTGGTCTTTTTGTAGCTTCAAAACTTCAGTCATTTTGGTTGCTAGTCTTAAATGAAGAGAAATGCAGCTTTACATCTGAGAAGTTTATAACTTCGGCTTCTGAACTTGGTAAGTGCACAGTGATAACAAAGCTTTATTTGAATTTTGATGCATAAAAGGAGAACATTAAGTATCTTATCGTATAGCTTGTTATGTTGCCATAAGATGGTGAGGATATATAGAAAGCTTTATCTTATTTGCAGATAGTGCCAGCTTTTTCATTCTCCATCAGAAACGGTTTCATGTTAGGTTTACAAAAAAGAGTTTTAAAAAGATTCAGTTTAAAGAAATATTTCGATATAATGTCCTAACTCATGTTTAGTTTCAACCTTCACTTTATCTTTTTGCCAATAATTAAAACCCGTATATGTATAAAAAGTATTTTCAATAAATCTAAAGTGTAAAATCTCTTAACAACATGCAGCTGCTAAGTCCTTAGATTCAAGGTTCGATTTATTCCCTGTAATGCGCTTTTATCTTCCTTATACAAATACAAGAAACAGCTTAAGAAGCATAAAGATCAAGAAATGTTAGGTTATGATTTTGTTAAATTGTTTTGTAAGATGATATGTTATTATATTTTTTGATAAAGAAACAATTTAGCTATATGCCCAGTTACATAAATGGTCTTGTTTAAGGTGAACTGACACGCAAAAATAACTTGACCTCAAATGAAGGCATATCGAGCATAAATACCTGATACATTATTATTTTTTAAATATTCAACACAGTTTTCGAGTTATTGAGTGTCAAAGTTAGCCACCGAGCATTTTCCGAGCACGGACGAGTTCGCCCGAGCCTTCCGCATAATCGTGACGTCACAAACACCATGTTCACATCACTTGATCAACACGACAGTCTGAAAGGGCATGCTTTTATGACTTTTCGGATGAGCACCGATACATTAATTGAGTAGGTTTTGGCTCCATTTCGACAACCTAATTGGAAAACAGATTATGACTCCTTTACAAACCTTTCATAATAAAATTTGCAAGAATATCGTATTATCCAACGCGTTTGAGGCCCTTCCTCCGTCTTGGAGGACCCAGTGTGTGGCGGGCCAACATATCTTATAATGGTAGCGATAAATATATCGACAGGATTTTCTTTTTCTGGAAACCTAAGTAAAATACTTTTATTTTGTTAAATACGGCTGCTGTTAGACTAATTTATCAGCCATCACCCCCCCCCCCCCCCCCAAAGTTAATTTCGGTCTTTGATCCAGGTTAACTTCAATATTCGCAGTAAAGATTTCGAATTTAAGTCACTCATTTTTGGCGGCATATTTTTTATTCAATCACATGAAAGATTTTCAGGGGTTAAGAACCTGGTACGATCGAATCGCTATTTGCAGGAAAACAACTTAGTAAAATGTTCAACTCCCAGGCCGCTGCACTCCTGTAACTCGGGTGAACCGATGAGTTTGCAAACCCGAAATAAAATAACTTTCATGATTTATATGGATGTAGAAATAATCTATCGAAGTAATAATATATTGAATTTATTCGAAAAAGAAGCTAGATTCATGATCAAATGAAAAGATTCTTGCATTCGTCCGCATGATTGACTTCAGAATTGAGAATTTCTTCGAGCAGCTAAAAGTGCCTATTCCTTCCAAACTTAAATTCCCTCCTAACATAACGCAGTACCAGCCAGCACATATCCTTCGTATATTTCATTAGCCTCGATTTTTCATTATTTTGGATCAAAGGCTACATAGATCTCCTCGAATAGTAACTGAACAAGATGAACTGAACTGTCCAGTCCGTGCGTGATTTCCATTCAAGGAATAAAAACATGGTGTTTGTGACGTCACACGCACTGGGTCACATGAAATGCCGACAATGGTCGAACACTCGACGATAATTTCATGACATTTAGAGCGGAATTGCGTCAAAACGGACAATAATAATTAACCGAAAACTTGAAATTAAGATTCCATGCATCGTTTTCTACATTATATCAAAAAATAGTTTTGCGTGTCAGTTCACCTTTAAATGTTCGAAGCCTTAACGTTGATTCATTTCTTGTATTTTTCAGCCCTGGAACAGCTAATTATGTTTATCACCATTCTGTTTACAAGTCATTCCAATCAATTAAATGAGAAAACATCAAGGTAGTCTTTCTTGAAGTGGTTTTTATTCTACAGCTCTTGAATATTTGCATGTGCAAAACAGCAGTCTGTCTGAAGAGATTTTGTCAGATGATTGGAAATTTTTATGCTAGCTTTCTTGTGATTGATACCTATTAATTTTTTCTTTTTTGATGAAGTCGAAAATTCTATTTGTCTTCCGTGTTTTTTGGCATTTATATTTATTGACTCGAAATCAGTCCAATTATTTCATGACGTTAATCATCAAATTGTCCATTGTAATTATCAGCATGATTTGGCCCTGATTTTTGTAGTACTACAGCGGGTTAACAACCCTTTTTTATCTGCATGCTTAATTGCGTTTAGGTATTAGACTGCTATTAGTAAATCTGAGGGTTGTGAACGTCTTCAATCCATAGGCCTTGGTATCGTGCGTTGGTCCTCATTTTGCTGCACAGTGCGTGGAAGACAAGAGCTGCGGGTAAAAAGGTTTTGAAGACAGTATTAGAGTCAGCACATTCAGAGCCTGCAAATGTGCAAATGGCTATACTAGAAGAGTTTCACACTGTGCTAGCGAGTTACAAGGTATTTATTTGTATGATCTTAACTATCAAAGAGATCATCTAGTTTAGAAAACCACCCTACTGGTACTAGAAAGTCCTTTTCTTGACAGATAGACCTTGAGAAATTTTTGAATAAGTCTGATAATAGTTTGTGGTTCTTTCTGTATCAAGTAAGAAGGTGTGAGGATATTTGCTTATTTCTTTGCCTTAAAATGTTTATTGGCGTTGAAAGATTTCCAACACCAACAAATTTCATACTTAATTTAACGTTATTTGTATATTTATATTTTGAAAATTGATGTTAATATCTACAGCTACCTCATTTAATTGGCAACTGTATTTGATTTCAACTTTAATGGTGTAAAGCGTGATTCAACTTTTGTTTGTAAAGTAACATTCTTTTTGTTTACATTTTCAGCCGGCAATGGAAATAGAAAACTCCACTGAAAGCTCTTCATTGAATTCGAAGCTTCTCATGGAGGCTTTGAAGAGCATTGTTTTTACGTTGAATTCACCAACTGATGAAGAGAAAGAAAATATCTGCCTCCGGGTTTTACTCGACGCATGTCACCCGGCTCTCGGTCAGTTTCTCTAATTTGTTTTATCTTAGACACTGAATTGCACAAAATTGACATTTAAGGCATAGAGAGACCATGTTGATTTGTGCCAGAATAGAAGCTTCTGCCAACTTTTTCGTAGATTTTAAGACAAAAGTTGTTTCACCCATCTGTCAATTAGCCAATTGACCAATCAGTGAGCGCGAGACAACTCATACGCTTACTGATTGGCTAATATTGATTGACGGATGTCATAAGCTACTTACTAAGTATCTGTCGGTTGCCTTGAACCCAAGCCACATATAAATACAAATGATAATTATTTTTATTTTCAATGTTAACAGTCGCATTTTAGGTGTTTTGATTTTTATTTATCCTATTTGACGTATAACACGCTGAGCTGTGTTGCCTATACAAGTTCGACAGGGGACTGTCTTCTAGTTAAAAGTAGCATCGCTAAAAAAACCTTTTCTTAGCTTAATTTGGAGATGGATGGTTGGCATGCTCTAATTGACTCCATGTTGCTTATACACCTAGCTGCTGTAAATAATGCCACCAGTGTTGTGCCTAATATCTATGACCTACAATTATGTAGACGTCCCTTATTTTCGAATGTAAATTATTTGATTAGAATAAAGACCAGATTTGAATTTGTTAACGTTGTTCATTCTTAAAAATTTTATTTGTGAAATTACCCAACCAGTACGATTTTTTTAAAAATCTAAAATGAGATGGTTTTTTTCAGTTCAACGGGATCCAAATCTTTGGAGGAAGTTTTTGCTCAAATTTAATATTGATCCTCTGGAGTTTGTTAAGAAATATAAAGATGATTTGTTTTCAATGGTAGAAGGGGAGAATTTAATATCTGAGGTGATTATGAGAAAATTAAGGTCTTATTGTGATTAAGATGAATTACATGAAGTATTTTTCTCCTGTCAAAGTATTTCTCCTGTCATCGCTGAGCAATGATACACCTTTCAACATGCATTTAATCTAACTTCAGCTCATGAAAAGTGTACGTGTAAAGAAGAAAAATTGAATCGATAGTTTCGCTTAAAGTGACCGTATTCCATGGAAAGCACATTATTTTCCTTTTTGATCTTATTTTATTATCAAAGAATTGCAAAACATGTTTGCTTGATTATTTCGAACTTCATGAGAGAAAACATTATAGCTTATTGTAGTTTCTGAAAAATTTGTTTGTATGGTGTATATAAGAATACTTACAAAGTCAAGAAAAGTGTTCCTCTGGGCAAATAATCCAAAGCTGTGAAAAGTCTTCGCCAGGAGAAGAATGAAAACAGGGCGGGATTTGGGTTTGGTTTCGGTTGTTTTCTTTGGCTGCCATCATGATCGTTGATCGCCTTGCTTTCAAGGCTCTAAATTCTTCATAAGTGTAATAAGATATGGCAGAACCCTAAACTGATAAAATTGCTTTAAATCCAAGCTACCTGTCAATGATAATCTTCGTAGGCCCAAAAGTCAGCACTGGCCACTGTTTTGAAGTGTGCTCCGGAAGCCCTAGTGACCGAAATCGTAGACAAGTGCATGAAAGGCTTTGGGAATCCAGCTTTGACTTCCGTTACTCAGACTGAATATGAAATCATGCAGACACCAGATGGAGAGCTGTATGATAAAACGATTATAGAAAGGTAAAATTTTTAATTGCCAACTCTCATACAACTCGCTCTCATACACTTTTGAATATTGGACCGATTTTCTTCACATTCATTCTTTAAGTTCCGATTCTAAGCCATTCTATGTTATTATTTATCATGTAAAGCAAAGTTCGTCAACATTTGATGCCAATTGTATATGCAGAAGCCATTCATCTCCCTTTAAATACTTTATATTTTGTCCAAGGCTGCAAATTCATTTCCATCGAAGCAAACATGGTCACACATCATTGGAATGTAGATGTGATATAAATCACTTTAATACCTGACACCTTTTTACATTAAATTGTGTCACATTTCTTCTCTTCATTCCTAATCTTATTATTCAAGCGCCAAGTCGGTTGTCGAGAGCAAAAATGTCAAAAGGGAGTCAAAGGCTTATTCGTTCAAAGAACAGAAGTTGGATTTGGAACTCAAAGAGGTGCGCTGTTTTTCTCAAATGTTTTTTTTGTCATTTATTAAAACATCAGGTTTTTGCTAATTTCTTTTGCTTTGTTTTTATTGCTAAACTAGAAGTAGCAATTGCTTCATTGCTAAGATCTTTTGGTTTTATCATTCTACTTCACGTCTTCCTTAGCAATGCAGTTTTATGAGGATTAAAAACAAAAATATTGAGCTTATAAATACTCTCAATTTCAAATGCTCGTGACAGTTCTTTTGTGGTGTTTGCTTCACATATCAAGGTGGAAATTCTCGAATCTGAAATTGCTGCTCCTAATGTCAGCGGTCAAAAACTGAACATATGCGCTGTCAGCAAATCGTATATTCCTGGTTTCCGAACATGTATGCTTCGCTCCTTTGTCGCTTCGCAAGAATACTCTTATCTCTGATCTTTACTGGAATGGCGTTTAGAATGGAATCCCCTTGTCGGCTAGCGATGAAAAAATCAACGGAGCAAGCACGGTTAACGTCTAGGAAGAAAATTTTGTTGCAGCTCCGTGATACAGGCAACGTGATAAATTGGGTTCTATTCAACAGAGCAATCAGTAATGATGATGACGATGCATTTTTGACCTCTGCAATGCAGTTCTCCTCGAGAGCTGAGCAGAATTTTAGTTTTGCTGCTTGCCTTTATATTGACATCTTCATTTCTTGTTTGCAAATTACAGGAACTCAAGAAGAAAAAGAGTGGTAGCAAGACAGAAGAAATGCCAAAGCTTTCAAAGAAGCAACAAGAAATGCTTGATGATCAACGCAAGAATGAAAAGGAAATAAGAGACAGGCTTAAAAAGGTGAATAATTGTCAATCGCTTTTCAGCTTTAAGCTGCCGTTACTGATTGTGCTGATTTTATAAACAGCTCCTAGAAGCCTGTTTTTCCATGTGGCAAAAGAGTATTGAAAACGTGCGTTCGTACCTCTATATTTTTTTAAAGGGTATTTTACCATAACATGGTGTTCTTTCGTACATTTGCTTCGTACCACGCACTTCAGTCAGAATTTCCATACTCTTTCCAACTTTTTGCTACTATAACTGTTCAGTTACTTTTTCATTAATGGTCACAACCAAGGAAATTTCTTGTGTGGCTAGGGAGACTTTTCCTGTAAGTTGTGTCTTTCTCGTTTCAGGTCCAGGATGTTTTTATGAAATTCGTTACAATGATGAAAGTTTCCACAAAAGTCATTCCACATCAAATCGCAAAGCATTGTACTGAAATTTCAAAATGCCTTATTGCTCTTATGTGTTCACCCCTTGCTGCTGCCAGTGTTGTTTCCCTCTTCCTCGACCTGGGAAGATGTGTATTTGTTGGAGAATACAAGCACCTTGGTATGGAGAGTTTCATATTCCTTTTAGACCTTTAGATCGATATTCCATTTAGCTAGGTGATTTTGCATTTAACGTGCGTTTTTCAAATTGTACAGCCAGTGTGTTAGTTGTTCAACTGTTTTGAATTACCCGATAGTGCAAGCGAAGCGAATCATGTTGAAGCCTGTCTTAGTTCAGTCAATTTCAATTCAATTTAGCTCTGTTTGAAAGGAGTAACAAGCTCCGAGGTCGAATATACAATTATATTATGTGGATATATTATTTTTTCGGCAGAACAGATGTCTGTCTGTAACTATTTTGTAAGTGCAGAAGTAGTTTCACATAGGGTACCCGAAGTTTTGGTGATAAAAATGTTTTATGGCGATTTTTAAGGCTTCTTTCTTTTAGTTCTGATCAGAAATTGTAAATATTGGTAAAATTTGAGTTCATGTCCAAAAGCTCTAGCCCTATTCTGTAGTATTTGATTCTCTCCCTATATCAAGCTTTTACCAGAGCCTTTTTTCTAATTAAGTAAGTCCTTGGAATAATGGACACAACAGGTGACATGACACAAAGGTATACAGGTTATATAGGAGAGAGGTCGGAAAATTGCAACACTGTCTACCAAGATTTGTAGGTTTTACGTTATCACGCATGCGTAACACTATCCTGTTGTGAGGCATGATCCTGTTTTTTAACAGGTGATCTGATTGCCTACGTAACTGTTCGCCAACTGCAGCCGTCATGTGAAATAGACGAAAACTGGTGCGTAGAGGACCTTCATAAGGAAACTACCCGTGCAGTTGAGATCCTGCTCTCCTTCGTGACGACAAGAAATGTTCCTCTAGTCATGACGTATACAGAGAAGAAACCGTTTTCTTCATCAGCGTTCTCCTACTGTCTTCCTTTGATTCGAGCAGTCTTGAAAGAAAGAGGGGTACATGTGAAAGGGGACGAAAAGACAAGGCTTGACGTGTTGCAGTTTATGGCACTTCACAGCAAGGACAAAATCAACAAAGAAGATATGGATGATGAAAATGCCGCTGTACGTTCTTATTCATTCATCATTCATCTCGGTTTTCACAGGAAGCTCTTCATAACAATGTAATAATAGATTTTGTCTGCACAAAGGCCAACAGCCTTCCATAACTCTGGTATTGTCAAAAATGGCTTTTATACTGCGAAATTCCAAAAGTGCAAGAAACAGCAAAAAAACTCTCTGGAGTTTGACCCAAAGGGCATTTGTTTAGGCCCCTTTTTTACACAAAGACTGCCAGGCAAAGTCTTGCAGCCAACTTTCTATATTTATTCCAGCTCCAGATTATTCCAGATTCCAGCTCCTAGTAGCACTTGTTTGTTTGCAATTTCAAATTGCGCAATTAGTTTCGGTTAATCCCAAAACGCATTTTATTTTAACAGATATTAATAATGGTATCTAATTTATTGGAATAAAGATAAGTTTACCTCAATTTCGCCATTTCACTTATGTTGTTCTTGTAAAATTATAGTTACATTTCAAAGAAAGCGCAATGCTCCTTCCACGGAAAGAAATGCTGTCTATTTTGTCTGCTGTTATTTTGGATGCAGAAGGGTACAACAAGGAGGCCAAAATCCAGGTAAAAATCTTTAATAATAAGTTATGTATCTTGTGTATCTTTGTAGGAAAGCCCTGTTGTTATCTGCTGATGTGCCAAGATCAAAAGTTTTTCTTATGTTTCGAGATCTTTTGAAAGGAATGCATTCTTGGGGGGATGATACTAAACAATGACAGACCCGCAAAAAAGCTCCACGTTGTTGAGAAAGACAATAGGTTTTTGTCTCAAAACAACAGGAAAACAATTCGATTGTTTGCTAGGCAATTCTTACCCCCAATACGTTTCCAAACTTTCTCCTTTTACCCCTGGATTTGTAATAAGAATTTCTTGATAGACAGGTTTTAAAGCATTGGCTCAAAGCTCACCAATTTTATATACATTTTTCTCACCATACATTGGCCATGGTTAACAAGAGAATTTATGAAAAGGTAATTGTGGTGCCCTTAACTGCAATTTAGGGCTTTACTGTCAACTAAAATAGAAAAGAAACCCCGAATCAAAGAGAAATGTTTCGAATTCTCAAAAGTCTTTATCATTTAAGGTACCATCCATTGCATCCTTTTTATCGCAGGATTCGATTCATAGATACCAGAGCCATTTTGATATGATTTGGCTAGGGCTACAAAACCTATAGTTCCTACAAAAACTGGCGAGTTCTTGCTAGTTCATACATTACTAGTTTCAGTATTCATTATTCGAGTAAATATGAACTTCTCTATCACTCTTCTTCCAGCGTGTAGCAGCGCAAACACTGGTTGAGGTGTGCAAATCTGGGAGTGGCACAGATGGGTATGACCAAGCTGATGTCGAGATCTTGCACTTACTGTCGCGAAATCTTATGTCTGCATCTGCCACGTTGCGTCATTCCTCATTGGAAGGTCTTCATAGTTTAATTGAAGTGTTTCCACAAGAGGGAACCGAAGACAGGGAATCACTGGCAAGCAAAGTATTGCTGGCAAAGTTTGATGTTGAGGAGAAGACACGAGAACTTGCTGAAATGTAAGTGATGTGTTAAATGAATGCCTTTTGTAAGAACTGCCTTTCTCTTATAAGAACTGTTTTTTTAAGAACTTATTTCCTTTTTATAAACTGCCTTTGTTAAGGAATGCCTTCCTTTTAAAGAACTGCTTTTCTTTTTCAAACTCGTTCGCTTATGTTCTCCTTTTTTAGCAAAAGGCATCACATATAGTACTTCTAATTTGAATAAATTGCATTTTTATTTGTGTACAACTATCTTGCTGACTAGATTTTGCTTGTTGCTAAATTCTCATCGATCAACATCGCTGACAAAACACCTTTTTTTTTGAAAATAGAATCTGGGATGAAGCTGCACTTAGCATTTCTCCGAACGTATCAACCGAGCTTCTACGTGACATAGTTATCCCACTAGATAATGTTCGAGTTGCTGGAAGCTCGGCTTTGGCAGCTGCAATAGAAACGTACCCAGACATGGCGCCTATAATAAGAGACCAACTGATTGAAATGTACGAAGAAAACAACAAGGTATAAAACACATTTACTGCCATTAGCCTTTATTGTTAATCTTCAGACCCGTGTTTAGTTTATTCTGTATGAACACGAGTTTTTCTCATCAAATTGGATCCGCATTCTGATAACAGAAATCGTTTAGGCCTATTTATTGTACGTTAACATCTGATGATTTTCCTTCCTTTCTTAGTATTTATAGCATACTATTGTTTCAAACCCTCTTGTTGTATCGAACCAGTCAAATTTGTTTTTTAGAAATAACTTTAGGCAGATAGGCCTTTTACAAAATCCATCTAGGAAGCGATGTATGTACCTGTATTAGAGAACTAAAGGACTAAAAAAACTGAATTTGATAATCAATCTTTTATGTGAATCAGCCTCCTAGCATCTGTGTCTCCCTTTATTCATATAGCCATAACTAGTGCCCTAGTTTAGGCAGCTTGTCCTTCTGATCCTCAATCTCTCTTTCTTTCTTTTTTTAGATTCCTCCACCAGTGTTTGACAATCTTGGTCGAATTTCATCGGCCCCTTTTGTTGACAAATGGGAAGCTAGAGCCGGCATTGCTATGTCACTTGAGAAGATTGCTTCTTTCATCCCATCTGAAGAGGTATGAATAAGTCTGAAATAATTTTTAAAAAGCTTGTTTGACAACACCTAACCATTTTTAGCAATCATATTAACTTTGGTAATCAATTAATTTAAGTTTCAAAATGGCTCCATATGGGAATTCATGCGTGTATGCTCAACCTCTGTCATTTGAAAACTTCAGCAATTATTGCACGATCCATCAATGAATTCCTTTATGTTCAGTCCAAGCGACTCTCCTGCTATTAATATCTATAGAAACGATTTCAACTGAACTTTATAGCAAAATTGCACCCCATGCAATAACGTACTTTGACCTTGCTGGCTATGGGATGTGATTGACAATAGTTTCCCTTCTTGACTAACCTTCAGACGTCTTTACTGTGCCCTTGCCTTCTAGATCGCAGAGCTTTTCAAATTCTTTGTTCCTGGTGCTCTTGGTGACAGGAATGAAATAGTCAGAAAGCAGATGCTTGATGCGGCAATGGCTGCCATCAATTCTCATGGAAAGGTAATTACTTTCATGATTTCTTACTACCTGTTTATTTAAAGGGTGCTTTGGTCAGCTGCCTACCAGTCCGAAGTATTGATTTTTTTTTACTGGGCTGGTGACTGGAATTTTTCATAATAGAATTAAACTGTCGCACATGGACAGTTTAATCAACATTTTACTTACAAAGTAAACAAAATAAATGAAAATTACGGATATGGTGTATACTGAAAGTTGCCTCGTCCTCTAAGGTGTAACTTTTTGATAATTTGGCAAGTCTGCTAGTGCCATCGATAATACATTCCTGCCATCAAAGAATCTTGATTTTTAGACTTACAACCATTTTTCATCAGTAGAAGTGTTTGTTTTTCAAAAACTGTTTGTTTTAATCCAAGTGAAACATGGACTGTGGGTTTTTTGTAATATATAAATTTTGGCTGTCCACAACGACTCTCCATTCAGTTAATCCCTGCAAAAAAGAACCTGCGGCTGACTGATTTCAAGAGTCTCACTGCTCTTTGTTCTTATTTCAAAGGTGTTAATAGTCATTTCAAGGTCCTTATTCCAAAGGCTATATTACTAACATTTGCGGAAGTAGAGCCAAAATGTTTAATGTAAAAACAGCTCAATCCATTTTTTTGAGACTCAAAATTGTCTACAAATAACCAGTAAAGAGTTTGGGGGTGGGGGGGACTGTAGCTTCAAATCGCCAACACATAAACATTCGCAAATGATCATCTTTCAAAATTTCATTAATTTGCTAGCTACCTTAAGAACCTCGTGTAGTTCAGGGTTTAAGGAAGGTTCTGAAACACAATGTTTTCATCAGAGAAAAAGAGTCTTTGTAAGTTTTTAAAATTCTTGGTACTTTTTGAGTCTTGCTGTACCATTTTGATAGATCCTTTTGAATTGCCAGTTGTTAAATCTGAAAAGGTCGTTAAAGATTTTTATGTTACCTCTCAACTATTGAAATTATTATTGTAACATTGGACACCTTGTTGTTAAGCTCTTAGTTTGAATGTCAACTGGATGTTCGATCTTCCTTTTGCCTGAAACAACGATTTGTCTCTAGGAGAATATTAATGAACTGCTGAAGATCTTCGACGAATTTCTCGCCACGGCTGGCCAGACGTCATCACACGACATAATAAGACAATCAGTCATAATTCTTATGGGGTCCCTTGCAAAGCATCTTGATAAAACAGACCCAAAGGTAAAATTGTATTGCCTGTATCTTATTTATTTCTCTCTGTGTGTACATACCCTAGTCCATGACACTGAACAGTGTGATTAAATTTTGTTACCTGAATTCAGTAAAAACAAACCTTTTCAAATATCATATTGTCTGAGTTTTTACATTTTGAGTTTTTAAAAAGTAAGTTTTTAATTCATACCATTCCAACCATGGAAATGTGACATTTTTACTAGTTCTTCTTTTAGAGTATGTTACGTCAGCGCAATAATTTTTGATGCCTCATTTGGCAAAACCTGCAAAACGACTTTGTCTCCTTTTTTACTTTTAGCATTTTCCTTATATCTTATTTGCTTTAATCTTTTGTCTTTTAAAGTGTCCTTCAACCGCCATCTCACACAATAACTACCCGTTCAAAGTGATTAGAACCCTCATTTCCCTGTGCTTGCTCTACTAGCCATCTCAGTGCCTATCCTTACCTTATTTTTTTCTATTTCAGATTCGACCAATCGTGGCAAAGCTCATGGATTCCTTGTCAACTCCTTCTCAACAGGTACACAGTCGCCCGTTAGCAAGCTTCAAGTATTTTATTGGCTATAATCACCCATTTTTGGACATATTTAACTGATTTTCGCATTTAAGAGTATTTCATTGTGTTCTTTTAGGGTTTGAGGTCAAAATTTGAAAATTCTAACAATATATTTTTATGACGTCACACTGAAGAACTCTATTCTAGAATAAGCTATCAATGAAAAGGGCCCTTTAATTGATAAAGGGTGGGTTCCCTCAAATTGGTCTGCCCTGCCACTTTGCTTCATTATTCCAAAGTGCTTCATTATTCCGTACAAAGCGATAATTTTTTCTGTTTTCTCTAATTTGAATAAAAACGAATATGAACAGTAAACAGTAATCTTCAATTAAGTGTTCTTTCACATTATTTACAATCATTTTCTTTACTTGGTATCATCAAGCCATCCTGTACTTAGTGTGTGGTTTGTGTTTGACGTCATTTGCTTCATTTAACAGGTACAAGAGGCTGTAGCTAGCTGCCTTGCTCCCTTGTGTTCAGCGATCAAAGATGATGCTCCTTCACACATTAAGAGACTCTTAGACACGGTACGTGTATTAAACTGGCAACTGGGTTGTTCAAATTCCTTTTCAATTAACTCGATTCAGATATTTGTTAGCAGATGCCTAGCGTTTTTCTACCCTGGTGAACCTGTTTTCTCAGCCTCATTCCGCTAGCTCTAACAATTTTCCATATACCCTTGTTAAATGGCTTAGAGCTATTCAGTATCAAGTTAGGGCATGAAAACCCACCCGATCATCAAAACAAAAACACGAAGACAAACAAATGTAGCTCCCATTTTTCATGCCCTGTATCAAGTATTCAGTATTCAGTTTGAAGTCAAACAATTTTTCGCGGCATTAAAGGAGCCTTAGCAACTAAGGGTCTTAGCGGTTGAGCGTATAATCAAAACAAGACATTTGACGGAGATTTTGGGACAAAGTGCAACGGCGGAGCTTTTTCTAAACATGCCTTAGGCTAAAGCCAGACAAAATTTCTTACAGTGAACTTGTAGCAGGTGGAATGGTGGGCTAGGGGAAAGGTTTGGTAGACTCCGTAGCTGGTTTGTCGACTCCGAAAAAATGACAACGTGACGGTCTTCTCCTCACTTTGATCTTCTAATTTTCTTTCTGTGCAAGACATACCTCCAACACAAGTATTGTAGGAGTCATGAGATGCGCAAAGGCTCTTTGTTGCTCAGGCCTTTTTTTTAAATTTAGAGTTTAATATTTAAATTTGAATTTAAATATTTCAACTAGTATTCATCAACTAGCTTAAACCAACAGGGAATAGTTTAAAATTTTGGTAGCACATGTGTAGGAAGCCACTGGAAATAATAAGGATACAGAGTCCCATAAACCATTCCCCTTTCTCGCTCTTCCAGTGTATCCTAGCTTCCATGGTCGTTTTGAACTGCATCCAGGCCGCGTATTATGTATTGCCGTCTCTTTGCGATCTTTTTACTTGACAAATTATGAGTTTTCTAATTTAAAGGGCAAGTTCTTTTTGAAACAATCTGTTGTCACAATTCAACCCAAGTTTCAGGCAACGTCAACCAAATTCCTCGTCAAAATACTCTCATAGATAAGAACCTGGTGTGAGAAACGTGGACCGTGAAACTTCTTCAAAACAAGAGCAACAAGCAGTCCCTTGAAGTAGTCTCCTTAAATTTTATTTTAAACTTTTTGCTTTAGTTCTAGTTCCCATTTAGTGTGGATTGTAAGAGCAAAGACACATTTGACATTTCCTTCATTCGTAGCTCATGAATGCAGAGAAATATGGAGAGCGGCGTGGCGGTGCCTATGGCCTAGCTGGGATGGTCAAAGGGCTTGGCATTCTCTCCTTGAAGCAGCACGATATCATTGGAACCCTTACGACTTCCATTCAGGACAAGAAGAACTATAAACACAGGGAAGGTATGCGTTGATTTTCTTTTAGGGTTACCTTTAATGTGAGTCCATCATGGCAATAAGCATAGTAATAATGTTGATCGTGATCATCACATGCGAGGGGCGGTTCACTCTTGCAAATAGCGTACGAGATTTTGCCTTAAACAAAAGGATTTCTGGGGATTTTCAGATAAAACAATAGGATTTTCACGAAAGGTGTACGAGATTTCTTAGAGTGATTTGCCCTTCGATTACATGCATAAATATTATCTGTCAAATTAAACCACAATTTCGACGATGCATGCAAATGAAGTATTTTCAACCATAAAGCTATGTTTGTATAATACACAGAAATGGAAATCTCTTTTTTCACTAAGAAAGCTTTGCTCTGATTTCAGCGTACATGTTTCGGTAACAGGTGCTTTATTGCCGTTCATTCGTGACCTCGACATTTTTGCAATCGCCTGTTTTCTCAGGATGTCAGTTTTTATCAAATTTAAGTGAAAATCAATGAAATCGCGTCCGATTGAAAGCCAATTACAAAAGAGGAGTCATTTTAAACCAATTATTGCACACGGAGAGCTGGCAAAAGAGCAATGCAGGCTGAATATATGCCAAATTTTTATTCTAGTGACTGGAAATTTATTTCATTAATTAATTTAAGCATTGCGCTGAAAAGGAAACGGTTGTTGAAAGTCACAAGATGCAAGTATAACTCAACTGCTTATCAAATAATGGAATCAGTCCCGGTTGGGTTCTTTGTCTTTTTGTACATAGTTCGGTAATTCGTTTTAATTTGTGTTTTATCTGCTTAACAAACAGATAAATAGTTATCGGCAGGTCTTGTCCTATTCACCTGCTTAATCTTATAACGCCAACTTAAAAATTATCTGCATACACTTTAAGATTAGATTTTGAGCCAAATCCAAAATTTGTTTCTGTTTCAGAGTAAGCAAATTGTTTCGGTGTGGTCTGTTCTTGGAAGATATTTAATAGATAAAAATTGGTTGTTATATTTTGAAATGAATCTGAAACCTATTTCTGTTGAAAACTAAAGCAAGCTGGTTATCTTTCACTTGCTAAAATTCTTCGTTCTGAGTTTTCTTCAAGGAAAATACAGCTTTAAAGAGATTGTGCAGATAGTTATTAGCTTTTGTAATTTAACTGAGGCTGAGTGAGTAAACTTAGCTTGTGCATATTTTATTCCTTTAAATCATATTTCTCATCATTTTTTGTTACTCTTTCAAAGAAAATCAGATGATAGTTGTTCTTAAAGATGAAGTTTTTAGAAGAGCTTACGTCCAAGATTCGCCATTCACTATCACGAAAATACAATTAATGGCAACTGCCATGCCGATACCACTAGCAGTATAGTAATATATCACAATCCTGCTGCCAGTTAAAAGCAGTACTATTGAATAAGAATGGGTAGATTTATTTACAAGTGCAATTTGAAAGAAAAAGAGGCTAATGCATTAGAGGCTGCAGCTATGGAATATTTAGAATTGCCTCAAATTGCTTTATCGGCTTCATGTATTGTGTCTGTACAATATGGTCAAATTCTACCATATCAATAGTTATACGGATAATCCTTTACATCAGAGAAATTTAACTTTTTATGTATGTGAATTTGAAAGAGAGCTAGATGCTTTAATAAAAGCAATCGACAGATAGTTGCTTGAGACATCTGTCAATCAAGAACTGGCCAATCAATAAACTTGTCTGTGGTATTACGCTTCTTGATTGGCCAGTTTTGATTGTCATTGATTAGATGTCATTGTAAAATTGATTGTCATTGATAAAAGAGATGAATGCTGTTTCTTTATAGGGGCACTGTTTGCATTTGAAACTTTTTGCAACATGCTGGGACGGTTATTTGAACCATATGTTGTTCAGCTACTGCCTCATCTTTTGCTCTGCTTCGGCGATGGTAATCAGTATGTTAGAGAGGTATGGATGGCATACTATTTTGTATTACTTTAGTATTTACTTTTCTCGTCTTTTTATCTCCCTACACAATATCCCACTCTGTAAACATTTCTGCCTTTTTTCTTTGTCAGACTACTCATATTTAAGGAGTGTACTTATTAACTTAAGATACCATAGAACAACGCGCGAAAATAAAAGTTGAAAGTGTCTTATAAAAATACTCTATAAAACTGTTCGTTCTCCTTTGATTTCTTCATTGCTTCTTGGCTTAACCTTGAAACCAGAAAAGAAGTTTTCAGTTTGTTATCAGTTCCTTTTGTCTAGCTGTATAAATGTCAGTTTAGGAGGGTCATTTTGTCTCTCTGTTGCATTTAGGCCGCTGATGAAACTGCTAAAGCCGTTATGAAGAATCTTAGTGCTCACGGGGTGAAACTTGTCTTGCCCTCGCTTCTTAAAGCATTGGAAGAAGATTCTTGGAGAACCAAAACTGGTAAAAAAATCTTTATTGTAGCAATGGCATCTTGTAAACATGTATATGCTGTGTCTGCTTAGAGAAGATGCCGTAAACAGACCTGATTATTTATCAGAATGAAACATGCTGGTTTAAGTCATTAACTATCTATTAAGCGTGTATTACATTTTTGTAAAGAGTCTGGTTGCAAGCATTGATGTGAGAATATCAGGGCTGTTGATTAAATCAGAAATATTCATGTGCTCATTGTGCTTTCTGTGATGTAAAGGAAGATCCGGGAGATCATGTCCTTTTACGACTTTTCGGTTTCTGTTTGCGCTAGTTTATATTCAACGGTAAAAGGCTAACTCAAGTTCAACAAAGCATTTTAAGAGATGTTTTCTTTCAATCATGCTTAAGTAGTGTTAGGTTGCCGAGAAGCTATATGTACTAGACATTGCCCTGATCCAGGGAGATTAAGGCTTTCAGGTGAGTTAGTACAGTGGTTTCAACCACATTTGCTATCTCATGGCATAGGCCCGTCAATATTCAGTTACGTTGCCACTACAACAAAAAACGCTACTGAGCTAAACTGTCTCAAGAGGTGTTATTGGCTTTTAAGCAGGAACTGTTAAAGAAAACATGTGCTACTGAAACCGTTATGCGTTGATATGTTTACAATGCAAAATGATCGATAGTGTTACTGTTTGTTTACAGGCAGCATTGAGCTACTTGGAGCAATGGCCTATTGCGCACCGAAGCAGCTTTCTTCGTGTCTTCCCAACGTAGTACCGAAACTCACAGAGGTGCTTGCGGATTCCCATGTCAAAGTTCAAAAGGCTGGTCAGCAAGCATTGAAGCAGATTGGATCGGTGGTTAGAAACCCTGAAATTCAAGGTATCTTGTCTTGATTTGTGAAAATGCTAGAAACTGCAAACACCCGCACTGTCTTCATCAGCAGCCCATGATCTTATATTCTAATTTTGATTTGTCTTCCTTATCTCACGGCTCTTCAATCAAATCAACAATAAGGCAGGGCTGTTGTATCAAGATGGTGTCATTGTGGGATGAAAAATGAACAAAAAGGTAGAAAGGTTTTTTAGAAACAACATTGAATTATGGCGTATAATTCCTAAAGGAATTAGGCCTATTCAGCTTGGCTAAAGGCCTATATGATCATCAGGCATCAGGCCTGACCTGCTTAGGTTTAAATAAGCCATGAATATACCCGATATATCTGCGTACAAGGAGGCCTGCTCTTAAGGCTACATGGATTGGAAATAGCCCAGCTTAAAGCTCTAATTACACATGTATTTCTCGATTTCTCTCCCTTTCTGTCAATAAGTTGTGTCTCTCCTCTAGAAATCTCGCCAATAATTCTGGCAGCATTGGCAGACCCAGGTCAAAATACTGTACCGTGCTTGCAAGCTCTGCTAAACACGTCATTTGTGCACTTCATCGATGCGCCTTCTTTGGCATTGATAATGCCAATACTTGAGAAGGCAAATATCCAAAGATCAACAGAAACAAAGAAGATGTCTGCGCAGATCATCGGGAATATGTACGCGCTAACAGATCAGAAGGTTAGATGGCATACTGCATTTCTTTGAGTTTGAGTTGACTTTTGAGTTTAAGCAAATCTTGAGTTTTAGTCGTATTTGAGTTTAAGTTGCTCTTGAGTTTAAGCTAATCTTGATTTTGAGTCGACCTCGAGTTTAAGTCACTCTTAAGTTTAGGTCGATCTTGAGTTTAAGTTGAGGATGAATTCACAAGAAAGTGCCAACAAAACAGTTGAAATTTTCCAAAATGAACATCAATTTTTGCCACAATTAAAGAAATTTGTTTCTCCTAATAAACCCCTAATTTAATGTCTATTTTCAATTTTCAGTTTCTAGATCATGCGGCATAGATTATTTCAAAATTGATTTTGGAGGGGCAAAAATGTTTCCTTTTAAGAGAAATTGTAGAATTCCAATACTTTTATTGAACCAGAAAGAAGTTGAATACTTGCATAGGATGTTCTAAAAGAAAAGTTTTGTTTTCACAGATAGTTGAATTATTTTTATTATTGTCCTTGTCAATTGTACCTTGTTTTCAAAAAAAAGAATCTTGTTATCTGCATGTCTGTTGAAGTCTATTGATCCTTCCTACTTCAAATACACTCATTGGTATAATTCTAACCCTTATTGCGATTGCTTGATATCAAACATTAGCAATGACACGCGGTCCCATTTGCTTTCGTGTTAGGATCTTGCACCGTACCTCCCTGCTGTTATTCCTGGTTTGAAGAAGTCATTGCTAGATCCATCACCTGAGGTAAGTCACCTGAGCTATGCTGCGTGGTATAGAGTACCATGTTGATGACGTCACCAAAATATATTTTCAGAATTTTTAAATGTAGACTATATGACCTCTAAGAAGGGAATTATGAAATTCCTCTTACTGTATTTAATTTATGGTTCATTAGTGCAGGCACTTTCCCACTTAAATTACTTTATTTTGGTCTTGGTTCTGACATCTATAAACTATGCCAAAACAACAATAATCCATCAGCGAACTTCAGTTCTTTCTTTCTTATTTATCTCAGTCAATTTGCAACAGACTTAACCTCTTTTGAGCATTAAGAAGTTTTTATTCAAAGGAATTTCATGGCGTTCTTTTTGGGATATGTTGTCAAAAGCAAAAATTTAAAAAGTAAATTTTTGCTGACATCCCTCTTTTTCTTCGTATCGTAATTCTTATTCAATTGTTTTGAATTCTCTTATTGCGCATGTCCTAGCAATGTAAAGACCTAGTAATGTAAAGACCTAGTAATGTATGTCCTAGTATGTATTAGAACGTGTCGTATCTGGAACATTTCATTTTCTTTGAAAATATATTGGAGTTTTGAAATTAGATTTTTGAACTTATTGCTTCCCTTTTCTCTTAACAATACGGATATATCATTTCTCAAACTTTTGATAGGTTTTTATTGTTCTTCAGAAGTTATTATCGATATATTTTGTTATACAGACTTTCATCGTTTTGGTTATCATCGTGTCGAAAAGAGCTGCGGGATATTCTTTCTAGTGATTTTTATGATCGTTTGAATAGCATTTATGAACATAAGTTGAAATGCAATGGTCTTTGTTTTTCATCAATCATTATATTGTTCTTTGGTTTGATTAATTATGAATTTTTTCACGAATAAATGCTTGTAAATCTGTATGCGCTTCTGCTAAGTTATTGTGAATTTTTAGCTATAACCTTGTTTTAGCGGTAATTGGATGTTGCTCAACGTAGTTTTCGATCATGCTTTTCAGGTTAGAGCTGTGTCCGCACGTGCTCTCGGTGCGATGGTCAAAGGCATGGGTGAGGAATCATTCAGTGACTTGTTGCCATGGCTATTGGAAACGTTGACGTCAGAACAGAGCAGCGTTGATCGTTCTGGTGCTGCGCAAGGTAACCTTATTATTCACAGCGACAAGTTCATTCAACTAACCTAATTAAAAGAACGGTACTCTGCTGTAAAGTGGGTTATCATCTATTTAAAATGCGGTAGCAATCAAGGAACTGGAAACAGCTATTGTGAGCTTAAACAAGGATTTTTGAAGTTTTAAGCTGCAAATGTCATTCCGCGTTTGCTTATCTTTGAATTGCCATATTTTAAATACCTTTGCAGCTTCTTGTTGTTTGAAATGCAGAATAGTTTTTCAAAATGGAATGGAATTATGTATTTAATAGGCTCCTTCCTGTCATACGCTAGGTGTGGATCGTAGAGTAATTGAGTCTGTATGATTAGAAAAACAGCCAGTGAACTGATATCTTCTCAGTCAATGCAAGAAAACCTTGTTTATTTAATCCATATATCGATGAGTTAATACCACAAAAAGAAATTCGATTTCGGTGTGTATTGGCTTAACTGTGAGCATTTCATTTCGTGACGATTTCAAAGCTGCTTAAAAATCTAAGTCACGTAGCGAGAAATCGCCATCAGGAGAAATTTGGATTTTGTTTCCACCTTTCCGCTTGTTATTGATGATTCAGTAAGATCGAAAGCATATCGATAAGGATTTTTCGAGCAATTTACATCACGGATTTCGCACTCAGAATGAGTTATGTTATTGCAATGAATATTTTTTTCACAAATGCTTTCCCTTTGCCTATTTGTACATCGTTTCTTTCGTCCAAATATTTCTGTTATCTAATAATGGTTTTCCTTTCTTATAAAGCTAGCCGGCCTCTATTACGGGACAAATACAGTATAAATGACTTCGATAAGAACGATTTTTTGTATTTTTTTTATCAAAGTTTAAGATTTGATGAAAAACTAAAATTGAAACCAAGGCAGCATTGAAAGTAAACAAGAAACGAAAGAGCAGTATATTCGGTGTTGGTGTTTGTCTGTTTATTACTACCTAATTTTCGAAGGTAGTTTCATGACACTGCGAATCTTTGCCTATCCAGCATTGTCTTGGTCCTCCTTCTCGACATGACCACATATCGTAATTCCTATGCCTGGAATTACAGAGAGCTGGCAACTCAGCTCACTCTAAGTGACATTTTGGCCATGTCAGTGACTGAAACCCCAAAACTTTGGATCTGTAATCCGCCACCCTAGCTTATATGCCATGTAATCATCACTCTTTCATCGGAATCCATGTGTAAATGATGAACTCTGTAGGAAGAAAGGTAGATTTTAACGCTAGCACCAATATTATAAGATTCTCTCAATCAAGTAGTTAGAAAGGTTTTCATAAACTTGTTCATAAAAAATGTTTCTCTTTAGGATTGGCTGAGGTTTTACATGGCCTGGGCACTGAACGGCTAGAGAAGTTGATGCCTGACGTCATCAAAACTACATCTAAGGAGGATCTTGCTCCCCATGTCAGAGAGGGATACCTTATGCTCTATATCTATTTGCCAGCTACGTTTGGTGACGACTTTGCCAAATATGTCGGCCCAATTGTGCCATCACTGCTTAAGGTACTGTGACTGCCACGTATATGCGAATTTACTCAATTGTCAGTCACTTTAATTCATGTATATTCCCTGGTTATAAATATTACATTTGCAAACAGTCTTTTCTTTCATGGATGCCAGATAAACATATCTGGTATTTTCAATATTATTATACAAAAAACATTTATATGAATCAAATACAATTATAAATAGGTCAAGAAGGTGAACGGAAATAACTTCAAGGGAGCTTCTTTGCTGTTGTTCACATATTAGTATACAAAGCAAGTAGTGATTTTGAGTATACCTTATATTGAATATAAAAATCAAATTATAAAAATCCAATATACTTATCTTTTTTAAACACGTAAAAAAGACTAGTTTAACAATTGAAGCACGCCTATAGTAATCGATTTCTTGCTTTTTGCTCCATTTTTTCTTAAGTGAATAATTCGGTTTAATTTCTTAACCAAAGGAATTCTTTTTTGCTTTCTGATTTATAAAATTACTTTCTAAAAGCAAATATTTTGAAACATACTGAAGCTTTCTATCTCATGCTCTTCAGAATATATAACATCAGAACATAGATCGAAACAGATTTTCATGTTTATGTATAGCGATTATAACTGCTAAACCGAAATAAAGCGATTATAATCTGAAACATGTCTTCATCATAGGTTTTGGGGCAATATCAAGTAGCAGGGCCATATCAAGTAGTAAAAGATTTTCAAATTCTTTGCCACCAAAAAATTGTTTCTGGAAAATTCTTATCCAACAAAATGTACAAAAAGATGGAATAACTGCAGAAATAATGGATGTTGTTTGTATTACAGGGTCTTTCTGATGAGTCAGAATTCGTTCGCACTACTTCGTTGAAAGCCGGACAAAGGATCATTACTGCTTATGCAGACACAGCACTCAGCCTGTTTTTACCAGAACTAGAAAAAGGTTTATTTGATGACAACTGGAGAATTCGATACAGTTCAATCCAACTGCTTGGTGATTTGTTATTCAGAGTCACGGGCGTTTCTGGAAAGATGACAACTCATGGAGACGAGGACGACAACTTTGGGACATCACATTCAACCAAGGTATGGTCTTTTTCGGGGTTGGATACTCCAATGCTAATTCAAGATTTTTCATCGAGGACACTTATGAGATTATTTGTTCAACCCTTCAAACAACTTCTTTGCAAGGAAGTTTCTCTTTTAAAGAAATTCTATGCTTCCCCTTGGCAATACCCTTTGTTTCTGCCTTTGTTTTATTTTTGGGCCTCTACAATTAGACAAAGCTTGCGCCAGTAAAAAACCTGACAGCATACATTGATGAAAAATAAAATCCTAGAGAAGGAGTCTTTCATAGTCTTAAAAGATTTAAGTTTTAGAACCGGTTCCAAAATACCAGACAGCCGTTTTCCTAGTTCATGTTGAGAAGAGCCAACCATATGTAATATCGGGGTGGAATATTGTCTTTGTAGGTTTCAAGAAAGTCATTCAAAAGTTGTTTTTTTCTGCTTCATTCTTAAACTATTAAAGTTGTCCATGCATTCTTCATTCTATCCGTCTCGTCAGTTAGGAAGTTTTGTCAGTTGCAACTAAAGTCGATTTATGTTCAACTCTATAATGTGAACAATGGCTTTCAAATCGTGCCACTCATCATAACTTAAAATCGGCTTTTCGTTACAAATTCATTTATATTATAGGTAGATCTGTAGGTAAAGATTGAACAACATAGATCATCTGTGAAATAGAAAGCGTGACCTTGATAATGAAATGATAGAAATTTTTTTTGAGAAATAGTGACAAGCAATGCCGATGCATGGAAAATAGCTTTACATTGTAAATCTGTGCTATCAATTTATATCATAGGCCATTATTGAGCTACTTGGACTGGAGCGTCGTAACCGAGTTCTTGCTGGCCTGTACATGGGTAGGTCTGACATTGCAGTGTCCGTCAGGCAAGCCTCTCTTCACGTGTGGAAAGTTGTTGTACACAACACTGCGAAAACTCTTAAGGAAATACTGCCTACTTTGTTTTCGCTGCTGTTGGGATGCCTAGCAAGTGACAGTTACGATAAAAGACAGGTATTTTTACAGTATTTTTAATTGCATGGTAGAATTATATGTTTTTCCTGGGTTATTCGAACAAACAACTATTAGTGATGACAAATCAGAAACAAGATGTTGCCTAGGTTTTGGTTGAAATAACATGACGCTGCATCTGATCTGTTTTCACCATTCAGCATCTTCGAGTATCAGTGAAGAAATATGCCTAGAAGAACCGAAGAAGTAAGCTCTTTAGCCACCCAATCATTAAAAATTTCTCTTAAGAAAAATTCATGAAAGCTTCAACGCATTTCTGTTATGCTGTCCTTATTTATAATACGTGTGCTATTAGTCAGAAATGTTCTTTCGAGGTCCTATTCTCCTGTTTATATCTTTTCATTTCATTCGCCAATTTTAGACTGCAGGAAGAACACTGGGGGATATCGTTCGCAAACTTGGTGAAAGAGTGTTGCCTGAAATCATTCCAATTCTAGAGAAGGGACTTGACAGTGACCGCAATGATGAAAGACAAGGAGTTTGCATCGGTATAAGTGAAATTGTCAAATCTACAAGCCGGGATATGGTATGTTCAAAAGATTTTACCCAGAAGGCTTCTCGTTCGAAATTTTTATTATAATTATGTTTAATTACGTTCTTTTCATTGTAGTTTCCTCAGTCTCATATCTTTTAAGCTGTTATTTGAAAACTTTCTCAGCAACCCTTCTCTAATACTGTGTCTTTCTTATAGAATCCCATGTACAATTGTTTTGTATCCAATCTCATTTGTTTATGGCTGTTTTCTTCGATAGATTCTCGCCACATCATTTCCAACCACTATTCATTGAATATCCCGTGTTAAGATTTAGGAGCCCATCCATAGTGAAATTGTGGTTAACATCGGAGAATTCGTCCCGTGACATGGGGAATATTTCCCTTTCTCAATCAGCCATTATTTACGACTTCAATGTTTTACCCCGCTTAAGACCATCTCCCTTATTCCATTCTTGAGTTTATTTTTTCATGTTGCCCTGAGATAATACAAATTGGTCAAGATTATCACAACTACACCAGGCTAAATAGCCTTTGTTCAGGAAATTTCCAAATAATAAGCGACAATTTGACAAACGAATTCTTTATCAGTTTAAAAACCATCGTTGTTTTCGAAAATTGGTCTTAGACATGCAGTCATGTTAGAAAATTCTCCGTGAAAATAACAATATTTTCTTGGTTTTAGATTGTCATGTTTGAAGACTCTCTAGTGCTTACTGTCAGGAGAGCCTTATTAGACCCGTTGCCTGATGTCCGCGAGGCAGCCGCTGATGCCTTCGACAAACTGCACGATACGATTGCCCAGAAGGCATTAGATGGCACTTTGCCATATGTACTGCAGAAACTGGTTTGTGAAGTTTGTTTTCTATATTTGTTTTACATAATTTCAATTCTTCCATGATTCGTCGTTCCATCCATATAAGCACAAAAACCGCTATTGTGTAGACAGAAGGATTTCGTTTTCACCTTAGGACATTTCAATAGTAACATTCCATTGGTAACATTTCAATAGGCAAGCGGCACTTATAGGGCAACCTCAAAAGTCATGTGCTCACGTTTCTGGTTGCCCTATTTCGATCCACAACTGGGTATATATACATTTCCTATCGTAGTATTTTGATCTATGTTCTGATGTTTTATACTCTGAAGAGTGTCAGACGAAAAGCTTAAGTATGCTCAAATGTTTGCTATTTTCAAAGCCATCTTCCATAATTGCAAGATTTGAAAAATTTCGTCTATGGCTAGGACACCTATCGAATCATTATTAATTTTTCTCTATACCTTTCAGTTGTTCTTTCTTTTTGGTCATTGCCTCTTTTCTTAATATTGTTTGCGAATCCATTCAATTCTTTCTTGGGAAAGTCGCGAGTTGTTACCAAAATAGGATCAGCTTTTAAACATTGGAAAGACCGGAAAAATGCCTTTTGTGAAGATCGTTTTTTTTAATGCTTAGATAGTTTTGAAACTATTATCTTAAGCATGCTTGCTACATATTTCATTGACAGAATTTGCACTTATTTACACTAGGTGAGAATTTTACATTAAAATAGGAGACTTTCTATAAAGTGGACGTATCTTCAATGGAATTTCACAGTTTTTTACATATTTATTTGCAGTATTTATGATTGGAATCTCGGATCAATGGACTTATGATTGTCATGTTGCAACACAATTCTGCGTAAAAAATCTTTGCTTGTGTCAAATCAGCCTAAGCGTTGAAATTTCTCAATAAAAATTCCTTCTTCCGAACCTTGCATGTTCCTCTATAGCTTTTTGATTATAAACCAAATGATTAACAAAGTTTCGTTTTGTTTTCTTTAAAGAATGAGGATGAATTTGCTGAAAGAGCTTTGGATGGCCTACGAAACGTGATGGCAGTGAAAAGCAGAGTTGTATTGCCCTTTCTCGTTCCCAAGGTGCGCTATAGATTTATTTTTAGGCTACTTTAAATCGACCCTTATTATTCCTTTAGTAATTTTTAAAAGATGTCTGCGTTGGATTAATTAGAATCAGTCGTTATCACTGTTGAAAGATTATCTCTTCCTATCTCTCAAAATCCGCTCATTTCTTCCTCAATCAATCAATTTACTTATGGGTAGATTGGTTTATGGTATATGCGTCTCAGTGGTTTTAGAGCCTCACAAGAATGAACTGTCATGTGAACTGTTTTAACTCCGTTTTGTTTCTTTGCCAGTTACTTTTTAAAGTTGCAAGCTGTCTGGGTCGTTATTAAGTGTTATTTTTTTAGTAATAGTACGATATTACCACCTTCAGAGGCAAGTGAATGCAATATTCAAGTGAATATTAACAAAAAGAATGGGGCCTTAAAATTTCCCTTAAAACATTTGCTGGATACAAAGTTGCAAACAAAATCATTAAGAAGAATGTCTTATGGAATTTAAGTGGTGATTCCACTGTTAATTTGTAGCATAGTGAATTAGGTATGCTGCTGAGAACAAAGCAAGCTCAATAAAGTCGTACAAACTACTCCCAAAATTTCCCATTCTGTTAATATCTTTGTTTAAAGTTTAACGGTAGAAAAGATGATTGATTCAAACAAAGACTTATATCGGTACACGTTAAATTTGCAGCTTATCATTACGCCAATCGTTCTTGGAAACTTAGCACTTGTCATTCTTGCTTCAAGTCACACTGTAAACGATTCACACATTAAACATGGCTCTTTTAGATGGTGCTTATAAACCCACTAAGGCGTGTCCTTAATCTCTTCTTGAAATTGTCCTGGAAAGCTGAGCGTCGACGTGTTCCTTTGAGCACCGTTAATAAGATTAAAATGCGGTGTAAATTCAAGAAGTTTTTCTCTATTATCATTGGCAAGAAGCGTTCATTTGCTTGCAAGCTTAACCAATGTTTTAGGGATATTTCTATCCCAGTAAAGGGTACATGCTGTACGGTTTTTAATTTATAAGGTTTATCTGTGAACATAATCTTGCTAGATGATCGCGTCCTTGTTGAACGTTGTTGCCCCTTGCTGTTCACAGTCCACCCACCTATCTTTGCAAGAGTGTCTCTGTTACATAAAGCAGAGGGTTTACCTTTGCCAAGGAAAAGCTCCACGTTACGTTGGATACATAGCTTTTAACTTTATAGCAGAATTAAATCTACGCGCGTGCTTATACAGTTATATACAATTAATTACCCCTGCTTTGTAATTACAACCGATCTCTTTATCCCGCAATCCTATTTCTATGCTGAGATCGCAGCCGCACGATTATTTCGTTATCTACTATAACTAACATGTTTAATAGTGCCGATTATTTCTACCAATAAAGAAGGCAACATGGCTAGAGGAAGTGAAAGTAGATTTTGTTTAGCGAAGTGGGAATACTTTCTTACAGGAAAAAACGTATTTTATTAACTTTTGCTATAGAGTTTAAACTTTTGAAACCTTTGGGTAAGCATTTAGGGCTACTTTTAGGCTGGATCTCATTCAATAAAAATGGCCAATGTCACGATGGGGGGGGGGGGGTCGTCCCCTTGCCCCCTTCCAAAATCCCAGATACGCCATGATCCGTCCAGTTGAAAAGCTATTTTGCTAGAATTAGTGTTCAAGAATATTTCAATGATTTAGAAAGTTTTGAAATGTGTTTGTTTTATATTGTCAAAAATAACAATGTTCTTTGTTGTTGTTATTTTACCACGAACTGCGGTCGCGTATTTAAGTGTACAAAGAACGGGTATTTCAGGTCATCTGATGAATTGGCTTCAGTTTGACAGTGTTAAAGCTGTTAGAAAGTTCTCTTTTTTATTCATTTTGCGAGCGCCCTGCCACGCTTTGTGATCGAGAATAACGTAACTGAAAAACTTCAATTTGGAGGATGCGTGCCAACGGATTCTGTATGATACATCTAACCTATGTCCGAACTCCTAGATACGGTCAAAAGTCTTGAGAAAAATATGTTTCTTTGGCTTTTTTCATAATTTTGCCTTTCTCTCAATAGTTCGGTTTTAACGTCTCTTGTTGCTTCACCAGCTCACTACGCCCCCGGTCAACACACGAGCATTGGCTATCTTGTCGACTGTTGCCGGAGATTCGTTAACCCGCCACCTCAGTAAGATTATCCCAGCCATGTTCCAAGCTATTGACAAAAGCAAAGATGCGGAACAGCAAGAACAGGTAGCCATTTTAATTCTCACCCACGTGATCATTATTAGGAAAAATAACACTTTCACCCCATTCCTTTCTGTTCCTACCCTCAATAAACCACCTTGAAGGTTGATTTCTGAATCCGCTCGAAATAAGATGAAATATTTCATGATACAAAATTTTAAAGTTGCCTGATTATCCCACATTTCATATTCAGTGATGTTAATGAAATTCTTATTCTTGAAATTATGGGCGTTTAATAGAGAGGGCGTCATGATAAAAGGGAGTTGATAGAACATTATTATTATTATGACAGTGAAGGCCTTCGCATTCTAGTGTTTATTGTTGTTTATCAAGATGTATCTGGCAAAAATTGTGTTCATCATTTGGAAATATAATAAAATAAGTTTGAAGGTTTATCAGTCTTGATTTTGTTTGTTGTTCTACCTTTTTGTAAAGTAATGAAACCTGTATTTTCCGTTAAATGAGCTTAACAGGGGGTCTTTAAAGACTTACATACAAAGTATCAAATAGAGTAATCCCTTGTGGTGCCAAGCAGCATTTTTTGAGCTGCCAAAAAGGTGTGATACTTGAATTTATATTGTTGCGTACTTAGGGTAAAGTTTTGATAAAAGAATTTTGATTGTCTTAACAGGCTATCGAAGGCACCAAGGCATTGATACTTTCTGTCGAGAGCAACACTGGCATAACAAGCATTGTAGACGAATTTATCGACTCTTCAAGACATAATTCTCCTGGAGTTCGTAAGGTTGGTGTTCATTGATGCAATTTCTTAACCGTCAATAACATGACTTCTAACGGTGGAGCTTCGTTAACATGCAAAATTGTACGCACAAAATTGAAAGCTTTTGTGTTTCTCAAACTTATTCTGAGAATGAAATAATACTGTATGTTACAGACAGTGTTTTTAAGGATGTTTAATTCTATTTAACATTTTCAGGTTTGATTCACGGTACTGCGGCGTTGAAATCATTTTAATGACGTAATTCACTGATAAAATTTGAATAATATGTCAAAGAAGCTGTATAATATATAAAAAAACATATGCAAAAGAAGCGGTGTAGGACAAGCAAGCATCCTGTGATGGCTTCTGTTAATGTACACATTTTAGTGTTTTACGATATGGTAATGTTTTAATGATGTAAGAAGTATGTGAAAGAGTCCAAATCCTCGTGCAGATGTCCATTAACCAATTTGAATGAAATCAACTTCGAGAAAATTGATATCTTCATAATAAAGTGCTACAATGTTAGTCTGGCTTAGAACCTTGTCTATTCTTCTAATCAAATTGACATTGAGGGCAACCGTTGGTTTTTTCAAGGCATCAGCCATAATCATCAAAGCGTTCTGCTCTGGTTGCAAAGCGGATTACAGTAACTACGTGCAGCAGTTGCTCAAGGTGATACTTCAGTTGATGAACGATGCTGACCAGGGTGTTTACACTGAGGCATGGGGAGCACTTGATGCTTTGATCAAGGTCCGTTGTTACTAGCTTTTTCTCTTCATAGATACACCACAAAATTTTAATTCTACGTAACTATGCCTACGTTTAATTTTTTGCCGTTAACTCTGCGTAACCAGCTGTGAGTGATATTTCTTTATCTTAATGATACTAACTGTTGAGAACAACAAGGGTATCCTAGAACGTTTCTTGAGACAAAAATGAACCTTTACTAAACAGTACTGATGTATTGTTTGTAGAGGGTGCAAAAGGTTGGTGCATTTAGGTGAAGTTTAGACCAGCCTTTCTTGCTTCCCTTGATGTTGTTGCGAGGTTTTAGAATATTCTATCTTAAGAGTTTCCGGTCTGTCTGTTTTACCCTATCAATGATTTACAAGCGCAAAAATTGTGTCCCTAATTCTGCCAACCTTATTCCCTTTTTCTTATGACATCAAGATTTTTAGCATCCAGTGTTTTATCTACGCAGAGGCTAGATCCAGCAGAACAGATGCAGCACATTGGCAATTTAAGAACAGCTATCCAGTATGCAGCAGAAGATGCGAGGGAGGGGGTAATCCCTGGTTTCTGCATCGTTGGAAAGGTAAATGGGCATCTTTGCTTTGTTTTTATATACCATACTGAGATAACTATTGTTAAGTAAATGGAAACACAAATATCTGTCCTATAGAAACATGAATCTTTAATCTAGCACGATTTATTTCGTTAAGATCAGAAACGTTTTTGGGATTTCGAAGACAAGAAGACATAAACTGATAAACTGGCTTTCTCTGAAGTTGAACAACCATTTATTGTATTTATGATGCTGAATTTGTGCCTTAGTGTGAAAATTGAGATTTAAAGCATTTTGGAAATTTGAAAAATGAAAATCACATTGTTGGTGTCTTATTCCTTTTACCTAATCGCAGAAAAGAGTTTTTAGGATGTTTTTAATTTTTCAACTTTTTACATGTTTTTCATTAGTTCCTCCCTCTTTATAAAATGTTATTTGTAAAAGTATGACATTACTCAACTGAACAATACAAAGCTAAAGAGTATAAACAATACATTGAAGGCATTTGTGTTCTGAAACCCATCTGCTGTACGCTTGTCTCAATTTTGTTTATAATTTGACTTGTTCTTGTATTCACTTAGGGAATCAATGCTATTTACCCAGTATATAAGGAGGGAATATTAAACGGTGGTCCAGAACTGAAAGAACAAACAGCCAAACTCCTGGGAGAAGTGGTGGTGCTTACAACTCCAGAGGCACTGAAGACAGCATTGCTAAATGTAACAGGGCCCCTCATTCGTATCTTTGGCGATCGTTTTAACTGGAATGTGAAAGTCGCGATATTAAATACACTGGCATTGTTACTTAAGAAGGTCAGTGTCACCAGTGTTTTACAATAAATATTTTTTACGAGACGCTTTCTTGTTATCACGAGTGAGCGATCTTTTGATCCCTTGAAGCCTTGATCCCTCCAAGCCTCGATTCCCCGAAGCCTCGATCCCTCCAAGCCTCGATCCCTCCAAGCCTCGATCCCTCCAAGCCTCGATCCCTCCAAGCCTCGATCCCCCGAAGCCTCGATCCCTCCAAGCCTTTATCTCCTTCTGCTTTTCTGGTCTCAAAATCAGCTATTGAACTAAACTTTGATCCAGCTGAATTTGCCTTGCAGTTACGTTTGTCGTCGTCAATCCATTTTTTATGAAAAGGGATCCTATATTAAAAACTTTTATTTATATTTTAATGCAACTAAGACGTGGGCGATTTTGGGAAATTTTTATACCATGGAGAGTTTGCTAGCTGTGAAATTTTTTATATTTCATCTTTCTTTATATTGGCTTTGAAATAAGCAACTTTTCATGAAAATTTTTTTTCGTGTTCTTTTCATGTGTAATTCTTTGCTATTCGGTATGAATAATATGTTTGATGTTGTTGAAATATTATGATGTTGATGATAGCTTTCTCTATATATATTAATTATGTGATTGTTACTTGCAGAACGTATGTAACTGAATATTTCGTTAAATGCCATTGTATGTAGAAGATAATTTTTAAACAAGATCTTGATAAATTTTCTTTAAGGTTGGAATCATGCTAAAGCCCTTCCTGCCGCAGCTACAGACAACCTTCATAAAAGCTTTGAATGACAAGACGTTGGCCGTGAGGGACAAAGCTGGTGACGCTCTGACATTCTTAACTGCTCTTCACACGAAAGTTGATTCCCTGTTTACTGAGTTGCGAAATAGCATCAAAAACAATGAAGACACAGCTATAAGGTTTTCTATTATTTATTAACAAGTTTTTAACACCAATGCTTTCAATTATGTTTGGACACGGGCCCTTCATAAGCAAACTTTTCATCTCAAACACTATGTGAATTATGCAACTTTTGTAGGAATAACGAATCAAGATTCTTCGTACGAATCATTAGAATATTTTATTAATACTTTCAGAATCTAAAAACAAGGAGATGGAAAGAAATTAAGTTCAAATCTTGAACTGATATAACCCGAAAAATCTTGAAAAGTCAAACATGTAGCATCTTATTGAATCACATGAATCATTATGCCTACTATTTTTCAGTTACCAGTAAAAGAATCCCACGAGTGATTGTCCACTATATTTATACCCAGTTATCTGGTGGGCTGCTTCTCACACTAAACAAAGCAGTTCTCCTATGAAAATGGTTTACGTTTAGAATAAAAACATCTGCCAACATCTTTCCATATTTTCTATCGAAGGCTTTTAAGACCAATCCCCCTCTCTCTCTAGCTGTTTACTTTAACTGTTTATCAGTATGAATCCCATCGTCTCCCCTCCCTTACCTATTTTCTTGAGCCGATATATTACCTTTGTCCCGTTTAGTTCTTAGATATATCAAGTTTCCTTTTTGTTTTCAGAGAGAGTGTTTTAAAAGCACTGCGATCTGTGACGTTGATAGCTGGGAGCAAAATGAGCGAAGCAATCCGGGGCAGTTTAGTAGCCACTCTCGTCCCCCTTCTTGCCTCAACCGAGGTAGGATTTTGATACAACTCTTCTTATCTTCTGTCGATTTGATAGAGTACTTCAATCCATCCTGCAATTAGCAATTTGATTATGTTATTACACAAAACTACTAAGCATTTCACGACAAAATCTCGCTTTTAAAACTATTGATGCCGATATGTTAAGTGACATTTTCACCTTGTAAACTTGATGCCTTGACAATGTAGTTTTGAAGTTGTATTTCAAAGTCAAGACACAAACGATAAAATTACTACCAAAATTGCCAAGATACTCTCCACAGTTCAATTCTAACAAATGACGCCTTGCCCCAGACATCCAATTTCAGTTGGTTTTACTATTATCAGCCACCGAAGAACTGAAGTTGTTTTGTTATCTGGCATTATACCAGCATTCTGTATTCATGTATTGCTTTACTCGAACTCTGTTTTTGAGCTGTTGCTTGACATTTTCTATAAGCAAGAAACATCCGTCTATATAGCAAGGATTAACATGCCACAATACGAGGATCGCGTCATTTTGTGATTCATTTGTTGCCAAACATACAGGAACATACAGTCCTTGCTGCTATAGAGTGATCAACCTTTTTTTGGGGGGGGGGAGGGAGGGGGTGGAAGAAGAAATAAGTGGCAGCTTAGATTACTTAGGAGAGTAGTTATATCCTGGGCTTGTCAACTTTTGGGTATTGTGGTGTTCCAACTATTTTAATTAGGGATTCTGATGTGTGTTATTTAAAGGTTGGATGAGTATTTGTCTCGGCAGAGCAGTTTTTTCATTTGGTCAAGGTCATTTCCATTTAAAATGAGCACGATACTATTTCTTTATGTTAGGATGACGTCAGAGTTGGAGCTGGTGGCGTGGTAGGCGCATTGTGCATTGCTTTGTCGACCTTCGAATTAAAGGATCTTCTGAATGACGAGCTACTTGGTAAGTTTCGCACAATTGCAATGGAAATTTTCGCGTCAAATTCCCATTTTTGCATAAATTTATCATTAAGCTTTTCTTGTCAATTTTGTTAAGTTATGAATTTTACGAGTTTTTATAACATGGCTTGACACTAGGGAATTTTTTTTGCAAAAATCACTGTCAAAACTGATAAATTTTTAAACTTGGCTGCAATAATAATACTGAAATCTGCTCAATGCCTTTTAGCAAAATGAAGCAAATGCAGAAGTGTCCACTTTATGTCATATAGCTTGATTAAAAACGAAGTTCGTGAATCTGCAGGTGCACAAGCTGCCAATTTGACTGCATAATGTTCTTGTTTTATTCTGCTATAATGCTTGAACCGTTCAAAAGAAATTAATAAGCTACCCAATAGACATGTTTTATTACCTGCCTGAGGCATAGTTTTCAAGATAGCAAGGAGGAATTAAACTCTTAACTTAACCCAGTAACGTATCGACAAAGTGTAGTGAAAGACAATGGAAAATCACTTTCATAGAATTTAATGTTTGCTTGGCATTCTTGTATGGAAATTACTGATGTTGTTGTTAGGAATGAAGTCCTTCCTTGTGTACATCTTACTCTTTTTCTGGTTTTCAATGTTTTGGAAGAAATTGGTTGTTTGACAGCAATGGACTGTTTTAATGTCCAGGCTTTCAAGATTTGGTATTGCAATAAAGTCACCTATCTTGTAAGGTCTTCATAAATTTTTTGAGGTTTCTCATCCTATTTATTGCTTCCTGTCCTTATTCAAAGTGCCTGTTTGTGTTAGATAGGCCTAAAATATGAATAAAGTTAAAGCTTCTTATAGTTTGATATGAAATGTCCATCTCGGTTTGCTTTTAGATGCCAATGAATCTTTAGACTGGACTTTGCGTCACGGTCGAACTGTGGCACTATCATACGCCATATTTGATGCACCCGAAAAGCTGGATGAAACTGCTGGAAATGATCTCATCGCCAAAACTGTCTTAAAACAAGCAAGTGCTGACAGGGTATGCAAGTTTGAATAGATGTCGATGCTGTAATTTTACTCATTTATTAATCCAAACTTGCTATTGGCTATAACGCAGTTAAAGGAGTGTAGCTAAATGGGGGGGGGGGCACAGCAACTGGAGGTTTCCTGTATTGTAGTGATAGGTGCATTGTATTAAAATGTTCTGACTAATGCTTTCTAGGATAAAATTGAATTTAAGACCACTCCTTTAATTCTGGTGGCTGCTCAGAGGCCTAATAGCCAGAAAATTCGGCTGATCTTCCCTGACTTTAGGCCTACTTTTATTGTAAAAATCATTTCAATTAAGTGAGTGTGTGCTTGCTGTTATCAGCCAGATTAATAATAGCCATTAATTTTAGATTTCTGATCAATCTGATCTAATTTTAGATTTTAGATTTAGATTTCTGATTTATAGACGGTTTTTAACTCGCGATGGGTACGTCATATCTCCAAAAGGGACATGCATCGAGTTTGCGAGAAAAGAAGGGGTGCCTTCTTTGGGACATTTTTCAATAAGCACGGAACTTTGCGATACGAGTTAATATAGATGTTTTCAAGTGCATCGAAGCAAAAAGAATCCTAAAAAACAAAGTCTCTATTGCTGGCGACTTCCTGTTCATAGCTTCTTTGCGTGTATTGTCTTTGCGCGTACTTTTTGCGTGTAATGCCTTTGCGTGTAAGGTTCCTCGTTGCATGTCTTGTCATTTTGGCCTTTTTTCTAGTTTTTTTCGTGTTTTTCATCCTTAGATTCTTAAAAATTTCCAATCAGGTGCACTCCAAATGAAATCTCGCGCTTAACTCACGTAGAACAATGTTCTTTTCTTAAATCGATTTTATCCTTTATCGACATTTTAAAATCTACCCAAAGAAATTTCTGTTTTAAAACTAACCTAAATGCTCTTGCGCAACCGGCATGCTTAGCGCCAGTTGCTTTGAGAAATTGATTGTGTTTGGTATTTTCATGCAGTACGATATTAGGCCGGTTTTGAGAATATAGTCGAAAAGCATGCCGGTTGCGCAAGAACCTGTAGTTGGCAATATTCGATAAACTTTCATTTAAAAATAATCTAAGTTTTGGCTGTTTGGTTGATTAATAAATCACATTCCATTCTATGTATTCAGTTAGTTGGTAGACCACATTCCTTTTTTGTTTTCTCTCGTTATTACTATGAAATCTTTTTCTTGGTTTCACGATTGCTATTATTTTCCAGATTCCAATTTCAATATACGGTGTACACTCACTCGGTCATTTGATGATTTCGAATGCTCTCTGCAAGCAGGCAATTCCATCTATTGTTCTTGAAACAATGAAAAAGGTAAGCGAAACTTCGTTTGTTATGTTCATCTTGTTTTGAAAAAGCAACATTTTGTTAAGAAGTAATGTCAAAACTCCCGTGATGATGTTTGAATGGCTTTTTAAAAACTTCGTGGAGAAACGGCAAAGACAAAGTCTGAAGTTCCCCCAAACCAATTCTTTAGGTTATCAAATGAAAGCGGGGTGATTTGGACACCTACCCCATTTACTGTGAGAGTTTCTTTATATATGTCTCTAATGTCAGTGTGGAAAAATTAATTCATTAAGCCAGGAAAAGAGTCAAAGTTGCTTATAAGCCTTCATGCAATCATTGTACTGGTGACATCATTTTGGCTGAAAATACAGTTTGGTGCAAGTGACCCTTATTCACAAGCAGAAAAAACCTGATTTAGATTTGTACTGTTGTCACGAAAGAATTCAGCCCTCGCTTTTTGAAATGTTTCTTAAATCTAGGGTTGTAGACATTTCAGAGAAACCCCACGCAACCGACAAGCAAGATGTCTTATGCACAGGAGAGGGGGGCTCCTGTTTCCCTTGCTACCTGTGTTGTTTCCCAGGTTTTTCAACATGGGCGAACCATTTTCTGTCCCCCTCCGGCTACCAATCAGTCTGTGTTCCCAGTGGCGGGACCAGCGGGTGGTATATGGGGTAATCTCCCCCTTTTTTGTCAAATATGACCCTCTAAATTCTTCTAAAAATTAATGAAAATTCCATAGGTAGGGGTAGGTCAATTCTTTTTAAGATTTGCCGAACGAATATACAACTGTAAAAAGCCTCAAATGAAGAGGCAATAAGGGCGTTGTCTAATGGCTTACGCACATAATCCTCCCATTCTGAGCCATTTGTACCAAGTGACAGAATTACACATGAATTTGTACCAAGTGAGAGACAATTTTCAAATGAGTAAACTCGATCCAAAGTAACATGCTTGGCAGAACGTCAACTGGTTTTAGTCTTTTTTCATCTTTATTTATTCTCGAACGCTACCAGTCCTTCATGCAGACTGATTATTGTAAATGGCGGGGCTGGAAGTTTTGTCGCTTTTCACAAGGGCTGTTAGCATTAAACAGAATTTCCTGGATAGGTCCAAATGTTGACTTTGATTGAAATGCTGGCTTCCTTGCAAGTTTATAATTCAATTGATATTTCTGCATTTTTCCTTGCAAGTTTATAAGTTAATTGACATTTTTGCACTTTCGAAAGTTGCGAACTTCTTTTGCATTTGTTTGGCCCTTCGGGAGCATTCATATTCGGCTTTATATGTAAACAGAACCAATGTTTTCATAACCGTTAGTGATCACGCAATGATCTCACCGGGTAGTAACGTATTTGAATGAAATAAGCGGAAGCGATTAAAATTGTCCTTAGCAATTTGCCTAAATTACTGCATTAATTAATCAGATACGTTAATTGTTAAATACGGCGACCTTTTAGCGGAGAAAATCCTGAGTGCGCTGCCTTCCACATGTATTTTCTGGTTTCCTTAGTCACCGATTCAAATCGCTTAATCACTTAATTGATTTTGCTTGGAACTAACTTCCGTGTTTACAACTGTAGATAAGGATGTATTAAATATTCTTAATGCCCTAATGGCATTTTTCCTTTGAGATGTTTACATGTCTTCTAATTGCATGCGTGGCACTATCAAATTTTCTTTTCGTCCTTGTCTCTTTATAATGGCGTCGTGTTGCGTTACCGACTTGCAGGCTATCGCCAAGAATCCTCCTACTGGGAGGTTTACAAAAGATGCATTTTCTCAAAGCATGAAATTCCATTCATTGATTAAGAAAAAAACTTCCAGAAGTACATGCTTTCCGCCACTATAGAAAACGAGTTGTTGTTGGTCAAATTTTTGTTTTTTTGTTCTCTATGTTGATGATATTTCAATCCATTAGTGTTGCAGAAGTGATATTTCAAAGGCAGTGTGTCAATACAGATTGCTTGCACGTTTTTTAAAGTGCTAATGAAATGCTGACATCAATCAAGCTTTTCCTTAATCTGATTGGTTGTGACCATTCTACCTCTACTTTGATTGGTTAAGACTGAGCTCCACGAAAACATGCTACAGTAAAAACCTGCGTATAAGAACCTGATTTTTTTCATTTATGTCACAAAATCATAATTTTCATATCATGCAGTAATATTATACCTAAAGACAGTACAGACTTAAACAGAACAAATATATACTCAAACAATCACATTGCCAAATCTCTGAAATGTCATTTAAAAGACAAGCTTTATGTGTGGAAAACTTGGAGTAAATGAAAAATAAAATTTTGCACTTTTAAATGCTTAATATTAAGAGAATTTATTGGAATGACGCCAGCAGTAGACACAGTATTGCACCTTGGCTTCAAAGAAAAATAGTTTTGCCAAGTTCGTTTTAGATATAAGCAGATATTCATACTTTGGTTAATCTTATCTTACTTTACAAAATCTTTACAGCAGCGCCACTGGTAAGAACTTAACTTTAAATTTTAGCCTGAAAAGTTCTTTTGTGTGTGGAGGAGGCCTAAATTTGAAGTTTTAACCTAACAGGCTCGCAAAACCCAGGTTCTTTTACGCGGGATTTTACTGTACCTGTACAGTCAGACTGCCTTTAAGATACCCGCCTTGGCATCACATTAAAAATTGTAGCAAATTTTTTTTATTTGTGTTATTGTGTACTTCAGTGAATTTTGTTACAGTTTACTTTAGGGAACTGTCATTAAGTCTGGTCTGATCGGTACCAGGGCAGAAGCAAATCATTGAAAATACCAAAACTCTTATTACAAAATATATTTTATTGGAAAATGAGAATATGTCGACAAATGCTCCTACTCTGCTCTGAATTATAGCGCTACATAGAGGAAATTCAAAGCCTGGCCTCTCCTCTATAAATGCCTCAACCCTGGAGAGCTCTTTGAAATCGATAAGATCTTTTTCAAAGATATGCTTGAGACTGCGCAGGTAGTCCCTTTGAAGGTTCAACCTCACCTCTTTCCATCCACTTAAAATTCCAACACAACCGATATTCGGTTGACCCTTGTAATTGCCACTCGGCTGAAAGTAAAACTACATAATACAGTAACAGCTTTTGCAATACCTCTATTACAGGGGGTCTAAATGGGAGATGTACATATGTTTTGGCGCCACAAGAAACTGCCCATTGATCGTCATACCCCATACAGCTCATTGTAGTGCAGAAACAAGAAGAGTTATCGTATTAGATAGCCTTGACGACCAGGCATTTCCTGTTTACAAGTGTACCTTAAACGGTATTCCAATGCCACAAATACCTCTTTTTGATACCAGAAATGCCTTCTCAGAAGTGCAATTTGCGTCCTTTTTGAATACTGTTTAGAAGTCGTTTAGGATGTTTATCTGAAGTTCCCCTAAACCAGTTGTTTATTATAAATATGCTTGTAGTTCTAGTCGAAGCAGACTTTTTTCTAATGAAGATTTTTGGAAATGGGTGATGAAGTTTGGCTGGATTTATCGTGCATCATTTTGGAAAACTAACATACATGCATATCTGGGTTAGCTTAAAAGATCATAGTATGATCATACTGAGAGCTACTTGAAATTGAATAAAAGAATTCAAAATGTCATTTGAAAGCTGATCGCTCCATTTGAAGCTAGTTTTGTCAAGTAATGCATGCATGGAAGCTTATTTTGTCGAGTTTCTACATTTCGGTGGTATATTATCTGCATTTAGTATGACGTTTTCCCACTTTCCATAATCCGTAAATCAGGTGCAACATAAATTGAAAATAAATGGGTCGGATGCTCAAGAAGAATGTATGTAGATTTTGAAGTTGTTAATTATAGTCGTATAGATATCAGAGGGTAGGGGTATTGGGGGCAGGGAGTAGGGGCAGGGTATCGGGGGGCTGTTAAAGGAGAGATAATTGTTGAAACCCATGTTGTAAAAACCTTTGGATTTTAAATCCGAACTCGCCAAGGGAGGCGGACATTTACTAGACATGTAGTCGGTTGCCCTAAAAGAACAGTAAAGCGAAAAGTTTTCACAAAGATGGTAGTGACAACTTAGAAATATGTAAGGTGATGGCGACTTTGAACGCTGAATTCACTTGGCCCTTGTGTCTCAAACTTTCCTGTTGTTTTGCTTTGCTTTTAGGGATAGCAAAAGTGTTTAGAAATGCTTTGCTACGAGATGATGAATTTCAAATGTTTTTTTTAAAGTCAAAATACACGATCCTGGTGTAGCAATTTTTGGCAAAATTCAAATATGGTGCTTTGGTCTCTTTAAAAAGCCATTTTATAATTTGGGATATTGAATTTTAAGCATTCTGAACCTGCAGTCTTGTACAGTTGTAGGCCCAGAACGTTACAACGTATGTAAATTTAATTTGATGAAATTTGTAAACACGCATTTTTGACCCATTAATACAGAATGATTAGAAGAAATTTTATTTTTGTTTCAGTCTTTGCAACAATCTTCCAATGATGTACGCCTTGCAGCCGTTAAGACCATTGACTACGTTGCACGTAAGATGCCAAGTGTGATAGAATCAAATGTTCTGAAAGCGTTGCTGCCAGAATTGGTATCGTGCTGCAAGGACCGCAATACCTCAATCAAAGCAATGTCCGAATTTGCCTTGATTTCGTTTCTGTCACTTCGAGATAGCGATCAAAAATTCGAGGTAACGTGTTATTGCTAAATTCTTCTACCCCAAATACATTTGCTTCTTCAACTATCCACGGGAATCCCCTCGTCAATCACAGAGGAAGAATTCCCACATTTACGTTGGTTCATCGCTTAATCGAGATTCTAGCAAATCTAGTAAACCTGCCAAAATTATTATGATCAGGGTGATATTTTCTTTTACTCAGTTCTAGGCCAAACCTAAATTAGCATCTAAAGATAAGCCCCTGGGAGTAATTACGTAACTTCATGCTTTCCTCAGCAAAATACCTTTACGCTAAACAACCAAACGTAGTTTGATAATCACCACAAGTTTCTCTGCACCCTTTGTGAACCCCTGCTGCGAATGCGCTTAGTTTCCGATATCACTGAAATGATCCCAGCGTGATATTTATGTGCCATGTCATCTATTCTTTCTTTTTCAAGAACATAATCTCTTCTTTCTTTTTAACTTATTTTAGCGTTACCTAGCTTTTTACCATTAATTGACAAAGCATATTTTCTAAATAGATACAGGAGAGTTTCTAATATCGCACCTAAAGCTGCAAGTCGAGCATGTTCGAAATTTATTGTTATGGAAAACACTACAGGCGTTTAAAGGAACATTTTCTGAATATTATTTTACCCTTTTTGTGAACGTTTCAAGAAAGGAATCTCTCTAAACAAGCTGGAATTTTAGTATAAACAAAATTAACTGTTCTGTAACCACAACTGTTGAAATTCCTCAGAAATTAATGGAGACCCATGATCAAAATCTTCATACTTTTAATACAGAGAAATAACAAGGAATTATTCGTGCTGCTCAATTTTGCAAGAAATTTTTTCTCTGCATTGTAAACTGAACACTTCAATGTAAGGCCTTGGCAGTGTTTCCGTCCATATATACGTATTTAAAATGACACGACTCTTTTAATAGCCGCTAGATCGAATGAAATATTTACAGTTTTTCATTATTTCTTGTGCCATTGATAAAACATATCCATGCGATTAAACATAAGATAATCTTACACAGTGTTTACACTCTTTTAATTTCTCAACACCAATTTTTAACGCTATCTTGATCAGTTAATTTTGTAACCGGCTCGACCTATATTTAAGTGAAAAAGGGTTGTAGTTTCTCTGCATGGTTCTCCGATAAACCCGAGATAACAATTGCTACGTCCTTTCCTTCTTAAAATTTCTTTGCAAAATTTCGGCATTTCATGACCTGCCTAACTTATCTGCCATCAAGATAAAAATATTCGGTAGTTTTTTCTAAAGTTATCATCCTTACATGTCAAAGGTGACGTAAATGATTCATTCTTCCCCCGCAACATGGCGAGTACCAGGTCAGGTGCTACAGTAGTTCTATGGTTGTTCATCTCTATTTTCGTTTTGATGCGCTGCTTAACGTGAGTTTGTGGAGATAACATGCTCGATTCAATGTTATTGTGACGTAAGGTTTGCCATGATGATCGTTGCAAGTATTAAGAATGATGGTAGGCTAAGATAAAAGTGCCTGCTTCCTCTTTATCTTTAAGTTACACTTTGGCCTTCATTTTTACCACAACATAAGTTATGGCACTTCTTGTGTGCATATGGCAGTGAAGCCTACAGAGCTTTTATAACTCTTTCACTTGGATATGATGAATCGGTCGCTTCCATAAACGCTGAACCTTACGATCAGCAGTCAAAAACTACCCAGCTGTGTACTCCATTAGCTTAAATTTCAGTGGAGGCAAAGTGTTTCCTTATTCATCAACAAATAACGAATTCGCATTATGCATTGAGATTATACGTGCTTGGTATCGACACAGATGTATCGTTCTACAAAGTATCAAGGCAATGACTGTGATTTTAGAGACACGTCATCTGTAATATTGCTCACGCTCATGCTGAACAAACCTGTTTACGGAGAAGCAGATTCATAAGATCGAAAATATTCCCACATGAAAACGTCGCTGTGTTTCCTTCTCTTCAAAAAGAGTTAACTTCGAAATTTAGACGTTTCTCAGAAGTTGTCTGGACGATCGTTGCAAAATTACTCGAAACGTTATGAAATAAAGGCATGGGTAGAGCGTGGTACCTTGATCGGAATCAATAAAAAGCTTTCTTAATTAAAAACAAATCCCTATGCTTTTTATGCAAAACAAGAAAGGTTTGAACAAGCATCTTGAATAAGTCTCTGTGGTTTTCTGGCTCTGACACGAGTTTAAACGTCTTTTTTTAGCTTTAGGTTATACAATTCCACTTCTTTAATTAGAAAAAACATTTTTGAATTTCAATCTGTTTTTTTATCTATTCGTCATTTCAAAGCCTTCTAAATCATACTTTCAAGCCTGGTATAATGGGTTTTTACAAGAATCGTCCACCTTCTGGTTTTCCTGTTTCTCTACGATTCGGAATTTTCTTCCTTCGATTGAACTATTCAATTCTGTGTCCTTCTTACTTTTAAAAAACTTCTTGTATCCAATAATTCAAAAAGCAGTTACAGTGAAGTTGATGTTTTTCCTTGTTTCTGCTAAAAACTAATTCCCGCTTTAATTAAGCTAATTCAAGGAATGGGCAAGGCTTTTGCATTTCACGAGCAACACATTTCTGTAGATTTATAACTTAATCCTGTCTTTTTACTTTTGCGATCTGTTGAGTGCATGCTTTTCTGTTGCAGGATTCGCTTGAAATTCTACCGCATGACGTCAGCGAGCGACTTGGAGAGCTGCGTCGAATCACTCTAAATAAACTTTTGCAGTCATGTGAAACAAGAGAAGACTACCCATTTGAGGCTCCAAAAGGACAAAATTGATATTTTATAGATTCATCGATAAATATTTGAAATGTTGAAGGGTATATGATTCTTTTGATGGTTTTTCCTTTGGTTATTTTTCTGCTTCATAATAAACAACAATTTGCGTAAGGCAACTCATTCAGAGTAAGATTAGTTTTAAGGGTTAGATTAGTTTTAAGGGTTTTGTAAGTTTTTTCTCTATCTTCTATTTTAACATTTGCAATTTGTTTTTGCTACAGTTGTCACTTGAAGAAGTATTTTGTAGAAGTCTCTGACTCTTTCCCGTTTCGCAACAGATTTTCTACGAGACCTGTATAAGTGCTGAAGAAGGAATTATATGAACGATCTGCTGACTTCGAAAGTACATTCTGTGTCCAGCATTAAAGCAGGCAGTGACTTTTTCGGGTAATAATACCCCAGAATTTATTTGATGTGGAAGAAGTTCGCAGGTGAAGTTCTTGTATGATAACAGCCATTAACTGTCTCTCGCTGCAGCGTGGTTTAATGCAGCTGCTCTTGTCAATAATTCAACAACAGATTAAATGACCTCTCTTTGACAGTGTATTTCCTTTTATCTGTTGTAGGCGGACGTTCTATGTTCCCCGTGCGACGCGCGTTGAGTGAAATCCTTGTCAAAATAGATTTTTTGCAACTCCACGTCAGATACCCTGCAATACCTCTTCAAAATGACCCCGAAATTCGAGGCCAATTTCCAATGCTTTGAAGAGAACCGATGATACTGCGGTCACTGATTTGGATCACTTGATGCAACTACCTCTTCTGCCCTGTCTCATTTTGTAGTGTTATTTTTTACAACGTGAAAGATTCAGTTACAGTCTTGCGATAACTTCCTTATAATTCAGCAATCTAACAAAGCCGCCAAACCAGTTAGATCTTAAGTGCTTCTACAGAAAAATAGATTTAATGGCCAGTGAGAAAATAGCAGATAAAGTAAAGGTTTACCCCTTTACATAGGCGTGAGGGGCACTGTGGCTGGGTGGGCTGCGGCCAAATAACATTTATCGCATTTCAGGCTCCATTCGGGCGATTCTATTTAAATGAAAGCAAGATCCATATCTAAATGATAGGACAAGATCCATATAGAGCCCCCCCTACCCCTCCCTCCCTCCTAATCATTTGGCATCCTCTACACCCGTGCCTCTTTGCCCAAGAAAGCTATGGCTACACTCTAGAACACACTTGGTGAGAATGGAGAGATTCGTTTTGCCAAAAAATTTATAGAAGAAAAATTATTAGATGAACAAATTGAAAGAAAAAGCCATGTGTTTTCGAAAATTTTCTCTCACGTGAAAGTCAGAGAAGATTTTGTCCGCTAATAAATCGTGCTACTTAAGATATCTTGCAAAACTGTTGTAATGGGGTATAAGAAACAATTAACTATAGTATAAAGTTTTAGAAATTTCTATGTTGAAATAAGAATCATGCTAAGGAGACCCGAGCCTCAAATCATCAAAATTAAGAGCATTAGATAATACAATTTTTTTTACAAAAACCCAGAAAAATTTGTCTAAGAATTACATCGATTATATAAAATATCCCTCATTTTTCTGAAGATGTTATTGCTACGGGCTTGTGGAGAGGGTTCAAAGTGGAAATTTGCAAAATAAGACGTTTAATAGGACGTTTCTGTTTGCTTTTTTATCTTATGAAACGTAAAGCTATAGTGAACCACATGACTGAATTCATTAGGAACGCCTATGGGATTGTTCAAAATGAGTTTGCATATAAATTGAAGGAATAATAATTTAGTATCGCCACTGAAATCCATTGTATTTCATTGAACAGTATGTGAGCCATCGGGGTTTGCGGAACAGCGAAATTATGTGGAAAGTTGTCGCGGAGTATGCAGTTTGGCAATTTCTCGACGGAATTCTCCGCATTTGCCCGAAGCGGGATTTTTTTGAAAATGATCCACTTAAAAGATTTTTTTTAAATCTTGCGGATTGGTGGAATTCTTCTCCTGATGTTTTGTTAAAATGGCCTTGCCACATCTTGGTTTTCTGGTCAGAAACATCGATAAACTATTTTGGGATGCTGAAATTTGGCTAGAAATAACCGAAACAACGGGTCTCAGCTAATATTCGCGCGGAACGATTGATTTCTAGCCCCCCCCCCCCTCCAAAGAGTTAAATTGCGCGGAACGATCGATTTCTACCCCGCATGTAACTTCAGTGCTGAGCTGCTGTAGGGGAGAAAGAGAAGCGGGATCCACATTTCAACTTGGTGAACGATTCCAGTTTTTCCATAAAAATTCTTTAATCCCCTGAAACAGAACATCATTTAGGTCCAAGGGAATCTGCCCTTCCTGTCCCTTCTTCCTGGCCACTTGCAATGTTTCTGTTTTCAAAACCTTCTTGACAGGCTGCTGGTTTAAAAAAACATTATAAAGCATATTTTGAAAAAATACAACTTTTTAAACCCTTGCTGTGTGAATGAATATCATAATTCGGCGGTTGTTTTTTTGTTATAGGTGAGTGCACGCTGAGCAACTGCATCAACCGCACTGGATAAATGTAAAACAGTAGAAATTCTGCATTTATTTGTGCTTGGCGGTCGTTGGTAAAATCAGGCATGCAATACGAACAAGCCTCTTTTTGCAATACCCTAGAACTCTGTTAACTATTGTACGTACAATCGGTTCCCCCGTAGACGTTAATTCGACCAAAAAGACATTTAATAAAAGAAAATACTAATTGGGCTCTGGGGTTTACAAACATGACCGACAATTTCATTGATGAATATTTCAAAGTGTCTTGCTTATACCCTATGAATTCGCCAGAAACTTATAAGCATAAAGCTGGGAATAAGGTACTTGAAATTCGGGCGGATGGTTGCTTTGCGGCCTTTGTCGGTTGGATACGTGCATATTCAGTCGAGCGAATTCATACATCACATTGTGCTGCCTTTGTCTTGACCCAAAGTAAAAGTGATTCCCTATAATTACGGTGCCAAATGAATAGCGATTCTCTCAGTATTTTCTTATATCTTATTATTCTATGGGAAAACACCAGCTTCATTGCTTTACTTAGCCCCTTAAAGGTAATCACGTGTATTCCATTGACCATACCGGCTTTTGCCCTCTTCGACGCAGAGTTTTAAGGGCTTTCGCAGAGTTTATAGCTTCCTGTATAAGTCTGGGAGCGCTTGTCCAGCCTTCTTGTTTCATCACATGGCAGTCGGGGTTCATCGTGATTTCTGGTAAGTTTCTTTACTCACCTGCATATTATATTTGTTGCGAAATATCTTCCCAAAATGGCATTCAGAAAAAGACATCACCTGGAAGATTGCCGCAGATGAATTGCGTATTAGAGTGATGTGTAATTCAAACATAAACAGATATACATCTGATCTAACCAATGAAACTTCTTTTCTGAAAATTTCAAATATTTCTGTTTCCTCAAGAAATGAATTCATGGCAATGATTCTATTTCGTAAGAAGTAAAAGACCTCAGAAACAGGCAGACGATATCCTACGGTCTCTAGCCTTTGTTTCTGACTTTAAGCATTTACGTGAAAATGAATCTGGCTTTCTGCAATGTGGGAAGTGGCAATTACTTTCTTCTGCTTTTGATTTTATTTCTCGCCATAATAATGCTCTCAAAAATCTCTTTTTAACTTCATTTTCGTTCTTGTTTTAAAGTAAAAAAATACCTCACAATGCTCTTATGATTTCAATCAAAGCTATATTACCGTCCACGGTCTTCCAAGGGGATTTCGTCTGAATGCTCGAAAATGCCAAGCCTTTATTCTGGACTAGTCCGGGAATGTTCTTCCCCAGTGTTCTTCCCTTTCAAATGTTGAATGCTCTTCCCTTTCAAATGTAACACTTGTGTTGGTTTCTCTCAATTTTTGCATTTCGCATCGTTTCTTGCCACCTTTTAGCAGCTTGTGACCGGTGCAGATTTTGGCTATTCCTTGTTCCAAGGACAGTCAGTGACAGCCCTCGACACAGTTCTCGTCTAGTTCATGTGCTCCCTCCATCTTTGATTTTTCATTTCCTTTGCCAGTAAAACTTTTAGCCATATTGATCCATATCCTTAACATTTTACCATTAATTTATTCCCAGAACCTTTACGTAGAGATGTCTCTTTAAGAAATATGACATTAATTTTCAAAAGTATACCATCTCAGACAAAATCGGACTTATTCAGAATTTCAGTCATAGTTCTATGATTAAGATCAGTCATCTTTAATCAACATCGGAAACCGATTCATATGCTGTTGTGGAAGCAAGGAAAGAAAGAAAGAAAGAAAGACAGGTTATTGAAAGTGTTAAATGCTATCGAAAGTTCCTAATAGTTAATTATTTTTCGTCTAACTCGTAAGATGCGACATTTAAGCAAAAAATTTTTTTTATGACATGATGCATTGTGATGGAAGTTAGAAAACGATGTTTAACAAACAACAGTAGCAAAGATCTTTTGTTCAAATTAGATATAATTAAAAACTTTCAGCCATCCTCTTTGCCCCTTTGATGAGCTTTACCGAGTCTGGTGATGCAGCTTATAAAAGCAATGGATTATATGAATAACAAAATAGGTTACGTGAAAAGTCTATGTAATAAGAAAATGAATAATGATAAATTAACTGACATTACGTCCCCGCATATAAGAATTTATCAGAGTACTATTTTTACTGTGCAAATAAAGTGATGGTCATTGCCATTGTGGAACTGTCTTGAATGTGAACATGATAAAATTAATCCAAACTTCTGCAGCTACCAATTTTTGCTTTCTTTGTGTACAAATGGGCTTTGCAAATTTGAAAATGCCATAAAACGTTTTCAGAACTGAAGAGCTCCTATGCGAGGCACCTGTTTCACAATATTTGCATTCATTGAGACAGAGAGAGGCAGCGGATCTTTGAATAACTAATTTCATCTGTCGATTGAATGACAGAAAGAAAATGACTTTCAAGGGTCATCTCCTCAGCAAATTTTCATGGAGATGTTCGTGCCCCAATACCAGTATTGTCTACAATGAGCTGTTGTATTTCTGTCATTAATGCTTTTAAACAGACTTTATTGAATGTCACTTAATATTTAGATAA